AAGCCAGTGTTATCCTTGACCACAATCTCAAAGCTCGAGAAATCGAGGGCGGTGATGGCGTCGAAGCCAATGTCGAGGATGATGAGGGACCACTCAAAGAAGGCATACGTCGTGTAGGCTTCACTTGTCAGTCACGTTCATTCCAGAGCAGGGGAGCGTCTTACCGCCAGCCACCTTGTGCACTTTGTGCTGGATGAACCAGTAGATCAATGGCACCAGGGTTCCAAAGAAAGCACCAGCAAAGTACTTGCGCAGCTGGATGGCCCTCGGATTCGCCGGACTCAGCGCAATGCAGCCCGTGGTCCACGGCAGAGTCGCGACAATGTACGATATCATGAGAATATCGTGCCAGTCATGGTCGTCAGTCGAGGTGATGTACGTCCATCCTCCACAGGTCAAGGTTCTGAAGACGCCCGTCAACGCAATCACGTCAGGAAGCCTCGAGCCGGGCTTCCTGGTCAGAAGGTACCATAGTCCAACGAGTGCGAAGCGAGGGCCGGAGGTGATGGCGATAAAGATCATAAAGAACGATCGCTCGGGGTATCGGTCGCCAATCGTCGCGGACACGGAGGGGAACCATTCGTCAGGGTATCCATAATGCTCGTTCTTCACAATCTTGTGATAATGCAAGGCAATGCCTACAATCAGAGCACTGGCAAAGGCAGCTATGGCGTGTTAGCAATTGCCCGTTCCACTCTCACGCCATGACAAAGGGCTTACTGTACGCGACCAGGGTGTGTATCCAGCTAACCCATTGGCCCCCGAGGCTGAAGAGGACTTCGCCCTCCTTGTCCTTGTATTTTGACATGGCGACGAGTCCAGAAAGAGTGCGTGAAAGCGAGCGTACGCAATACAATTACAAGTACATCTGTGTGGCAATGGGCGCTGCTCGAGGGGGAGGGGGCCGTGATGCTGCAGAGAATCAATCACCTCGGTGTCTGTGACGCGCGCGTCGCATCCGGCACTTCCTTGTTCAAGGGTTCCTGTGGCTGGTGCAGCTGTCAAAAGCTTGTTAGAGTGTGGCGCATGAGCATGGACGGCTGACGGTAGTGTCCAGTCTCCACTAAAAAGTTGGCCGCCTTTCTCGAAAACTTTCGTACAGCGACTGGACTCGACTCAGCACCAGACCCCACGATCTGCATTCCGCGAGCAGTCCGGGAACCTTGAAACATGGCTGGCGTTGCCGACAAAGCGAGATTCTTTCTCGAAAAGTCTGTGCCACAATTGCGAGAATGGGAGCGCAAGGACATCTTCAATCAGGTACGTCGACCATGCCAGCCAGCCCAGCCCACGCTCGCACCACTCCAGGAAACTAACTTTTCGCAGGATGAAATTCGCAACATCGTCTCAAAGCGGAACGACTTTGAGCATCGCGTCCTATCACCGGGCAATGTGCCCGCCGACTGGTCAGCCTATGCGAAATGGGAGCACTCCCTTGAAACACTGCGGGTGAAGCGATGCCAACGCCTCAAGATCCGACATCTGGCCTCGGGGCACGCCGGTCAGGGCCGCGTCTTGTCCATCTACGACCGAGGCACGAAACGACACGCCAACAGCGCTTGGCTCTGGAAGGAGTATTTGCAGTATACCGCAAAGGTGAAAGCGTCCAAGCGATTCCGCAGGGTCATGACTGAGGCGTTGCGAATGATGCCAAACGAGGTTGAGCTCTGGACGATGGCTGGCAGGAGATCAGCGCACAATGGCGACATGGCTTCTGCCAGGAGCTTCTTCATGCGCGGATGCCGATTTTGCACCCGGGATGCGACCCTGTGGCTGGAGTACACACGTTGCGAGATGGACTGGTTGGCCAAGGTGGAGAGGCGCAAAGCCGACAAGCCCCAGAATGACCCTCTGAAGCCCGATCAGTCGAACGGCGCTGACGACGAACTGCGCATCGAAGACAGCGACGAAGAAAGCGACGTGGACGAGGAAGGCAGACTGCTTCCTCAACCCTCCAAGGAGCAGGCCAAGGTCATCGACAAGCCAGCGGCCAAACAGCTGCAGAACAACCCAGCGATGGACGGTGCGATACCCATGGCTATATTCGACATTTCGAAAAAGCAGTCTTTCTTCGGCCCCGAGACCGCGGCACGGTTCTTCCTCATCGTTGCATCATATCGCAACGTCTCAGCGCAGCCCAAGGTCTCCCAGCACATCCTCAGCCATATGGACGAGCACTTTGCGACGCACCCCGCCACCGCTGATTGTCACGTACGCCAACCAATCCTTGGACTGAGGGCCAACACGGCGGAATTCGTACAGAACCTCAGAGAGGTGCTGGCGCGGTTGGACAAGTACCTGGCAATAGTAGATGACAAGGCAGGGCTGGCGAGCAAGACGGTGGCTTGGATTGACGACTTGTTGGCGGACGCTGAATTAGACGAGGCTCTGCGCAAGGTGTTGGAGCACACGAAGCAGAAGATGCAGGCTGTCTAGACAGTACAGATATCATAGAATGAAACGTCAACGAGAGCGATTACGGGTCCCCCGAAATGATCGTGCGTGAAAAAGCAGATTGCCCTAACCACCACGATTGCCGACACATCCATTCTCCGCCCACCAGTCAAGCAGACCATCATAGGAAAGAAACTGCTGGTATTATTTCATACCCATAATGCCAGGTAAATGAACCGGCAGGCCCGTGCCAAGCAATAATATGGCCCTGGCGGTGGTTGCAGATCTAAATGGGGTCTTTGGGCGTCGCACGAGTTCGTCAGAGGGCCATTTCGGTTTGCGCCTTGCAAACCTTGACAAGGCACACGTGCTATTCTCAGCCCTTCCATGGTCCCTTACGGGCAAGCGATGATGGGAGCTCGAAAAGCCTGAAAAGTAACCTTATTTCAGAGGCCACACATCGCAACGTCACAGAACACACTGACCGCTTGATGTGATGCTGATGGATGGGCTGTGAAGGCCGCTTGCCGGGTCGGGGAGAGCTGGAGAACTTAAAACTGGAGGCAGGCGCCCATGGAGGTACCTGCCGATGTACCTTTTTCCACCCCCCTTCCCTCAATCTCTCACTTTTTGCCATTTTGCTTGCTCTCACAACCTTTTTCTCCTCTCTGACGGCAATTCCTCTCCTTGCAATGATTCTCGCTTGTTTTCACGCTGGCGTCGCGGTTCTGATGGCGCTCGACGTCACGATGCTACCTCCTACGGACCGTTCAACTTACATGGGCAGCCTCCCGTTTTGAGCCTCTGCCACGGGCACTTGTCAGAGAGATGGGCGATTCTGCCACCAGAACTACAAGCCATAGGGGCCTGATATGAAGGGCACTTCAATACCGGTCCTAACGAGATGGATTGGAGGCACTGTCACTTCAGGCATCACTGCTGAGGAGAAATGAAGCGGTTTTGAGCAACATGACTGAGTGCCAGTCGGGATCTTGATTTGCAGGGGTCGTTCCACCCGCCAGAAACCCACACAGCGCATGGCGCATTGGCGGCGCCCAACGGCGTCACGCGTGCTACGGGATCGACCGCTGCCAGCACAATGGTCGAGAGCGCCATCTCGACGAAGAAAACTGAACGGCAGTTGGCGAACTTGCGTCTTGGAATGGAGAAAGATGTTTGAGCAATTTATCGGAGGCGAAAATGGGCGAAATTGCTCCCCGACAGCAGTCATTGCGCCCAGCCGATCCACGAAGTTCGTGCCATCCTAGGCTGCCAGTGTCGTACATGGTGGGGCTGGCCCGAGTGTGATGAACCGCTACACCACGACTAGGGAAACCTCCTTCGGACACTCTTAGGCAAGTGCAGATTGGGGATTCTTGAGAAAGCGTCTGCACGACGGAAGACGTGGTGCAGATTCGCACTCGCCAACATAAGAAAAACGATGCTTGCGTCAAGACCTCTCGTGGATTCAGTTATCCACCCGAACCTACCCTGGAACATGGCGTCACCGAGCGACTGTTGCACTCACACGTCCATCTGAACAGGGAACGCTCAAACACAGACTTGTATTTTACTTGTTGCTGTCGAGCTTGCAGCTTTTGAGGGAAGGTTGAGTCCCTGGGACACGACTTTTGAGCTACTTGCGTATGTGAATTACTCGGCCACATATGGCAGTCCCACCACACAACAAGATGCGAACGGCAGGACTTTGGCAGCAATACCCTCAAAAGCGCGCAGGACAGACAATCATTGCTCTCATCAATTCTGACAAACAACTTCTCGCCACAAGTCACAGCAACCTACCGTCGATGATGAGCCACACAAGACCGCGACCTTTACGACTGTGCTGTTAGTGTCCCAAGCGTGGCTGCTATCGAAGAGCATACCACGAGGCGGGAAGCCTATCAGACCGAGAGGCTGGCTTATCAGCTATGAGAAAACACTTCTATTGGCCCGACGCGGGCTTCTCTGCTGCGCTGACCTAGTCCAAATGCAGCTGCTTCCGATTATTGGGTCTGTCCCTCGGGAGTACCAATCAACTGGCGGAATTCACAATAGGCCGCGAGCCGTCTCGCCCACCTGGTCTGTCCTGCTGATTCCTCCACTCCTCTCACTGACCAGGCTCTCAATCAACCGAAACCGTCGGCGTGTGCGCAAGCACGAGCAAAAGCAGAACTCGCAGCACCTGTTGTCACTTTGTACGGAGCGTACTAGCCTTTGGAAACCTGCCCCCCCCCTGCTGCCTTAGGTAAGACGAACGCTTGCGTCGCTTTCGCCAGTTGACACGCGCCCCTTCCACTGGCCCCCTGGCGTCGCAGACCAACGACATTTTCCCACCCATCCAGCCAGGTCCCAACGCGATCCTCGTGCCGCCTGACGCAGCCAGACTTTCACTGGCACACTGGATCGTCTTAGCGATACACAGTATCCCTCATCCGAATTGCTTTTGGAGTGGCCCATTGCACAGCCATTCGCTAGCTTCGAGTCGCTCACCTGGCTCACGTCTCCGTCTACTGAGTCGCAGCCAACTTTGCGTTTGGGTGGCGCGTCGCTCCATAGTGCGCAGGCATCAGCCTCTCCGCTCAACGCGCTCACTAACACGGGCGACTACCACAAGCCTCACATCCCGCGACCTATCATCGGCTTGGCGTTGCGTGACTTGGATTTTCTGGACGACATTTCTTGAATAATACTTTGCGCTCGACTTTATTCTTGGGCTCCGGGGATCGAAACACGTTGTATACCAGAAGGGCAAGTGCAACTGTTAACAGGTTGCTGCACCTGAAGGTAAGTCGCCCTGCCTCCCCAATTCTGCCCACCCCGACAGCGCTGGCCGATTCTGGTCTGTCACCTCCACATAATCGACAGCCTCGCGACGCGCGATCCGGCCTTCTCGACCCTGATATCAAACCTTATCAGTCGTGCGCGCATCGTTGATTTGCTCGAATACATGCCCTCATCTCGCTCTCCGTCGATGGAGTCACTTTCGTGATTCCCTGATTGCTGACGACAACCCTCAATAGACAAGCCGCGAAGGCTCAGTCGAGCCTGGCACATCGCCATGAGCAATTGGATGAATGACGCCAATCCGAACCACAATGGCAACGGCTTTCCTCACATGAACGATCCGAACGTTGCGAGTGCCATGATGGACCCCTCTGCCTTCATGGCCAACCCGGGCCAATTCAATCCTGCGCAGCTGCAAAATATGCAGAATGGCGCGATGCGCAACCCTTCCCCAGCGACGATGCAACAAAATCCATCGGCCTACCAAGGCAACTCTGTCATTCCATCAAAAAGACCTAGACCTTCCGACGATGGTGCATCGGGTTCCCCGACGCAAAATCCTGGCATGCTGCCAAACTCGCGATCGCAAACACCGCAGCAGCAGAACTTTCCTCCCGGGTTTCAGCAGACGGCCGGGCAATTCCCACATCTCCAAGCCAATGGCTCCGCTAACGCGAGTCCATCGCCCATCATGAACAACCAGATGCGTCCCGGCAGCGTGCCACAACGAGTCGCGACCGCCTCACCACATCCATTCTCTCCCAGCACCCAACAATTCGCTCCGCACGCTTCGCCTGTTCCTTCCGAGCAAGGGACGCCCCAGCCAAATCAGTTCATGCAGCAACAAATGCAGCAGCAGCCGCAGCAGCAACAGAACATGCCACCGGGCTATAACCCAGCGTTTTCCCAGTCGCCTTCGAATGCGCGCCCTTCGCCGAACCCGAACGCGATGATGCCTCAACACATGGCTCAGATGCAGCATATGCAGCAAATGGGCCATATGTACCCCCAGATGCAGCAGCAGCAACATCAGCAACAACAGCAGCAGCAGCAGGCTCAGCAACAAATGGGCATGGCACAACAGCAACAACGGTCGCAAATGCCCCAGACACCCACCGAACAGCAGAAGCTAGCTGCATATCAAGCGCGACTCCAGCAGCAGCTCCAGGGCAACATGCAGATGGGACGCGGCATGATGAACAAGCCTCCTCAGCAAATGTCAGGCACGCCCAATGGTCAAGCCCCCCAAGCGCAAGCAATGCGACAACGGCCTGGGATGACAGCTGCGAACCCCGAGCAGTTTATGAAGAACCTCACGTCGTTGATGAGCGCAAAAGGATTGCCGCTGGATACCAATCCTATGATTGCCGATCGCCCGGTCAATTTGGTGCTCCTCTTCCAAGCTGTCCAGAACAAAGGTGGCTACAAGCAAATAATGGCCAGTAACGGATGGCCGTATATTGCGCAAGCCATTGGGATTCCGCCGCAAATGCCAAACGCCGCTCTCGCCCTCAAGCATATCTACGAGCGCAATCTGTACACTTTTGAAGAGGTCTGGATGGCTCAGCATAAGCAGCGCATGATGCAACATAAGCAGCAGCAACAGCAGCAGCAGATGCTACAAGCCCAAGGACAGCAAGCCCAGAACCAGATGCAAATGCAGCAACAGCAACAGGCGCAAAGGCAGCAGCAACAACAACAGCCGAGCCAGCATATGCATCCGGGACAACAGCAGCCACAACAGACACAGCAGCCCAATCTGCAGCAGCAGACGCCAGTGAAACCTCCGGTAAATGGTCTGAGCACCCCGCAGCAACAGCACATGGCCCAGCCTCCCTCTGCTCAAGGTCACCAACGCAACAGTATGTCAAGAGGCGTGGAAACACCTGTCCAGTCTGACTTTGTCATGCCTTCACCTGCCCACAGCAAAGCTGGCAGCATTCCAATGCAGCAACAGCAGCCACTGCAGTCGCAGCCGCAGCAGCACATAGCTCACGACCGCGGCGAGCCACCGGCACCCTCAGAGGTCCTTCGCAAATCCGACGAATACACGCCATGCTCTCGAGAACTCACCTCGCATGGTGGCATCGATCTGGATAGCGTCTACCGCCTAGGACACGAGCTGCTACGGTTTGACCCTGCAGTGCCCCAGATTGCCGAGCTGGGTAACATCGATATCCATGCCTTGACAAAAGGTCTGCAAAGCGGCATACATGGGGAGATCAAAGTTGCCCTTGACACTCTTGTCACCGTTTCCAACTCACCGCATCAGCCTCACCACTTTATCAGGCTACCTTGGTGTGATGACTTGATAGACTCACTGATTGACGCTGCCGAAGAGCCTATCAGTGTTCTAGTGGATCATACGGCGGAAGTATGCGACGAACTGCAGATTGCGCACTACGACGAGGTTGTGCGAGCCTGCCGCATTGAGCAATGGACGATACAGGAACGCCCAGCATATCGTAGCAGCGCCTACCAGATCGACCGAGCTGTCGACCGCCTGATTTGCATTACCACGATTCTGCGCAACCTGTCGTTCCCAGGACCCGGTGATCAGAACGAGAACCAACCAATCCTTGCAGAGGACACCGTTGTCAAGTTCCTTTGTGTCATCATCCGCTATCTGGGCACACGAACCATGTTTCTACGCACGCATGCCAATACCTTGGATCTTATGAAGGATCTGGTGGTGCTGCTGTCAAACATTGCTGGTTCAATGGAGATTCCGGGTCGCGATGAGGCTCTCTGCCTGCTTCACTTCTTGGTGGCTTTTGCCCCAGGTCCAGGACCTACCAAATCCGACAACAACACCTGGATATTCCCACCGTTCGAACCTAGCTTGCATCCCTACCTCCCTCATGCTGTTGATGCACTGGCAAAACTATTTGCCCGCGATGAGCCGAACCGAACTCATTTCCGCACGGTCTTTTTGCTGGATGGTGGCAGCGATCCTACCTATGAACTACTGACACGCACGTTTGCCCTTGCTATCTCGCCAGTACCCGACAAAGTCATCGAGAGGCATCGCGCCGCCAATCAGCCTCCACTCTTCGAGACACGGAAACCGAGCATCATGCAAGGCCTACTCTGTGCCGAGATTCTTGTGTCACTAGCTCCAGGCCCGGAGTCGGGTCTGACCAAGTCGTGGCTTCGGGGTGACATCAACATCGCTCAGAACTTGCTGGAGATGGTATCACGCTTGTCTCGCATATACGAAGCGCAGACGATGCACAAGGGCGGCCGAGGTCCCCCGAGGCGAGATTTGGAGTTGGTTTTCATCGCATCCACTGCCATTGCAGTCGTACGACGACTCTTTGAGAAGGCCAAGGATTTGAGCGACTCAGACAAAGAAGTCCTGGCATATCTCCCGTCGTCGGACAAGCTCCTTGAGATCACCAGTCTCACCTCGGCCGACTGGGCAAAGGAGGGCTTGATGCAGCAGTACACAGCCTGCCATAGTCTCGGACGATGACGGGAACGGGCTTTCTCTCGACTCATGCTTGGCTTTACGAATTGCACATAACACAATGGCGCTTGGGAGACGCCATGAGCTGAATATATACCAATTAACGACGACGACACAAGCGCTTGGAAAAACGGGGTGTATGCGACTGGCGTGCTGTCTTTTATGAGAAGGATGGGGATTGAATTGAGCGCGTGCGAGCGCGCGCGCGCGCACACATACACACAGCGAAGTCGCGGCTTTAGAGCTTTCTGCTGCATTTATACGGGGTTGGGGATTCTGGTTTTCAACGAGAAGATTTCGAGCACCGTCGCGAGATAGGAATAAGAAGTACTGATACCAACAATCGGGTCAGCCGGGTCTATTATGTATTTATTGTACATTTATCCGTCCGCTCTGTGGACAGGGCCTATATGCTACAGCTGTACAAATGGTTCTTTTGATACATTCGCTCGTCAATGGATGATACAGTCGTGATGCTCCCGCGCCTAGAATCCCTGCGCCAGTATGTAGTCCTGGATTGGAACGAAGAAGTGACCCTGATAGATGTTAGCTTGGGACTCTCGCCACCGCGAGTATTTTCTTCGTACCGTCACTTCGATATGCCCCGTCACTGGACTCAACACAATCTTGTCCGACGGTATGTTGACCTTTTCTTTCAATTGCTCCATCAACAATTTCTTGTTGCCGCTGACCTTCTTGATCATGATCACCTCCTTTGTCTTGCCAGCCCTCCATTCTCTGTATACCGGTAATTGGGCGAATGGAGTCCGGCGAATCGTCCATGGTGATGCCGCGAACGCTTCGGGTGTGATGGTCGGCAAAGGTGTAGGGGGGCGCTCTACCATGACCCGCTTCGCACGAGGGGGGATATCGGCTGGTCGAGCATTTGGGCGTGGTTTGAGAGTCTGAGTAGTTGTCGAGAATGCGCGGCAGGATTTGGATGGTCGCATGGCGAGGAGGATACTGGAGGGAGGCATTGCTGCTAACGCTGAGCTCGGACGGAGCATTGAAGCGTATGGATGGGTGAGGAAATGCGCTGCTGGAGCAGTGTCGAGTCGAAATGAATGGTAAATCGAGGTATTCGCTGATGACCACGCGTTTTCGCGGCGCTGCTCTTGTCTGACGATGCGAGCGAAGCTTCACCAAAAATCTCGAGATCACATGACACCCCTGTCGACAAGAGGGACATGCCAATTTTAGCGTCCAGCGGTCGAACACCGGCTAAACACTCACAGGCGCCAGTCACAGGAACTCGCTAGCAAGTCGAAACCCCACACCACTTTGTGTGTTGGTGAATTTTCGCCAAAATTGCCCCTCCATTTGTCGACTGCAGAGAGCAGAGATCCGCCTTGACGAGACGCCTCACGATCGACTCGACGACCTTTTGACTCGCCCTCACGCACCCACCAGACCGATCGACCGACCGACCGATATCGATACAGCTGTCGCAATCATGGAGGATCTTCTCAAGACGGTCTCGACCGATGGGTCGAGCATCATGCCCAAGCTTGCGCCCCATCTCAGCCGTCACCTTCTCTTCCCGCTCATCCAGTATGAGAACGAGCAAGCCGAAGAGCAGGGTCAAGAAGAGAAAGCCCGCAAGATTGCCAGCGGCAAGATCAAGCTGCTGGAGGACACCAACATGACCGACTACGTGGCGAGCCTGTACTGCGAGCTGCACGGCACCGACGAGGCGCCCGCCGAGTACAACAAGAAGAGGCAGGAGGTGCTGGCCGATCTCGAGAAGCACGAGGCTGCGACGGCCAAGATTGCGGATCTCTTGACACAGGACGAGGTCTTGAACGGGCTGAGGAGCGACAAGCTCGCCAATTTGGAGTTCTTGAAGAAGGAGCACGGTGTACGTCTGTAGACTGCAAGGACGAAGGTACATGGGGGGCTAACTTTGCACAGGTGACCATGGACATGGTGAATGCGCTCTTCGACTTTGGCCAGTTCCAGTTCCGGTGCGGTCAGTACGGACCCGCCGCCGACATGCTCTACCAGTTCCGTGTCCTGTCCACCGACAACGACAAGGTGGCTGCCGCGACATGGGGCAAGCTCGCCTCCGAGATCCTGCAGACCAACTGGGACGCGGTCGTGGACGAGATCAAGAATGTCCGCGAAGGCATCGACACGCGCCTGTTCAGCAACCCGCGCGCGCAGCTCGACCACAGGACCATGCTGGTGCACTGGTGCCTGTTCCCCCTGTTCAACTCGGACACGGCCCGGGAACCGATCCTGGACATGTTCTTCTCCGCCGCCTTTATCAACACCATCCAGACCAGCTGCCCGTGGGTCCTGCGCTACCTCATCGCCGCCGTCATCACCGGCCGCAACCGTGGGCGCAACTCGTCTCTCCAGCAGAAGCAGCTCAAGGACATTGTCCGCTACGTCCGCCAGGAGGCCTACGAGTACACCGACCCCCTGACGCAGTTTGTGAACGCGCTCTACATTGCGCACGACTTTGAGTCGGCGCGCGAGGCCCTCCGTCTCGCCGAGCAGGTCTGCCGCTCCGATTTCTTCCTCGCGTCCTCGGCCGACGCCTTTGTCGACGCCGCCCGCCACCTCATCTGCGAGTCGTACTGCAAGATCTTCAGCCGCATGAACATTCACGACCTCAGCGAGAAGCTCGGCCTCAACCCGGCCGACGGCGAGAAGTGGATCGTCAACCTGATCCGCGAGACGCGCCTCGACGCCAAGATTGACAGCCAAGACGGCACCGTCGTCATGAACCACCCGCCCAACAACGTCTACCAGCAGGTCATTGAGAAGACAAAGGGTGGCTTCTTCCGGACGCAGGTCCTCAACGCGGCGGTGACCAAGGCGTCGTCGTGATCTTCTGTCTCTGTGCGTTCGCGTGTATCTTTGGGCTTTTCAACTTGGACTGAACGGGGTCACTGGCAGGAGGGAGGGAGGGAAGGAAGGGGAGGATAGAAGAAGGCTAGGCGGGTTCTTTCGCCACATAGTAACTAGAGAGGAGGCCTGTATAATCCCCCTTCGGTGATGCGGTTTGGCATTGCATGGCGTTATCTGGGATCAAAACAGGGACGCGGGATTCTCAAGAGAATCAAGGCTCTTTTATTGAATGAATGACTCTTACTTGAAGGGTTGCTTTCGTCGGCCGGTTACCATGTGTGAAAGGAACAGTGAAGCGATTTGCCAGAGCTGAGCTGGGCAACGGTGATTCTAGTGTAGGAGTTGACTACTTCTTTCTTGCAAGTACACCTTAGAGAAGAATCATAGAGTCTTCACTCTGCCGGCCATCCGAACAACCCCCTGAAGACCACGCGTCAGGGCGGACAATTGTGTGCCTCATGGCCTCAGCTCAGGCCGCTCTATGGGGGGCCAGATCTAAACCAGCTTCATCGAGAAAGGTGGGATACGGGTACAAGTTCCAAGTAGCAAGCCATGCTAGAAGCTGAATGAGAGCATATCATGGCAAAGAGTACGCGGCCATCGTTTACGTTGCTTCCCCTGGGATACTTGATGCGAGTTTGCTCCCGAGATGTCAACGATCGTCGAAACAAGCAGCATTTGGTCGAATGCTTTCCACAGGTCTCACAGTGGAAAGCCTGAATATGCCTTTCACAATAATGCTACGTAGGACCAGACGAGAGACGGCTTGGGGGCTGCCCAGTCACCATCCCATCTCCTATCACCACACTCGCCACTGACCGTGTGCACTGTGGACACTCCTGGCTGATGACCAGACGCTCACCCTTCGCTCAGATTCCAGTCTATGAATCCCCCTGGAAACAGTGAGCACGCTTTGCTTCGATGACTCCCCTCTGTTCCTTGTTTCCCCCCAGCGTGAGCCTGCAAAGCAACCTCTTCGACCGCACATCTCCCCCCTTCTCTTTCGCTGCTCAACACACTCGAGCAATCTGATCACCCAAGAAAACCAAAAGGTATGTACACTCCCTAGGGACTCTGGTTTTCTTTGTCTATAAATCAAGCGCTTGGCGGCACTTCCTCTGTTTGTACAGCCTCTCCTCGCCATCTTCTTCACTGGCTTCACCTTCTTGACACATCTCACCAATTCGCGGCCCTAAGGATCACAACAATAGACTAAAACAATATCTAGGACCCTCGTCAATATCTTCCATCAAGATGAATAACCTCTTCCGCTTCCTCGCCCTCACTGGCGCTACGCTCGTCGCCGCCGAGAACATGATCAACCTGGCCCCTTTCTGTGCGTTTTCTCCATCCGCCTTACGTACCATACTCATATTGACCAACACAGCCGACGACGTCTACACGCGAACTGAGCCACCCCAGGAGCTTGCATCCTCGACCGTTGACGGTACACAGCCTCCCTCCCCTCGCTCAGAGCATGTCACTAACACGCAAACAGGCCGCTTCGTCTACGAACTCAACCTCTGCACCATCGTCGAGTCTACCACCTGCCGGGTCTCCACGTCCACTGGCAACCCTGTCCCCGAGGAGCCCTCCTCTACGGCGTCCCCTACCCCGACTGGCGAAGACGGTCCCACTCCTACCGACAACGGTGGCAAGCTCACCTCTTCTCTCAGCACCGAGGATCAGCCCACGGCCACCGAGTCCGTTGCCGGCGAGGAGCCTACCGGCGGTGTTGCGAAGGCCAAGGCCCTCGACTACGGCGCCTTTGGTCTCGCTGGCCTTGCGGCTGCTTACCTCGTCTGATCCGACGCTCTCGGGAGCACACCCACAGGCATTGGGGTTTACGTTGATGATGAACACATCTTGGGGCGAAGGAAAGATTTTAAGTGGTACCTGATGCGCCGTTATGTACACGCTTCGCTCGTATCAATCGCGGCACCCTCCCGCATAAAATGGCATGAAACAAGTTGTGTCAACGACATCTCATGCCGCATGGCATAGCGGACAGCCATCGCGCGCCTGATCCCTCAATAATCGCGCTCGCATCACCTTCATGCTCACGCTGTACCGTCCTCCCTCTGCGGGCGGCCCCAGATCCACGTCCGCCTTCTTCCCATCATGTATCAGCTCCAGCAAGTGACTCACGTGGTAGACATGCCCGCAGGCATACCCCAGCAACGTCTCCATCTCGTATTCTGTAAACGGCTCATGGCACTGCGCGCAGTGACCTGGCTCCGGCACGCGGACGCCATGTGTCTTCTCATGGTCCTCGTCGCCTGCCTCCATGGCTTCCATGTCAACGTGCTTCCTCGATTTGACGACGACTTCGAATTTGACACCCTTTCTCTGGCGGGTGCGGAGTTCCTTTTGCGCGCCCGCGACTTCGCTCCGGAGGACCCGCGCAGCGCCGGAACTGATGCTGTACTGGATCTCGTGCTCCTTCATCATGTGCGTGAGGCCCTCGCGGAGTCCTTCGATCTCGAGTCCCTCGGGTATACGCTGCACCAGTTTGATCGGATCGACGGCGGTGCCAGCTTGCTCCAGTAGGCCGTGGATGAAGTTGGGCTTGTCCATGCTGTAGTTGAGCAAGTCGTCCCATAGATCATCATCGCCCTGTTCTTTTGCGAACTCGATGGCTTTGTGGACATCCTTGAGGCGGTCGATGATGAGATACAGTGCGCGCTTCATCTGCCCTGTCTTGGAATACAAGTGCACCAACTCGTCGTCGTACGAGTGAAGCTCGCACTCTTGGACAGCCTGAACAGTTAGCATGGTCTATATCTGGATACCCTCGGGAAAGGGCGAGACTTACTTTCTCCAGTACGTAGGATGTCGATGTTCTCAGGTATTCCATCAAGAGCGGCCGGTCGTACATTGCGAATAGATGCACAGCTAGATCAGCATAGTTGTCGACTAGCGACTGGCTGTCCATGACAAGGCGATCCACGTTCTCCCCAGTGCGCTCCTCGAGGCCATCGCCCTTCCACAGACCGCGCAGGTAAAAGTACAAGTACAGGTGCAGCTCTTGGGCTTGGAGCTGCTCGACGACCGTGTCGGGGCGCACTAGGCCGTGGTGGGCTTCATCCACGAGTAGTGCGATGGCCTCGGCCGTTGCAGCCTCTAGATCTTGCTCTGACATGTTTGGTAGATCCTCGGCCGAGACCCTCAAGCCGATGAACCCGGGAATGTCATCCACAACAGCCTCAGCCAAGTGACTGTCCCTGATAAGCCTGAAGACCGAGTCGGCATCTTGCAGCTTGATGTAGCACTTGAGCGCCTCATGGTACCGCCCGATGGCTTCGTGCAATCGCGCCAGACTCTCCACGACGATCCGCCAGTCGCGACCCTTCTCGCCATCTTCGACGCTGTCCTCGCGCACATCGCGGTATTTCAGCTGGTTCTCCAGCGCTGTTGTAACGGTTCGCGCATCAAAGAGTTCCGTCGACCAACGATCCAGAAGCTCTCTAAACCTGGGCTTGTCGGTCTTGATGTAATGCCCAAGGAGGACCTCGTATATAGTTGTCGGCAAGGGCGGTATCGTCGGCTCGGTCGGTATGAAGTTGGTGATCTCGTCAAACTTGCCTGCCCCGGCAAAGGCCCAGACCCATTTCTCCCAGCGGTCTGGCGTGGTCACCACCTTGCTGCAGACCTTGCCCGCCTCAAGCCATTTTCCTTCTTCGACAAGTTCCTGCACCCAGAGCTCACCGATTCGTCCCTTTTCACGCTCAACAGACGAGTACATCTTATTGTAATTTGAATCCGTGACAGAGTCATCATCGGCAGGTTCGTCCCCGTTTCCTCGAGGGGCTGTCTGCTGCTCGGATGCCGGAGCCCAGATCTCAGGGTGCTCGTCCAGAAGTTCCCATGCCTGGCTGAACTGCTGTCGCTCCAGCAGCCATTGGAAATGATCGGCAAGGTCTCTTTTTGTTGCCAGAATGCAGTCATACGGACTGTGGATGAAGATCTTGGAGCCGGGCTTGACCAGGTTAGGATGCACCGTCGTTGCTTGGTTCGAAGCCGAGCGCATGGGGCCTCTGGTGCTACCAGTCATGATGCTCGCCTCTTCACCGCTGCCTCGACTTCGGATGCTCGCGCCTGAGCTGAATAGCGATCCGGGGTTGACCGTCGCATTCCACATGCTGCTGCCAATGCCACCCAGCGCATCGAGAACGCCTCGCGATGACGCAACAGCGGCGGCGTTGCGCGGCGGCAGGATGCCGAGGTGATAGTCTCTGGCCGACAGTCGCTCATACCTACTGACATTGAGGCTGTCCGCGCTGACCTCCTCGGACGTGTCGAGGTCAATCAACCGTAACTCAGGTCGAAGGTGATTGGCTTTGCGTGGCAATCCCCCTGATGGTTGACTCCCCATCGAAGACGAGGAGTGCTTTGACTTGTGGCCCTTGACGTGAGGCACATCCTCTTCGTCGTCCGTATGCTCGTCGTCGTCGTCTGCCGTCACGTACGCCAGGACCACCATGAGGTTGTGGGTGTACAGCGAAATACCAGAAATAATGCAGTCGAGTCGCAGAATCTTTACGATTTGCGCATCACCTGGTATCACTTCCCCTGCATGTTTACCAGTACCCTTGCCGGTGGGATGGACGTGTATGATCCAGACAGTGCCGCCCCAGCCAACCAGTAGACGCTCGACTCCTTTATTAGACAGCGTCGCCTGCTCTCGTAGTTTTGACATTGCTGGCGTTCCCTGGCTGCCCGCGTTCACTGGCTGCGTCTCGAACGCAGTCTCATCTATCCATTCAACCCGCCCCTTCCAGACGCCAGCCATGGTCTCCCATTCGTCCGTGTTAGGACGGTCAATGTGACCAATACGCTTCCACGCGTCGTCGGTGTGGTTGCTGTCGAGATGCAGGTGGGACCTCATGATCTTGATGCCATGTTCATTCAGCCAGACAACATACTTTCCGGAAAGCGACCACTGGATGGTACTGATTGTGCCCTCACCCGAGTGCAAGATCGTGTCCTTGCCTGTGTTCGATCCGAGACCCATACTGCCGAGCCATCCTGATGCGGTGGCAGCAGCGCCGCCCGTCGTGGTGGACGTGCTTCGTCCTGGTCCACCGCCCACGGTCAAGATAAGCTGTCCACCAAGACCACCTGAGATATAGGTCCGGTCGCTCTTGTATTCTGGCGATAGAGCAACAGCCTGCACCGGCCGCGCGAAATTGCGCAACTGTACGTCCTTCAGGTCTAACAAGGACTGAACGCAGACATTGCCGTCCATGGACGAGGTTGCTATATAGATGTCGTTTGAGGGCGTCTTTGGCACCTGCTGAGCCTCCCGAGGCTTTCGAGACGAGGCAGCCGGTGCATTGGACTGCTGCGAACCGGGTCGGTCCTGGGATGCGTGGGTGGCGCTTCGTGTCGGAACTTGAGGCTTGTCGCTGGGAAGAGGTGGGGGATACGGGGATATCGAGATGCCTGTCACGGACGCAGCATGTGCATGATACACCCGCAGTGACTGAAAGACAGGTAGCTGGATGACGTGAATGTTGCCGTTGTGTGTGCCGGCGATCATTTTGTCCCCTGCCACGAGGAACGAACTCGTTGCATCGCCATTGCGGTACAGAGGGCGCAGGTGCTGTGTCATGGGCGCATACTTGAGCTGTGGTTCTTCGTCTTCGTCTTCGTCTTCGTCTTCGTCTTCGTCGTCATCCTCGTCCTCATCATCCTCATCGACACCTTCACCGTCTTCGTCTTCCTCGTCGTCATCGTCCTGCTCGTCGTCATCGCCCTTGGGCCTGGCAGCGCTGGCTTTGCCTTGGTTTTCGAGTCGTCCAACATCCGCCAACGGGGTTGCTAGGTCTTCCTCGTGTCTGGAGGTCACGCTGCCTTGATCATCGTCGCGTGGCGCGTAGCTGGGCAGCTGGGGAGACTCAGACTCATCGGCGCGGCCAGTGCCTGTCGAGGGCGTCTGGTCTGTCATCGCGACAGCGCATTCGTCTCGATCATACTGTGGGGGATTGGCAGTCGAAGTCGCGTTGTCGAACCGTCTGAATCGTTTGATGAGTACGTAGTAGGTGGTCGGGGTTGTTGGGAGGTGGAGGAAGCAATTGCGGTGCCTGCATTCACTACGTCACGAGGATGCCGTCGGTAAGGTACCACCTTTTGAGGTAAGGTACCTGAAGGCTGACGGATACAGCTTCATCCCTGCAAGCTATGCCCCACTAACTCACCACCCACCCTCGACCACATCCCACCACCAAGGGATCCGAACGCGTCGCAAACACGCGTCGTGGAGCTTCAAAAAGCATCAAGGACCTCTTTCGACCATCACGACCGATTGCAGCTTATGGAGCCCACGCGTCATGGCCTCGGTCGAGTCCCTAGGGCTGCACCAACCCTCGGGGCTTCAGTACGCCATCAACGAGCAACTACTTCCGCCCAACCCACCCTCGAGCGCATATGAATGGCACATTTCGACCGACGATACGAACGGGGAACATGTCGAGGATGAATTGTTGACAGCAAAGAACACGGTCATCTGGTCGAGAGGTGGCCTGGTCCGGAAGAGCTACAATTTCGACGTCGAGAAAGAGTCCATCACCCAGGCGCTCTTCGCACACTTCCCAGCTCCAGAAGACAATAAAAGACGAGCAAACGATTCTCCAAAGCTCGAAAAGGCTCTGGTCGTCATCCTTCAGACACAAGCTCGCATATACTGTCTCTCGGGCACCAGCCATGTCGTCCACATACCCTTCCCAGTCGAGTTCGCCTGCGCGGCACCCATTGGCATCATCCTGCAGCGACGACCTGCACCCGCCAATGCATCAGCGGTCGCGCTCAACGTCCCTCGTGTGACGCAGAGTTCACTTGTCTCATCGCATCTATCAGCCTTTCAAGCGTCTCAGATATCGACCTTCTCCATCGAGAATATGGGCAACGTGAGGCCACTCAGATTTGGCATGGGATCGACGGTCGGCCACGATGACCAGCAAAAACCAGTGGCCGACTCCCAATGGCCACGCTTGATGAGTCTGAAGGATCCTGTGCTGGAGCTCGGTCTCGTCGTCAGGGAAGCTGAACCCGACCCCAAGAAAGGACGGAGAAAACAATCCAAAGCGCCAAGCTTCCTTCACTCGTCCGAAGAGCTGCTTCATATCGAGCAGATCAGCATTGTCGGGGCAGAATCTGTCACTTTGGTGGTTACGCTCAATCGCGAGACGAACTCATTCACTGTATGGCGCCTAACATATCTCGACCCTTTCGACCCCTTTATCAAAAAGTCGAACAAGGTGGAGCGGCGAAAGTCGCACAGACGAAGTTCTATGCAGCCGCCGCTGAGCAGTGGTACCTCGACGCCTGCGCATGCAGGGGGCCGCGACAGCTTTGGCGCCCCTTTACCAGGAAAACGACCGCGCAAGACGGAAAAGATCGAGAAACCGCTCGATCTGGTGATGTCGCTGGAACAGCAAGACCACGAGACCAACAAGGCCACGCGCCGAAGCTCCCGAAGAGTCAGTTCCATGCTGGCACGAGCTGACTTGTCAGCGTCCCATGAACGACATGCTTTTGGTGATCAGTCTGTTGGCGCAGGACATGGCTCCACACGGCGAGGAGAGTCTTTTGGTGCCAACGCACGCTCGAGTGTGCATGGAAGCCAGATACGCCCCAGCCTGGGAAGCCTGCTTGAGGCACCCTTTGACGTTGGTCTCGACGAGGGGTTCCATAACATGGGCCTGGAAGACCACGAGATCGATGGCCTGCAGCGGGAGGTCAAGCTAGCGAAGATTCACAGCATTGATTGGGAGAGTCATGCATTTCACTACCAAGCTGGCAGGTCAACTCGGAAGCCTCAGCCAAAAGTGTTCATCCTGAAAGCACCGCCCTTTGAAAGCAATCACAATTCCGTGCGGCAGCTTCTTGTTGGTGTACAGGATCCGACCGACAAGCACCTGCAGTTCATGGCGCTCCAGCTCCAACTGAAGCCGAAGAGCGCCAAAAGCAAAGGCCCCGTAACGGGGGACCTTGGGGTCATGCATGTTTCGTTGCTTCCGGGGGAACTGAGGGTCGCTCATAATGTGATGGACTCTTGCAAAGTTGTCGATGGCGACGAGTCCGCAGTCCTTGTGCTGTCTGAATCTGCCGATGGACGGCACGAGCTGACCCTTCAAGCGCCATGGCGGGAGCTGACGAGGATACCTTTGACCATGCTGCTTGTTGAAAACACCAAGAGCTTGCAGTATGTAGCTAGAAGCATCGATCGGGACGTCAAGCACCTCAAGTCGGAAGTTATCGACCCAAGCAACGGCAGTATCGTGGGCATCCGGCATAGTCGGAGCCGCGGTGTGGTCGATGTTGTTGACTCGCAGGGCAGGCTACACCAGCTCAGGATTCAGTTGCAGCCTGTCACTCCACTGGTGAGACGCGTGCTGGCGGTCTGCAAAGGTGCACTGCCAGATGGCGTCGGGGAGCGCATCCAAGCCGGCTGGTTCCATACCATGCAGTGGCTCTCGGGCCGCGATGACAATGTTGCTCATGTAGAATGGTCTGCGACCGTCATATTGCTGCTAGCCATGTATCTCAACCTGGGCCGCACGGATACCACTGCCTTCACAACGACACGATTGCCTGTACGAAAGAGGCGGACCGTGTCTGGGTCTTTTGGACCGATCCGCGAGTCCGATGACTGGAAAGCTCTGGAGATGGGAGAAACGGTCAACTCGCACGGCTGCCCGCCGTGGCTGATGAACAAGGGATGGGAGTGGGCATTGGACGAGGACTTGGACGATGCGATGTCGCCTCATGGAGAACTGAGCCCGGCTCCGAAATTCATGAGCCGTCACATTACCCTGGCCAAGGAGTTTCTATCCGCTGCAGCTGGCGAGTCTGCCACAGGCCCAGGAGGCTACTTACCTACGGCCCTCAGCAGAACCCCAGAGTCGAGGAGAAAGAACGCGACAGATATGTTCCTGGCGCTCCATCTTCTGCTCGAGGAGATGAAATTGGACATCACCATCCCTGAAACTGTTTCCCCTGGCAGGGTTGACCTTCGCGTCATGCTATGTCAAATTGGCCGATGGCTTTGCTGGGAGAGCTTCTGGACGGTACACGAGGTTGGGATACAAGAAGACATTGATCATCGTCATGACACCGACCTCCAGGTGCAGCCCCCTATTGAGGAACCGGTTAAGCGACCAGACATATTGCAATGGATTCAGGGCCAGTTCACACAGACTGAGCGTGAGCCCTACTTTACACCAGCCGAGATGTTCTATCTAAGTTGTGGCATGAGCGAAACCGACCTCAAATGGGACTTGCGATGGAACGACATTTTCCCTCGGACGCTCGTCTTTAAGCGCTTCTTCAAAAGCCTGAAGCGAAACCCTTCCGCCGTGGACATGGTGGAGGCCATGGACGAGTGTGGCATGATACCCTCATTTCTTGATACACTGCCTGAAGCAGTGTTGGTACCTTTGCAAGACGCCATCTCGCAGTGTCAACCGCATCCGCCATCGACGTGGTCTAGCAGCCTTCTCCATTTGGTGAAGAGGAAAGACATTGCCCGAATCCTGACTCCTGACGAGCACAAGCGGCCTCCAAATGCGAATCTACTAGCACCGACTCATGCAGCTACATGGGATTTCAAGCTTCTCTGCTCTAGTGTCGAGGAGGCCAATGCTCTTGCACCCGAGGAAGGCGAAGGCACTGAACGACAAGCTGTTATCCGCGCCTTGTTCAAGGATGATCGACGTCTGAACGAAGTGCAGGAACTGCTATCCACGCACAAAGCCCGCGCAGTACATTTTTCGGCACCATCCGACGTGCCTGAGAGTGTCCACTTGGAGAAGCAAAAGGACTTTGTTGCCAGAGTCGCGCTCGGCACCTTGGCCATACCCTCTGGTCGGGGTCTCTTGTTCTATGGGCTGCGCCACCCCATCCTCACACAAAGACTGCAGATCAGCGGCTTCAACCTGCACTGCGTAGTCAAACCTGCCAACGTTACGGTGGCCGTTGACAAGAGCCACTTTTCCGAGGACAAGGTATCTTGGGCTTTCTTCCACCAGGGCGTGGCAGCAGCGTTGGCGGTGTCACCCGAAGCAAAGGGCATTGATTCATCGTGGATCATCTTCAACAAGACGTCGCAGGAACTCGGCAACCGTCACGCCGGCTTCTTACTCGCGCTGGGGTTGAATGGTCACCTAAAAGGTGTGGCCAAATGGGTCGCGTACAAATACCTTACCCCGAAGCACACCATGACCTCGATCGGTCTCCTCTTGGGCTTCGCGGCATCTTACATGGGGACTATGGACTCACTGATTACCCGTCTGCTGTCGGTGCATGCTACGCGCATGCTACCCCGGGGTTCTGCTGAGTTGAATCTATCACCCCTCACACAAACCTCTGCCCTCCTCGGCATCGGTCTACTGTACTGCAACAGCCAGCATCGCCGTATGAGCGAGATCATGCTCTCCGAGATTGAGCATATTGACGTCGAAGATGAGCAAGAGCCCTTGCGGAGCGAGTGTTATCGCCTAGCGGCTGGTTTCGCTTTGGGATTCATCAACCTCGGCAAAGGCAATGATCTCAAGGGCCTTCATGACCTGAAAGTCACCGAGAAGCTCATTACACTTGCTACGATGACAAAAAGTGTCGAAATTGTCCATATCCTGGACAGAGCCGCTGCTGGCGCGGTGATGGCTATTGCTTTCATCTACATGAAGACGGAGGATGCCAGTGTAGCACGCAAAATCGACGTGCCCGACTCCATCCTGCAGTTCGACTACATCCGTCCAGACATCTTGCTGCTGAGGACGATGACCAAGAACATCATCATGTGGTCCAAGATCCAGCCGACATTCTCTTGGATCTCCAAGAGTCTACCCAGCGTCTATCGATCTCGGCACAGGCTACAAAGCACGAATGGGCTTCGGTCGACGGATCTGCCGCTCTTCAGCATTCTGGCTGGCGTCTGCCTCTCCATCGCCCTGCGCTTTTCCGGCAGCGCATCGATCAAAGTGCGTGACCTTTTGCTGCACTATCTGGACCAGTTTATCCGCATCACACGGATACCTTCGTCCGTCACGGATCCAGAGCTTAGCCCTCCTTATGACGAAGAGCTTACACGCTCTAATGCGCGCATGTGTCAAGACGTCCTGGCGCTTTCGCTGTCTATCGTTATGGCTGGCACGGGCGATATACCCGTTCTTCGTCGTCTACGGTCTCTTCACGGGCGAGCCGACGCAGAAACGCCCTATGGATCCCATCTAGCCGCTCATCTGGCCATTGGCGCCTTGTTTCTCGGCTGTGGCACCGTCACGTTCGGGAACAGCAACCAAGCTATTGCCGCCCTTCTCATTTCCTTTTATCCCATCTTCCCGACGGATGTGATGGACAATCGCTCCCACTTGCAGGCCCTGCGACACTTCTGGGTTCTCGCCACCGAGCAACGCTGTCTCGTGGCCAAGGATATCCTGACAGGCCAGCCCGTCGCAGTGGATGTACAGATACGTCTCAAATCCCGCCACGTAGAGTCATCCCTTTACCGCACGACGCCCTGTCTCCTTCCACCACTGGAGCAGATTGAGAGCCTCTCCACAAATGGGGGACCCGAATTCTGGGACATCACCGTGGACTTCAACCGAGCCGAAGTGCGCGAGGACTTTGCCAAGACGCAGAGTATCTATCTCCGTCGTCGGCCACCTCACGAAGGAGCCTTCTCCTCGACCCTCAGGGCTTTAGGGACTGCAAAGAAGGGCAACACGCCTCTCGAGTGGCTCTTCAGTCTCGATGCGCTGAAAGAAATAACGCATGCGGAGCGTGCGGCAATGCTACAGGCCACGTCTGGAGAGGAAGAAGAAGAGCGGGAGACGGGTTGTGCTGTCGACGCACGTTTGGAGTTGAACAGGGGCATCAGTGAAGCCACCGACCGTGAAAGGATGGAGGGCGCCAGACTTTTGTTCGAGTGGGGAAGCGTCAGAGATAGAATGCTCAAGGGTGTCGACGTGGGCGACAGCATGTCCACGGAGAAGAATGAAAGTATGCGGACCCAGGCGGGTAGAGGAGACGAGGGGACGTGGTGGATGAGGGACAGTGTTGTCGAGGCACTCAAGGGGCAGGTCATGTTGACGGGCAGAGAGCTCGATGATTAGAAGACAGTGCCGAGCGAGTGTCTTTCCAAAACCTAGAATTTCTAAGAAAGACTTCGTCATATTCCACTTGATGATGCCCACTTCAACGTGTGGAAGCAACCAACTTTCGGTCCTCATAAGAGTCCTTGGATATGACCACACCCACGTATGTTGACAAACATACCAGAAAGCAATCGGCAATAAATTGGGCAAGTAACCGTCACGCCCGGCGATTTGTCCGTTCCTCCTTTCCCGACGCCTCTTATTGAGTCCGGGCGCGCAGCGTCGTGGGAGTCACGGCTACCCTGCAACATGCAGCTGAGATTAGTGTGCTTTCACCAGCATATGTATACAGCATACCAGTACTAAATAGATTCTGCCCACCAGCGCTAGCGATCTCGTCGAGTGAGTATAGGACATGTCAGCATGTTCGTTCGGAGGTTGGCAGATTCAAGGGCGACGCTTCAAGCCCTCACTCAAGCCAAACACAGGTTGCGACCTATATATACCTCAATTTCTGCCCCATCCATTTGATGGAACGCAGATGCCCGAGTGGTTAAGGGGGCGCGTTTGTACGTACCTCTGCTTTTATCTCTCCATCCGTCTAGCGCTAACTCTGTTTAACAGAAGTTTACCAACTTCCCGCGCTGTCGTAAGACGTCAAGAGTTCGAACCTCTTTCTGCGTAATTCTTTTTTTTTTTTGTTTTCTTCTTCCCCTTTTCTTTTTTCTTTTTCGTCTCCGGTTTCACGTCGGCTATAGGGAATGAAGCAAGGATCGCCTTCTCACGCAATTCGATGCACGTCGTTATGGCTGTTCTTAATATCCTCGGCCTCTCAAACACCAGCGCGTACATCGAACCTTGCACCGACAACTCCCCAATGATTTCAGCTTGATGAAAATCACTCGGCGTGGACACAGCGCATATGCGATGCAGCGATCGTCCATCGCGCAGCATTTTGTATATCGCCTGCCGATTGGATCGCATCCGCTGCCAGTTCTGGTGTTCCAGGAGGAGCGTCTTGCGGCAAACATCGCCCAGCAGTACGTGGATGCCGCAGCTCCTAAGCCGCTCAAATGCCCGACAATTGCGCTGAGGAGCTGGCAAGTCATCCTACGAAGAAAATGACCTCGGCCTCCCACCATGTTCGACGAGGAGCCTAAGTATTGTGCGCAGAGAGGCCCCAGGCCACCCGAGCGGGGGGGTAAGGTTCGGAACCGTGTCGACTGTCAGGACTCAGACCTGAGCCATGGCCTTATGGAAACCCATTCTTTGACTGATGTACTTTCTCATGACCACGCCAGAGAAACAACGGATGACTGCTTCCTAGGATATCCGCTGGTGCCTTCTTGCAATTCACCTTCTGTTGGGGCGGCTATCAGACATGGCACGCTACACATTGAACTTGACCTGTTCAGCCCGTGATCAGCAGTCTCCAGACAACGGTCACGAGTGTTGTCGTCAAAATAAAGAAGGTGGTATTGGATCAGCAGTAGCCGGGGCTTGTCACCCTCTCCACCCCGCAGTCTGTTTCGCTCGGCAATTTACCCCAGACAAGACCCCATGTCAAAGTCGGCATTTGCAAATAAAGTTCCGAGAGGCGAAGAGACACAAGTCAACCCACCCCCACCGGAATGCTCCCCTTGTCGACAGAGCTGAAGAGTGTCGTGAACCTCATTCGCGCGCCAGAAAGGGGGGAGAATGGCGAGAGTGGCCGAGGGAATCGCGATGTCTCGTTGGGATTGCAAAGTACATCGATGCTACCCAAAGTGCTTCGCCAGTCAAAAGCATAAATAGGAGACTTATGCGCACCGTTGCTCTTCATTATAACACATCCAGCCCTCAACTGCTTCGAACTAGCTGTCCAAACTCAACGACCTCCAAGTCTCGCCTTCATCCCTCTTCTTTCGCCAACATGCGTCTTTCAATCCTCGCCGCCATCGCAGCCTTTACCTACTCGGCATCAGCCGACCTGGTCTGGTCTCTCGAGAAGTCCTCAGCCCCGTCTGACGACGAAGCTGACGCCTACGCAAAAATCGAGACCGCCATGACGCTGGCCGTCCAGCGCTACAATGGCCTCGCCGATCCTGTCAAGACGATCCGCGTCTACTACGCACCCGGCGTGCCCACTGCCGAGGCCAACTTCAGCGGCGACCTACGCTTCGGCAGCAACAGATCCTACATGAATGAGCGCACCGCCCTGCACGAGATCTCGCACACACTGGGTATCGGGCAGACAGCTGCCTTTGACAACAAGTGCAACGCCAATGACTGGGCGACCGCAACGCCACTGCTGCAGTCATGGGACGGACCTGATGCCCGGATCAACTGTGGAGGAAGCCACATTTGGCCCTACGGTTTGAACTATGACAGCGAGTTCAGCGAGGAGGCGGCCAACAGGCACGTCCTGCTGATCCAGGCTATGATCAATGACGGGTTGATGGGTTAGATTATTCTTTGGAGTTTGCCGAATGCAAGTCCGTATGTACCTCGAGGAAATGGAAAAGGTATTTCCAAACACCGCATTGGATGTGTATCGACTGGTTTGTCGGTCTATTTGTTCCCTGTGATTTTGTATAGAAAGAAAACCTCTCGCAGCAGAAGCGGAGACTCGAAAATGATCTTCTGAGCTGATATCTGTGGTAAGCTATTCCAAAGCGCAGATCTCCATTGACGTTTTCGAAAACGCGTCAACCTGGAGGCTTGAGAGTCTGCCGAGCGGGATGGCCTCTCAACTTCCCCAATACAGACTGACTCACTTCGTCTTGAACGTTCCGTACGAATGAATGTGGCTCGACTGAAGGAGTGGGAAAATGCTGGTGCTATGGCTGCAGTCAAAAGACCTAGCGGAGTCGAGCCATTCTCAAGCCTCCAGGTTGACGTGTTTTCGAAAACGTCAATGAAGATCTGCACTATGGAATAGCTTACCGCAGAAATCAGCTTATCATAGAGCCCTGCCCAGGGGTTGCTTTGTGGCCTTTGCCTGCCCAGAGATTGCTTTGTGGCCTTTGCCTGCCCAAAGCATGGTCGCCCATGCCTCGCTGCACATGATCTTTGTCAAGATCAAGTTCAAGAGGATGCAAGTCAAGGTTCAAGATGGGTCAAGAGTCAAACCGATCTAGCGAGTAATGTGGCCCCGCCCGCCAGATCTCACCCGCGCAGCGCACGCCGCACGCCGCATACCTCATCTTTCATTGAACTCAACAGTCAAGTAATACAGACTGCAAAAAGAAAAACTATTGTATCCTCAGAGTGTGCAAAATGCAAAAGATTTGGACGAACAGGGAATTGAACCCTGGACCTCTTCCATGCTAAGGAAGAATCATACCACTAGACCATTCGCCCGTTGGTGGATCGGAATCCTGGACGCTCGAGGCGCCTGTTTGATGGAGGTGTGCGAAGAAATTGAGCTTTATGTAGTCCGCATGGCATTCTTGGAAAAAAAAGAAAAAAAAAAAAAAACGCAGCACATCACACAGACAGTCGGAAGTACGGATCACGCTCATGTTGTTCAAGTTTGTCATTTCACATTTTTAGCTGTCATTGCCGTCCTATTATCCGCGTCTCGTCATTATACAGGTCATCCAGCGCCGTCACGCGGTCCTCCCCATTGGACGACGCCTTTGACGACGAAAAGTGCACCTCGCCAGTAGCCGAAGACGTCGAGATCCGTCGGAGATAGAGGACTGGTTCGGGCGGTGGTATGTTGGAGCCCTGCGAATGGCTCGTATGTCGTCGCTGTATGTCGCGCGACAGTGTGAAGAAGAAGGCAGCGTTGGCCACGATGCAGGCGCACAGAATCTCGATGGACGCCCACAATGATCGCGTTCGCTGGCTGAGTGATTGTGTGAGGATGAGTGGAAGGCGTAGGAGCGTGATGATGACGACAATGGTGCCGATGCCGAAGAGGAGGTACAGTTGGAGCTTGCTGCCACGCGTGTCAGTGATGTGATTGGGCTCATCGGCCACAGGAACACTTACTCCTTCTTTTGTAGTCTGACGTTTCGCAGCATCGGAAAGGGCAGCGCAATCAGGACCAGGTCGGTGAGAATGTTGGTGATCGCCATGGTGAGGAGGTTGGCCATTGCCTTGGCGCAGGTCGGAACTACTCTCGCGTCAGCGCCTAATCTGATTCCTTCATATCTCGAAAACACGTACGTTTGCCGGGGGGCGCTAAATCCCAGGCACTATTAAAGACATTGGTCAGCTTCTGGTGTCCCCAGGATCGGGGGTGGACGAACAGATGAAGTGGACGGCACTCCGAAACAGTGGCGATTACGACCCCCACAAAGGTGACAACAATGAACCACCAGGAGATGGTGGCCGCTCTTTTGCCCCAGTCCAGCGTGTTGATGAATCGTGAGTAGAATGCGAGAAGGCAGAGCTTCAAGCACCACAAGCTATGTCCCAAGGTCAGACCACAACCGCACATCGGCAGAGCCAGGCGCAACCTACAACAAGGCATAGCATATCCTGCCAGGGATAAGCAGTTTCCTCGCCAGCTCCCTGTCCGCGTTCAACTGCGCAACGGTCAAGCCCACGGCGTTGGCCTCCTCGACCGACACTGGCGCCGTGGACTGCGGCGGATTGAGCACAAAGGCACTCAGAATCGTCGCGGATCGACCGATGAGCGGCAACAGCGCAAATGCCATGATGGTGTCATCGTTGCGCCAGTGTCGGTGGCACGTCTTGTGGATGTGGCATCGCGATACGGCGCGGTAGACGCAGCGGAAGAGGATGAGCGTTGCGCAGAGGCAGGTGGAGAAGATGCTGAAAATGAGGTCCGACGAGAGCGCCATTTTCTTGGTGCCCGCTGTCAACGCGCCATTGGAGGTCGGTGTCTCAGCGCAACGTGTGCCTTCCGTGTCTTGGATGTCTGTTCCATGAATCCACGGGTGTGAACAAGTCAACAGGATAAGGATTAATATTATGTACAGAGGTCATGGGGCCGTCCAGCCGGCTGGGCATGTGGAGGGCTCGTCTGGGGTCGGGGTCACCCCGTGTCGGCTAGTCATGCTCCCGGTCCACGGAGCTGGGAATGGATCATTTCGATGTCTGGCGTCGAAGTCCAGCCGCACTGGAGTCTGCGAGTCTGCGAGTCGGCCGCAGGAACCGTGCAGGTGGTGGCATAACCATATTTCCCCTGTTCAATTATCGCTGCCTGCAGCGCTGCGGAAGCCATGTCTCTGGCGAGAATACCTCCCAACCATCCCCACGTCAATCCGAGGAGCAAGTCGAGACGAAGGAAGAGGCCCCTTGGCCTGACGAAGACGGTCGAATTTCTTTCACGAAACGAGCCAATCTTCGCGTCCAGTGGCTTGCGTAGCGCCCCGCGATCATCCGACGCAGCAGTCCATGACTAACGCATCCTGGGCGCGCAATTCTACAGTAATATGCGCGGTCCGCCGGACAAACTTCAAAGTTCCCAGGACACGAATGAACCAGACGAGTGCCTCTCCCCATTCCGCGCCCTGTCCATGGCGACAGCCGTTGTTCCGGCTCCTTGACACTTGCTGCGCAGCAGCCTCAGGGGGGTCGAACCCCACAAAACGCGCAGATCACCAGCATTCGGGCTACGTCCGCGTTGGGCTCAAGTCGTAGACTCGTAGGGCATCAATCGAGCATCTTGATTCTTAACTACGTATCTGGAAAACCGATGGGATGAACTCGAAGGTTGAGCGCCTCATAGGGCTGATCTGTGAGCGGTGCGGGTGGGGAGACTGGATAAAGCTGACACTAACGATCTGGTATCCGTATGTGAGGCTGTGAGCAACGTACAGCACTAACGTAGGAGATTCTGGAGCCGACATGACACATCACGGTGGCTATCTGATGGTGGTACATGCCGCAATCAAGTCTATCTACAGACGCCGAACTCCTTGCCATTATACAAAAAACCCATCCTATCAAAAGATCCTCCTGACACTCGCCTTCTCCCACTGCACAACTGGACATTGTCGATCATCGCGGAACTGCTGCACCCTCTCACTGACCCAGCCAGCCTTGATCTCCTGCTGGGGATCGTCAACCGAGCGTGTGGGCTTGTCGCCATATCGGATCGAGCGCATGGCGATGCACTTCTTCTCTTGACCACCACGCCACGACCACTGCACGCAATTGTCAAAAGACTTGCAGTAGTCGCCGCAAGCGTCAAAAGAGTCGATGCTGGCTTCGGGAGGGGCTAACCAGCCGTCCCAGTCGCCATTGTCCCAGTTGTCCTTGACGGAGGGGTCGCCAGGATGATGGAAGCGCCAGAGGTCGGCGTACAGCAAGGGGCGCTGCCATGATTAGCAAAGTCACAACGGAGATGGACTGTTGTTCCACTTACTCCAAGCTGTCTCTCACCAAATTCCCACTTCCACAGATCTCGCATGTCATCGGGCTTCGTCTTGTGCAGAGTGATGGGTGGCTGACACCAGTATAGATCGCTGAACGGTATCCCATGCGCAGGATGGGGATTAAAATGTGGCCAGTACCCATGCAGAGGGATTCCAATATCCCAGAGACTCCATCCCATGATGCTGTCACCACAACACTCTCCCCTCAGGTCGGGCAGCCACTTCTCCAACAGAGGAGGCTCAATGTACTGGCCAGCCGCATCCGTCTCGCGATGCAACAAGGCCTTGATCGACCCTCGGCTCAGTACGAAGCCAGGACCGCCGTTGGCAAAGAATGTCTTGATCCTCTTGTCCTCCACGACTCGCCCTGGCGATGGGGACCCCATGTATAGCGGGACCTCGGGGTCAAAGGTCTGCAGGAAGCGAAACGCATTGTCCCAGAACACATACGTGTCCGTCTCGAAGAAAAAGTAAAAGTCCCTGTCGGGCTTCATCATGACGGCCCTCTCCACCATGGGCAGGAATTTGTACTTGTCCAGGATCCACCCATTGATCTTGCCCATGGCCTCCTTGTCCTTGTCCAGCGTGCCATTGGCTTTCATCTCCTTGAGCCAGACGTAATTCATCAAGTCTGGATTGTCATCTGCGTAGTATATCTCGGGCAGATCGGCCAGAACATCGATGACCTCGTGGACGTGGATCGTCTCCTCGAGATCCGAAAAGATGAGTAGCTCGTCCTTGTCGAAGCAGGCGCTCACGCTGTCCAGCTGCGCTTCAATCTTGGCCTTATCCTCGCCATGGCCCATCTTGAGGACGGGCTGCACGGAGCCGAGGAGGTGTTTCGGGAACGTTGCGCAGAGAGCATCTTTCGATTTCGCAGATGGGTTCTGGACGCTGACGGGGCGGAAACGGCTGGTCGTCGAGAAGGGGTAGTATTCGGGCGGCGGATCGCTCTTCAAAAAGGCAGGCACCAGCGCGACGAGGCTGGATGTCGTGCTGGCGTAGATGTCAGGAGGGAGATGGAGCTCGTCGCTGTGCGCATTGTGAAGCGTGATTACGAGGATGATGAGGAGCGCGACGGCCGCGAGGATGACGATGCGCGTGAAGCGCTTGTTGAGCGCGAGGGCGCGCAGTGATATGGTGGGTGTTGCCGCATTTTGCGACTTGAAGGCCATGATCGCATCTTGGAGGTGGTCGACAATCGAGACTGGTCGAAGGGTGATGCCGTTGGACATTCAATTGCTGACGGACGGTCCGGGCCGTTCGAGGAGCTGTGCGACTGTCTACCTACCCTATACTTGTGTGCCAACTTCGACTGTATTACCGTGCACACTCACAATAAAGACGTTCCCTTGCGGTGATCTTCACAGCTGCACCTTGTCGTCTCTAGAGCAAGCTTGTGCGCGCTTTTTCAGCAGAAAAATGTAGGAAAAAGGGGTCTTGATTGTTTTGGGCTAGAAGCCACCGGCCTCGCGTCCACAGTGCACGACTACAACAAGGTGTGATTTAACGTGTAAACAACATTTTTATGTTTCCACTAAGACATCATTTTTTTTTTTCAGAACAATAACAATTGCACGCCCATACCCAGCTGCATCTCAACAAGGCGTGGCGAGCAATCAACGACACACTCTCGACTCAAACGTAGCTCTCGATTTCTACTGTCTGAGAATGCCTTCTTCTTCTCACTTACAGTACAGCGAGACCGAGTGCAGCAATCTCGTCATCCCCCCTCCCTGGCTGCACTGGATTTACTCATCAGGCAAGATCATTTTACTTGTCTTTGGTGCGCACACTTGCTTTGCGCTATGGCTGTAACTTACCTCCTCGGAACATGAAACTTAGTGTCCGTATTCCGATGAAGCTAACCCATTCAACCTTCGGGGTTCAGCCAAACGGCGCCCAGCCAGCGGGAAAAGAGATACCTTGGATTCGCGATATCCCGTGCATCCGTGTAAGTGCGGGCCAAGTCAGTTTATTCTTCAAGCCTAGACGTACTTTATCTTGCCTCGTCCAATGATTGGAACCCCCAGTCTCCGTTCGTTCCCTCACTGGCCATCCGCTCTGCTCCCATAGGAAATGTGCTATATATGAGCAGGCGGATCAAGCCATTCGATGATGTGTTTTGTTCACTCGTCCACGAGTAACCATGTCTGAATATTCGCCCTCGTCCGTCAAATCCACGCCCCCTTCGGGCGGCACCTCCTCGGACTCGGAATCTACTGTCAGACACGAGGTCCAGAACAACGAAAGACTCGACGAGATAGCGACGCCTCCCACGGTCCCTGCGTGGGTCAAAGAGCTGCTCCCAACGGCGGGATGTTTTGAAGGCCTCAAGCCAGAGTACCACCTGAAGAGCTACGAATACGTTCACAGGGCTGCCGGCACGATGCCTCGGGACGTGAGTGGCTGCCATACTGATCTTTCCGACATGTGCTGACTGATATGTGAAGCGCCCACGGATGGAGAAGGCTCAAGACAGCGCGTCCAACGCCCTGAGTCTTCGAGCATCTTCTCATCCAGGTCCCCCTCAGCCGCTGGAGCCTGAGCCTACGATGAACGGGCCCGTTCTGCCTTGGCCCTGGAACATACATATCCCTGAGAGATTCTGTGTCAACGGTGTCAACACGCTTGGCAATGATGAGGACTCAGTATACATCATTGATTTGGGAGATCTGATCAGGAACCGTATTGAGACCGCCAGCGCCAATGCACAGAACCAGGCCAATCACAGGGAGACTCAGTCTGAGTAAACCAACAGAAGGAGAGTTTCTGGCCTAAAGCAAATCAACACGTCCATTCTGAGTAGCCCGACAACAAGAATGCCCTAGAATAGAGCGTGCCCAAATTAATAAAGAAGCCATCGGCACTCGAGATGCTTAGTTTGCGACTCTTCTCTTTCTTCTTTCTGCCTTTCGGTGCTTGTTTACTTGCGTGTGAGCGCGACCTCTGGGATGTTCGTCTAGCTTTAGACTTCCTGAGATTAGAGGCCACCCGAGTGCTGTGCATGTACCAAATCTGCTCAACTTGAGCTGATGCTTATTGTAGAGGATGTTTTCCCCCCCGCCAAGTAGTGCTCTGGCTGTGAAAGACTCACAATTTTCGGTATCTCCGTGGAGTCTACTGTTCAACGAGACTGCGACCAGCAGTTCTGGAACCTGCGATAGGTCAGGAGATCTGGTGCTAGCAATTGCTTGCCTTGTGTTCGATGTGAGGGCGTGTCGTGGAACTTGCAAGCTGAGCTTGTGGGCCGCAGTCATGGACGTGCAGAGTACGCGTCGCCCTGATAGTACCCTACTGGTCTTCAACTCGTCAGGATTCTCAAAGAGCACCACCACCACATCATGAGCCACCAGAAACAGCTCGCCATTTCAGCTAGTCTGGAGAGAAATTGTGGCCCAGTCTTCAGATGACATCCAGCCTACTGTCTACGCCCCTGGCGCTGTTGCGCCACCACACCAGCCTCTATAAAAGGTCATCCGGTATCTGAGCGTCAGGTGAAGCCCTGATGAAAGCATTTGATTTCCCCTTCCATTAGGGCTTTCAAGGGCTCACATTATTCAACTGATCGAAATAGAATGTGTGCTCACCTCTGATTCCGAATTTAAAATTATTGCATGGCTTCAAAACGCAGACTTTCTACATACACTGTCAACCAACGTCAAATACCCCAACAAGCGATTTCAACATACCAACATTCACGCCAGGCGTCTGAAGCCCATCACCGGACATTACCCTCGGTACATAGAAACACAGCCTCATCACAATGTCGACGGTAAGCCCCTTTCTCTTTTCATTATCGTCATCTTCATCGGGTCACCTTGTACATGTATGCTGATGAACCCTCGGATAGTCCCCTTTCGGCTTTCAGTTCAATCCACCAAGTGGCCCGGGTTGCTCCGGTCAAGGTGGACAGGGAGGGCGTGGTGGTCGCGGCGGTATTGCCAAACCCAATGCCAGATTGCATCAGTGCTCCAAGGTAAGTACTTGACTGCACACTCAGACCATGGCCAGTGCTGACTGTTGTAGTGCGGAGGTCGAGACCATCTCTTCCAGCATTGTCCTCGGCGTGGGGTCACTCCTGGCTACACTCAGGGGAAGATCCACGACCTCGTAGGTCAAGGCCTCTTCCCAACCGGCCAGACCACCAATGCGCCTTCGGTTGTCCAACAGCCGCCTCAACCCGCGGCCGGGATCAATGCTCCCCACGACGGGAAGACAGTTGCAGAAGCTGTGGCAGTGGTCAAGCAGGAGATGGGGGCCAAGATGGAGGCCAGCGAGGCCAGGATGGAGCCCAAGATGACTGCACTGCAGGCTGAATTGACTGCCGCAACGCAGGAGTCTCGACGGGTGGCGCAGGCGCAGGCGCAGGCGCAGGCGGAGGCGGAGAACGCGAGACAACACGAAAGGTTGCTCGCTTTAGAATGGGACGTGATGCGGCTGATGGGACTGGTCTACTATGATAGGAATCGGCTGGAAGAGAGTGGCGCTTTCACGGCGAGAGCGGACATCCAGACGATCCGGGACGACGCCACGAACACCGTCCGTGAGATGTCAGACTGGATAGCGAAGACTCAAAGAGAGTTTGAGGATGTTTGCCGACAGTTCAAGGCCCTTGAACGAAGGATGGAGGCACTCGAGGCTCGGTTGCGCGCTCCGGAGCCGGAATTGGGTTTCTCGATGTTCGACTTTTCTTGAGCTGGCCGACAACTCACAAACAGTCGTCGGGCCATGATGCCGGGTCTGTTTGTGCTTCTCGTAGTTGTCTGTATTCCATACCTGTATACTGTAATGCAAGTTTCGTCTCAATCACGCTGCAATGGCTGACCACTCCGGCTCTTGGACACGAGCTTTCCTCATGCGTGGGACGATATATGTCAGTTTGTACCGGCATGTATTTGAAGTGACGAGCTAGGGAAACAACTGTTTTTCTCTCTAATTGAATAGCTAAATTATGGTTTTCGCGTTCCTTTGTTTGCGGTCTAGACATGACTAGATGCTCAAGATTGGTCAAGGTAAGAATCATGATATAACGTGAAATAAACAAAATCAAGCGGTTAATACATAAAAAACACAATATTCAGATTTAGAAATGCGACGAACATTGGAAGGCGAAACTCTATACTTTGCGCCAATGATCGAACTCCAATCTGATAAGGGCGACCAATTTCTCGAGTGGCACTCTATCGAGGGATGTTTGTCCACGGCTCAAGTTGCATACATTGTCAATTGAAGTCAGCAGTTACCGGGTTGCGACGGCTAAAGTCATTTCTTGGCAATTCGATGGCGTATTCGAGAATTCGCATGGATGGCGACCGAGTGGCAATGCGCCCTGCAGCTTCACCGTGGTAAGGTGGCAGAGACAGGCCCAATGTCCGATTGAAGCTATGGGATAGGACGTGTGCCTGGACAGCTTGAAGCGTGGCCGTCAAGCCTCGACTACCAGCTTCGATCGAATATCGGTTCTGGCGATGTAGAAACGGGTCGAATTGTTGGGTGATATCTTTCCAAGGTGTCCCCCCATTGGTCTCTGCGTGCGTTGTCTGCAAGCCTCAAGGTCATGATGATAAGGGTCTTTGTGCGCGGCTCATGTCGCGGCAGCATGGAAACAAAAGAACCATGCGTGGAAAAACAAGGTGGCCGTGGTGGGTCACAGTAATGATACGTCTTCCATCTGACTCGCTCGGCCAGACAAAGGAGGAGGAATCTTTGTTCCTGGCCTGGCTGGTGACATTGATGACGGTTGCCTCCTTCGACTGGTGTTCCCTCCCCCCCCCCCCCCCCCCGCACGTCTCGCGGCCCCACCCATCTAACGTTAAAACTTAAAAGTAAGCACAAAAGCACCTTGACCATTGCTTAGCCAACGACGTATTGCGGTCCGTTGATTCGTGGAGGACGGCATCCATGCGAGGATGCTGCGGGGGCCGTGGCGAGTGTCGCGAGACTAAAGATCTTGGCTTGCATGGGTGAAGATTGGCCTCCCGAGAGGGGAAACCTGCAAAACAGGCGACGGGTCGGGCTTAATCAAACTTGGCAGAGTGCTTGTTCTGCCAATTGCCGCTCCTTGGTCCGGGGAACTATTGAATCACTGCCGACGTGCACACGAAGCTAGAGACGTGAATCGAGTCGAGGATGGGAGACGACGGGACCTTCAAGACTCAATTGAGACCGCGCGCGTGTTTCTAGAACACGAATCTGCATCGAAACAAGTCCCAATGGCATGGGAAAGGAAACACACCCCTTCATCTCCCGTTCGCTCGCCCGCGTGCGCGGTCCATGTGCCAAATCAGGCAGGCGAAGGCAGCGCTCATGATCGTCGCGTCCAACATCCTCTTCAGGCGTCTGGTGGCAGTGAACATGTCCACCCACCCAGCAGCCGGTTTGCGCGCTCGGATACGACGCTGATTGCTTGCAGGCAACCTTCTCCCCGCCAATCTAACGTCAAGGCGACGACTCGACTTGGCCCAAGGGGGAAGGTTGTCGCTTTACTACTGCCGATCTATCCAGGGTAGTATTGCGAAGGCGTCCCCGACTCGCCCCTTTCCGAACCACGATCCAGGGGTGCCATGGGAGATAGCCCGGGGTAAAGCTACCCAGTTGCCTTCTAAAGCTTCTGCCAAGAGCTCTCGTTGCTCTCGCGGGCAGCTGACTGGCTGGAGTAGGGGAGATGCCCCATTCGTGATGGGAAAGAAAGGGTTCATGGCATGGTAGAACCCCTGCCGGTCAGCAAGTATATCAGGTCGTCTCCATCTCGCACCACACAGCGTTCCATTCCTTCTCTCTTCATCCCCTCATCTTCATACCCACTCCGTCATCATGAAGGCCTCTATCGCGTCCATCTTCTTCGCCGGCCTGGCCACCAGCGCCGCAGCCCAGTCCATCCAGGCTGCGGACTTCAAGATCCAGGCCTCGGACTTCAAGGCCAACGAGCTCAAGGCCTCCAGCGCCCCCAAGGCTGTCGCCATGTCCACCCTGCGTCAGCGCAAGGAGTCCCAGTTCTCCAAGGACAAGGCCGCTGGCATGTACGACATGGACCGCTACGAGGTCACCAGCGCCACCGAGTGCGTTGACGGCAAGGCGGGCGAGTACTCCTGCAACAACATCGACCTGAAGGGCTTCATCCGCCACCAGGACACCAACAGCCGCACCCGCGAGGGCAACGACCTCTGGGGGTGGACCTCTTCCTCTGGCCGCGAGTTCGCCCTCCTCGGTCAGTCGGACGGCACCGCCTTTGTCGAGGTCAACTCGGATGGCAGCCTGACCTACGTCGGCCGTCTGCCTACACAGACTGTTGCGTCCTCGTGGCGTGACATCAAGGTCATCGGCAACTACGCCTACATTGGCTCCGAGGCCCGTGACCACGGCATGCAGATCTTTGATCTCCGCAAGCTGGAGAAGGCTGACAAGAAGAACCCGCCCACCTACAGCATCTCCAAGGACTTGACGGCTCACTTCTCGGGCTTTGGCAGCAGCCACAACCTGGTCGCTAGCGAGGACCGGGACATCATTGCCGCTGTCGGCACCGAGGCCTCTCTCAAGTGCAACTCTGGCCTCTGGTTCGTCGACGTGTCGAACCCTTCGCGTCCCCAGGACGCCGGCTGCCTGTCTGATGACGGCTATGTGCACGATGCGCAGATGGTCATCTACAACGGGCCGGATCGTCGGTACCAAGGGAAGCATGTGTCCTTCGGGTTCAACGAAGACGCCCTCGTGATCAGCTTGATCGACAGGCTCACCATGCCATCCCAGATCTCCAGGACAACCTACAATGGTGCTACATACACCCACCAGGGTTGGGTGACCGAGGATCACAAGTACTTGCTCCTGGACGACGAGCTGGACGAGCAATATATGAACGGTCCCGCCGCCGACCAACGCACCACCACATACGTTGTCGACATCACCGACTTGTCCTATCCTGTCTTCAGGTAAGTATTCGCTCCTGGTGCATCCAAACGTGCCGCCGTCATGACAGAACCGCATTAACAAATTCTTAAAAGGGGTATCTATAAAAGTCCTTCAGTCAGCATAGACCACAATCAATACATTGTTGATGGTCTGGCATACCAGGCGAACTATGGTTCTGGTCTACGGGTGGTCAACGTTACCTCGTTGGCCGAGGACGACACTGGTGCGCTGTTCGAGGAGACGGCCTTCTTTGATGTGCGCCCCGAGGATGATGCCGTGGGCGGAGAGGCCACATTCAACGGCGCCTGGTCGGTGTATCCTTACTTCCAGTCTGGACATATTGTTGTCTCGTCGATTGAGAGGGGTCTCTTTAGCTTGAAGCTGCATGAGAAGAAGAAGAGCAAGTGTAAGAGGCAGCTACATGTATAATTAGGAGAATATACTTTTGATGGAGCGATTTTGATTCGCTGAATCGCGTGCCCTGAATCCGGCGATTGGCCCCACGTGGCACACGAGCAAACATGAGAAGGGACTTTCAACACAAGAATTGAGGTTTAAACGATGTTGGTAGATGGGGCGAGTCTTCCCATCTTCAAGTTAGACCAACTCCTCGCAAACATTACAGTCACAGGCCAAACATCTCCAGACTTTGGCCTCTATATCCTCGACAAGGCGATACATATTCCTTGTCCATGCCTAGGATTTGCAAGCCGGATTGGCGCAATCGCCTTTGGTTTTTGGCGCGGGAGATGTCGAGCGGGTTTTTGGGTTCTCGAAAAACAACCTCGCCTCGTAGCATGCCGGGCATAAATAATCCGCCGTCTCGTCCGTTTCGCCAGCCCAGAAGGATATTTCAAGAGGTTGCGAGCACTCATCGTATTTATAAAATACGTCTAACTTTTGCGGGCCCGATGACAACTCCGCGTTAGGAGCCCATTCCCGTCTGGCTTTGCGCTTAAAGTTCCGACATCTCAAGCATCGAATTCCAACTTCAAGTTGCAACTCAAAAAGAGTCGCGTCTTCGGGGATTCCGACCCCGCATGATTCTTTGCCACATCGACGAGCATGTACTTTTTGGAACCACTCGACATTGATGTCGTGCATCCGGTATCCCAGCTCGTGCGGAACGGGACCATTGCCTCTTGAACTGCGCACCCGCATGGCGCCATTGTTTGCGGTACGATGCTGCGCACATGCAACACAGATCTGTAAACCCAATAGGCCCTCGACTGACACCAAGCTGCGGCAGGTGAGGTAGCGGAGTGCTTCAGGATTCATCTTAGCGACAAGACGACGACAACCCGGATTTCCGCATTCTGTCACACGGTACATTCTATCAAATCCAAAATACACCAAAAGATGGGGCCCACGCCTCATGATGTGGTATTGGCTGAAGTTGCGTTTGTGCATTGACCCAGTTGGCAGTTGTTGATCTGATATCCCACCGTATGCCATACCTGGTTATTAACAAGATGTGTTCTGCTGCTGCGAACTTTCTTTACAAAATGTCTTGTCACTATCTAAAAGGAGACATGAAACAAGCATTATGAGATTGAAAAGGCGGTCGACATTAATAGTATTCATCTCTTAAACTTCTCCAGTCGCAGTCACGCTACTCGTGCTACTCAGCTGCGTCGAAAGACCCAGACACGCTATTCGTGCCGCTCAGCTGTATGAGAAGATCCGACACCTATTGGTGCCTCTCAGCTGTATCAAATGATTCAGGTACTTTTTGGCCTGTTCAGTTGTGTCGAAAAAAGGCACGCATGCCATGACATCCAACGACAGGATCTCAAAACAATGTTCCTGGATCGCTGAAGACGATCGACTCGTTGTTGTCGCCGTCCCCCTTTTCCGTCTCCAAATCACCATCAGTAGTGGCTTGACCAGCCAAATCCTGCTCCTCCGCCTGCTCCTCCGCCTGCTCCTCCGCCTGCTCCTGCGCCTGCTCCTGCGCCCCCCCACGCTGTTCGTCGCGCTGTCGAGACCTCTCCTCAAATGACGGCGGGCTGAACAGCTCCGCGTCCGCCTCCAAGGCCCGCAGGCGAGACTCTATGGCGCCCAGTCGCTCAGCCATGCCATCGTTGGCCCTGCGCAACATCACGAGTTGCTGCTCATAATACTCCTGAGCCCCGGTCAACGTAGCGACTCGCACATCATAACATTCCTGGGTCTCGGCTAGCTCCCGCTGGACCCCGGTGAGCTGCTCCCCCATCTGCTCCTCCATGGCGTTGAGGCGCTCGATCAACGCCTGCTGATTCAAGGCGTCGGTGGTGAGGGCAGGGGGGGCAGGGAGGGCAGGGAGGGCAGCGGTGGCGCCCGACGCCTCGACTTGAGCCGGTGTGACTTTGGCCCAGCACGCTGACGAGCTGTGCCCGAACTTGCCGCACTGAGACTTGGTTAGTCAAGATCCGCGATGTATACTTGAGTCTTCACTTACCCGACCACACTTGTACGGCTTGGTGATGCCGCCGCGACCACCACGACCACCACGGCCACCGCGACCACCGCCAGCACCACCAGCACCTCCACCGAAGCCGCCATGGCCACTTTGACCACTAAACTGGCCGCCCAGGCTGTTGTTCCCCGCAAAAAACTGGTACACGTTGTTCTATTGATGTCAGTTGCTGGCCCATGGGCGATCGTGAGTGACAGGAGAAGCGTGGAAGGCTGAGGTCTGAGAAATGTACACGTACGGACGACATCTTGATAAAAAAAAACCTCTGCAGGATTGTATGCTGAGGATGTATTCTTGGATTGATCTCGTCGAGATCGTTTGTAGAGGCGTGTGTGCGATTTGCTGATATCGAAAGTGTTGAAAGTTGTGGATGGAGAAAATAGATCCTGGCAGCAGATGGGATTCACAACAACAATAATTCAATCACGATTCAATGCCCTAGTGACAGATATGTGACCTAGGCCACAGGGCATCTGATTCACTGATTCAATACAGGAAAATAACATCACGTTGGCAGCTCTGGAGTAAAGATCAGATGAGAGGAATGTGACACGAAGCGGCCAAACAGTAGCACACCATGTTTACCTTAAGCTAAGGTAAGGTAAGATACCAGAAGGGATCTAACCCCCTGTAGGAGTTCCCTGTGACGGTGACGGTGGGAGCTCACAAAGTCTACAAGCATTGGCCATTTATGTGCCATGCTGAGAAGAGACCGCCACAAAATCAAGATCCTGGTATCTCAACCACAACGAAGAACCTCTTCCATCCAAGATCTATGCGCCATCAAACTTCCCGCGAATGACAGGAATATTAACTTTGAGATGCACTTTCTGCCTGATGACCAGGTGTCTGGGTTCGCCATGGTCAGATTCCCAGATTACTCCCAAGAGCCGCACATTTGCCCGTCCTCAAGCATCCCGATCCCCGTGATTACGAGAGAATCTGGTCAAGTACGTTTCTACCCAAAACCCGTACACAAACCTCACAGACAACTTTGCTGACTTTGAACTTCCTACGAAGTACCGAATGGATGCATTGACACAAGCGGACGTTTCTAAAGATTCGAGCATCTCGAAACGAACCGCCATGAGATCAATCAACATGAAGGAGCAGGGATTGCCAAGCAAATATGTACATGGGGACTCAACGTGGGATCTGAAGAGTGTCTTGAGGCAGTTTGACTCATATATACGCTTTGATTTGGGAGCAAGAAGAACTACAGGAGTAGTAGGCAGGGTTCTTCCGGAATCGATGTGATGTAATGATGGAAGGATACGACATTTAGTACACAACCCTGTCACGAATACTACCACGCATGAACACCGACTTTTTCTGCTCAATTGAAACAGAAACGTAGTTCTTCAGAAACTATACTTCCAAGGAATGTCCATCAATATAAGCGACAATCTACGGCGAGTGGCATACCCAGTAACGCGCTCCAGGACCTCGCTGTGGTCCCTGCATGTCTCCTTCGATCTCGATCTCGGAACAAAGCACGGGCCTTTTTCGAGTAGTATGAGCAATCTAGGCAGACCATCAAGGTGAGGTGTGGACCGTGTGGTCACACATCTGTCAACGCGTGTAAGTGAGGAAGGCACGACCTTTCCAGATGGGTCGACGCGTTGGATAGTCGTGTGCATCAAAACGAAGCCAGAAGCACAGAGAATAAGATCAGTGCTTGTTTCACTGGTCCAAATCAATTATGCCAGCTCTTCAAGACTTCAGAAGATTTCAACAATCTGTGTCGGGTCTTGCCCACTGCATTTAGTTGAGAAGAGTCACGGTCGTGGGTGAGTGGGTCACGAATACTGTTCCTTCCTCAAGTACATTGTGGGAGTTCTCTGGACGAGCAGAGAAGTCATGGGAACTTTCAGCTGTCCTCAGAAGCGAGATCTCTCCTCTCCATAGTCCTTGTTCCACTGCGTCTCGACAGATATTCCAATTCAAGCCAATTTCAGTTCCAGAGTTCTGTGGACAAGATGCCTTCGTCAAGATCCCAACGTTTGACATCCAAGTGGGCCCTCAAGCCCGGGAAGCCAGCGTCCAGCTTGGACGGAGATGAGTGTGAGACTGACGAAGCTGACATATGTCCAGAGTCGTCCACAGACGCGAAGCCAGTATCCACGAGAAGGACTGGTCTTCAAAGATCATCAAGGGTCTTGAAAGACGTGACTAATCTGCCTTCACCTAGGCAATCTGTCTCAGAGCAGGTCATTGCGAGTGCGTCTGAGTGGAAAGGATTTGTGATCATGGTTGACATTTGCTTCCAGAGACAGTGGACGTAAGACGTGCCGTGACACGCACGCAAGGACCCCAAAATAGGGGCAACGATATCGAAACGGGTGCGACCCCCGAGCAGAAGAAGAAGAAGCCCAATGATGGCCAAGAGGAGGAGGAGGACGACGATGCCTATCTCCCGACCCTGGAAGAGGAAAGGGAAGATGAAGAAGACGAAGAAGATGTCGCGTTCGACAAAGAAGAATTGGATGATGAGATACGGCAGCTGTTACCCCGTTTATTTGAAGATGTCGAGGATGACGACTTCTTGGCATTGGATGCCGAGGCCGAGGTGGACATCGAGCCTCAATGCAAAGAGACTGAGGAGGAAGAAGAGCAGGAGGGGGAGGTCGAAGTGCCATCCACACTTCAAGACTCTCTCAAACGCAAGAGTCATGGCGCAAGTTGCCGACCTGCGAAGAAGGCTCGACGATGCCCAGTCGTTTCCTACACGGCGGAGGAGTGGATCGCCCACTTCGATAGCCAAAAAAAGAATCTCGTTGCGGAAGATGACCCCGACTTTCTGAGATTCCAGAGCAACTTTGGCGCCTTGATTCGAGGAGCTTGCCTTGCGGCAGCTGATACAGAAACTGAGCCAATGAACGAATGGATGATGCGACCCAAGGAAGAACGAGAGATGACTCGAGGGTTTCGCAGTGTTCTGGCGCGGATTTCATCTAAGGACCTTCAACAAGAAGTGTTCTCCCATATGCCTCGAATGGCACAAAAGATCCTTGGGAAGAAGGATTTGAAGCCTGTCGACCTTCTCGACTTGCCTCTGTTTCCGAGCATGTACAAGCATCGGGCTGCGTATCTCAATGTACCTACCCGCATCGAGGCGTACAAGATCACTCGTGGTGATTCTCCTTGGACCAAAGCCAAAATCAGGGTCCCTGTCAATGAACAGGCTCTGCAGACGCCATTGGACACCCGCGTCTACGCCGGTTCAACAAACGCCACACTCGGAGGTTACACCCGTGTCGGAGCACATGAACGGGCTACGCATGGCGACAAAAGCCAGAACCATGATCTGGCAAAGCACTACAAATTCGCCTCGCAGCCGGATGTCGTGCTCAATTTCAGGCTTGTCGCGACATGGTCTAACCCATTTGCGGCTGAGAACCCTGGGGACCAAGATCTCACCCGTTGGTTGTCAGTATTCGTCGAAGCGATGACAATAACGTACCTCGGGTTATACAACCGCAGTGATCGATGCGCAAGTCTTGGCAGCCTTTTCTCGAGGGCATCATATGAGCTATCCGACTCACTGCGAAAAGGAGTTGATTTGCCCGCCTTTGGTGAGCACTCATTGAACAGGGCTTGGCCTTTGATGCAAGGTGTCGCTGGGGGCATGTCGAGGGCTGATTCCTGCGCAAATCCAAACTGCGCTCTTCCTCTCGAGTCGAAACACCCCGAGCTGCCGTCGTACTTGACATGCAAGATGCTATGTTCAAGCGAGGGCCCCATGGGGTTGAAATATTGCGTGCAGTGTACGAGATTCGCCTGCATGAATGGTGGCACAATGCGAACACGTGCGGCCACAGCCAACGGCTTCTTTGACCAGGAGCTCGGAAGGAAGCTGGAGTCAATCAACGACTCTTTTCTTGGTAATGGCAATCCTCGCCAATGCCGAAACACGTCTTGCCGAGTCAACATTCCCGATTCGGCCAGTTTATATGGCTTAGCCAATGGCATTCGATGCCACCGATGCCACGAGTTTCGCGAGCGCCGTCTAATTGAATGGTCGCCACTAGACTACTCTGGGATCGACGCCAATCCTTGGAGTGATCCCAAGGAATGCTCTGCTTGTGGCGTTCACACGGACGACGTCCACGTATGGGACCGTGGTTTGTCTCGTCTTTGCCAGTCTTGCAACGAGAAGAGGTGCTCGTTCGGCGAGCAAATGGAGCCATCTACACCTCAGCCGCACACCGTTGTCGCATGCTTCAACGAGACTTGTCAGAGACGAAAGGGTCTGAAAATGAGCATGACGAGGATGATTGAAGATGTCATTGAGAATGTCTGGCGCTGTCTGATCTGCGATTGGGAATTCTGTGAGTCCCTGCATGATTACGACGTAAGACGCGAAATCCCACACCATCGGTACAACTTGACATCATGTGTCAGTTGCGGTCGATTCCATACATACGACAAATGGAAGAAGGTCGAAGGTGGGTACAAGTGTGGTGAGTGTGTGCTCGGGGACTCTCGCTGCGCCAACGCCCAATGCCCTCGTCACCGTGCAGTGTTTGCAGAGCGCAAAAAGTGGGATCCAGTTCTCCAAGACTGGTTCTGCGACTGGTGCTTCAGATCGAACGCGCAAAGACCCGACGACAAGAAGTCGAAAAACTTCCATGCCGTCAACCGATACGTTGTCGGAACGCGAGTCTGTGTCAACCCGCATTGCGGGCACACCGATGAGACTTGGAGCTGGTCTTGGGTCTATCAAGAGGGACACAAAGGGAATCCTGAGTACCTGCGGTGCGCGAAATGTCATAACCATTTACGGGAACATGGCGAAGAGCGACGCCCCCACGCAAACCGCACCAGTCTGGGGCCAACAACCTGCTTCAACTGCAAGGGCACAGAGGAAACGCTGGGTCCCCAGATGTGGCGAACCGTTCTCGACGCCGACGGACATCCAACAGCTCAGTGGCGATGCGATAAATGCCACAGCTATTGGTTCAGACACAAAGAGGAGCGGACGGACGACAACCTCAAGCGGAAGCCAGTGCCGACGACTCGCGAATGTGCGAATCCGAACTGCGATACCACAGGCGAGGTCAAGAGAGGTTGGTCGAAGACCGGGACAGACGAAAACGGGAACGACATCTGGAGATGCAAAGGCTGTACGACGTATTGGAAGCGCACTGGCAGAGATAGGACCAGCATTCGGGTGAACCAAAAGAAGCGCGTGGTCGAGAAAAAGAAGAAATGAAAGAGTTCGAAAGTTTTGGATAATGGAGGAGCTTTGGGATGATTCGAGATCAGGGTGGCGATTGATTCAGGAGATTTGGGGGCCTCCGTTTCCAGTTGGCTGGTGTTGATGATCAATGCGCGAGGCGCGGAGGCGAACGCGTTCCACACGCTAGTCGGATCAGAAACAGGAACACGGCTCGCAGAGCACGTTAGATCAAGGGCAGAGAGACTGAGTCTCGAAGAGCTTATTGGCACAGCAGTCAATGCTCAGAGGGCTTGTGAGACCGAGAGTCGGCCACAGCTCTCGAATATGCCGGTTCCTGAGAGTGTCATAGCACTCGCACAGAGCTTAGATAGTTATATGGATGAGATTCAGGTCTAGGTCAAGTTATCAGGTCATGCTGACTGGAAGTTGCCTCAATACATAAAAGATCAAGAACCCATGAATCCACCTGAAATCCACGATCAACAGCTTTGAATACACCTGGTCTGTGATGGCCGAGCTCGAGTCGCTATATTTGCTTAGATGACAGTGAGCCCCCCGAGCGCGTACAACTATTTCTGCCAGTCCAGTGACCTTCCGCGTGTTACTCTCAGGCTGCATGAGTCCGATTTGAATATCTTCGGTTTCTCTTGGGTGTCCTGGGAGGCTGTGGTATTTTTGGTGGTTTCCATGATCCATTCTGGGTACCAAACGAGCCACGGGGATCGTGCAATAATCTCGCGACTTGCTTGGCTCATGTCTTTCTTCATTCCCAGACCCCCATGTGCCCTACACCCACCACGTCAATCTCATCTCAACTCTGTAGGTGAAGAGCACTAATACACAACATCAAACATTTCTCAGGGCTGTTCAGCCCTTCATCAATTACCCGGAGATTCCCCCGAGCACATGTTTCTTTGTCTTTGCCTTTGGGCTTCTCTGTTCTTTGCGAGTTGCTCGTTGACCCCCAGATTAACAAGTTGGCAGGCCACCTTCCACCAGAACTGCCAGCACGCTATCAAAGGCCCATTTTTCTACACTTTTCAACATTCGATTTGCAATGTCTTCTGTAGGCCATCAAAACGGTGCAGCCAGTCCCAGCAATGCCGGTCGAGGAGGGCGAAGAGGACGAGGAGGACAAGGAGGCCACGGACGGTCCATCAACACCAGAGACACCGTTGGTTCAAGGGTAATGTCCTCTTTAACAAGATATCATGATGGACTGCTAACCGCCATAGCGCCTGTGAGCCGCCATTGTCCCACCCGAGGTGTACATGCGCCTTCTGCCTCCGCAGCCACCGACAGCTCTCAATCGTCTGCTACGACTTTGGCAAGACTGGCGTTGCGCATGGAAGTGCTAGAGCAAAGGATCCGTCAAGATGCGCAGTCGAATATGGAGGAGCTGGAGCGACTGAATCGTGAACTTCGTGAACTTGCGCAGTCATATTTGGCCCTTCAGGTGTATCTGGAATTCATCATGGCACTCTTTGCGTGATTGGACTCCACGCCCTGCGGTCTGGAAGAGGCAGAACCTGCAGACTAGGGAGGCATCGGCGCCAAGTCAGGACCAGGAGTCTGACGGTTGAGTCGGGACATACATGTACACCGAGGAGATGAGTATGTCCAAATGTCGGCTGGGCTGGTTTCGTGTGGGCTCCATCAAATATCTGCGATCAGACGAGAAACGTTCCATGAGCCATCGTTTGTGTTCGTGAATAGATCGTGTACGCACAACTTCATTATTACGTCCTGTTGATCGGCTGCGCACGTGGCATTGTCATCCTGGTTGGTACCAAACAACACCTTCACTCCCGGCGCCGAAGAGTCGCCGCCGCGGCCGCACAAGGGCCCAGGACTCCAGTCTGCAGCGCCGCAACCAAGCGGCACATGGTCCTCTGGGTGATATTCTCATTCTTCGCGTACCTCCCGCAGCCGAGTCGATCCCCCGGCACGTCTTTACCCTTTCCCTGATGGTGGGTGCCGCATCGGACCCGACGGAGACTGGCACGGCCGCGCCGCCGCGGCCGATGCGTACGGTGGGACCGTAGGATGATGCGACCTGTCACGACGGAATCGGGGCGTTTGACCGCCACAACGAATCACATTAAATGCAGCCGCGGGTGTATATCTAAGCTAGCAGGTTGCACCCAGTTGCACTTGACTGACAGCCATTGGATCACTTGTGCGATGGCCACAGGCTCCGACGTGCGATCACTAGAAGGCGGCCGGCGGCGATGAACCCTTGCGTGAAATAGCCATCAACTCATAGGTGCATTATTCAAGGGCTCCTGTATATGAAAGTCACAGGCCGGATAATACACGTGCGGCGTGGCGGCTCCCTTGAGTGCGGCCGCTTCCACACATACACGAGAGAATGGATCCAGACGGAAGAGGGCGACAAGTGCGCGGCCTGCTACTATGGGGCCTATAAGTGCGCCATTATCCATTGCGTCACGCATCACGCCTGCTTTGGCGAGGGACCGCGCGAGGACATCATCGACGGAAGTGTTTATGAGTTCTGTTTCGTATGCGACAAAACGAACCGTCAGCGTGTCAATCGTGGACGGGCCAAGGCGAAGGACTTTCGCCCAAAGAACCGCGCGATCAAAGGCACTCGGGTATGCGTCAACCCAGCATGTGCCGTCACGGAGAAGGACTGGCCATGGAACTGGCGCTATGAAGCGGGCCACCGCAACGATACCTGCTACTTGCGGTGTGAGCAATGTCATGTCTATTTACGGGACAATGGCAGGGAACGCCAGCCAGCCAACTTCTGGTCTCCTTCACAGGGCCCACGTCAGTGCTGCATTTGTTCAGTCGAGGAGAACCTTGAGTCGCCCGGTATGCACACGTTTCACCGAAAGAAGGACCAAGACGGCGAATGGACTGGAACCTGGCGTTGCGGCGCTTGTCACTGTTACTACATGAAATACCAGGATGAGCGCTCAGAAAGCAAACTCAAGAGGAAACCAATCCCCTCCGACAGACGATGCTTCAACTCGATTTGTGTCCGAACCGGCGAGAATCACAAGAATTGGAGTCGCTATTCCGACGACGGCAACGAGATCTGGCGTTGCGGCGTTTGCGCCGAGTTCTTTGATCGCACTGGAAATGACAGAACAACTGTGCGCGTCATGAACCGCAAGAATGAATACCAAGAGTGTGGAAACCCGAGCTGTGATCGTACAACCGAGAATTACACGGGGCGATGGCTGTACCTTACCAAAGCGTATGATGACCCAACACAGAGGCGGTGTCGAAGATGCCGAGAATGGGTTCAGCGAAACACTGAGGAATGGTCTGAGGAAAGGCAGGAGGCGAACAAAGCTCAAAGAGGGGCGAGCTTGATCATACACATGATCTGTGGAAATCCCAAGTGTGATAGCACGTCAGACAATTACAGTGGGAGATGGAAGATAATGGGAGGGCGCGGAGCTGACGAGAGCACGAGAAGGTGCATGAGATGTGCCAGCAGTATTGACGGAGGTCAAGGAGAGTGGGACGACTCGGGAGATGCGATAGCATGATCCCAAGGGCGCTAGAGAGTTCAACGTCCGGGCGGGAGTCTGCTCCTGATGGATGGGGGATGGGAGCTGAAGAGCCGTTGCGACAGAGATTGAAACAGCCGGCCAATCTGCTTACCTAGTATGTTGCGTTATATTACCTTCTGTGCTTCAAGTTCACATCCACTCACATCTGATCGCAAAGGCGGCGGAATCATCAAGCAATATGTCCTGTAAGCTCCCGGTGGCCTTTCGAATTGTTGTATCACGATACCAGGCTTCGAACACCATCGTATTCTGCAGGGCCATCCAACGATTCCACTCCCAAACTGTGCACGCAGCAGCGTTATCGAGCAAGGTCATCTGAGATTCTCACATGAGAGCGCCTCGTCGCCGTGATTACGACGGAAGTCGATTCTCGCTGAGGCTCATGGCGAACAAAAACATGCCGCGGCACGCGGGACTGGGATTGGATCTCGTCAATTGAAATAACCTTTACATAGAGGGCCTCCGTGACCGGTGCTAGAGGATGATCGATTGTGCGGTTTATCTCTGTCAGCAGCTTCAAGTCGAGGAGTATGACCGGTGCTTGAGGATGATCGATTGTGCGGACTAGAAGCATTGGCTCGATCGCGGGTTCGGCTCTTACTTTTTTGCCGGCGTCGTTCAAGCTTATACTCCATCTGATCAAGAAGGGCCAAACGTGCGCGGCGATTGCAGGAATCTATGGAGTCAAGGTCGCGGACATTGTTCGCTGGAATCCGGCTATGAAGAGTAGCCTCATGCGTTATAAGTGTTGAGATCGATTTCCCTCCCAAGACGCTGGCTGGGAGGCTGTATCCATCTCTTTCTGTCATGGCATCCCAAGATCATTGATCTCACCTCCCAAGCACCGCACGCATGATTCATGTTGGCTGCGTGTAAGAATGTGATTAACTGGTCTGTCCTCCACATTCTACCACACCGGACCGACTAGCCAAAACGATACTGATCCCGCTGCCCCTAAAGGATGATGCGCTGGGCTAAGGGTAAACGACTGGGTGCTGATCCCGCTGCCCCTAGAGGATGATGCGCTAGGCCACGAACCAAGTTGCATCACAAGGTGCGAGACATGTATGAAATGAATTCCACTCACGCCCGACATTTTCAATGATTCCACTGCAATATCTTGTATGCTGAGGAGGTATTCTGTGTTAGTTTGAGACCGTTTTGTGAGTGCGTGGTGTGGCTGTCTTGTGATCTCAAGTTTGTTGGTGCACGGGTTATTGATGAAGTTGTGAAATCGAAATCAGGATAACATACCCACAGCAATTACATACCACTGAATAACTAGCCCCAAGGAAATAACGTGACTGCAAAGATCAGAGCACCAGTATACCACCCACCATTAAGGCAACGGAGATCAGTTGAGAGTTATGTGACGCTTATATGGCCACATGAACGGCTTCTATGGACCTGAAAGTGCCTCGATAAATAAGCGATCACTGATTAGCCGAGAACACCCATGACAGTAGCCGAATAGATTCAAGTCTGGACCGATAACGCTGATTATTTGAAGTGAGAAACGTTGATTTCCGCTTGCCGAAACCCGCGCGTTTATCTGCTCGATCTGGGCTTCACTACCTTACTATACCCAAGGGGATGCGCAACCCACCGGCAGCCATCCAGCCAAGTATTCGCTCCCGTAACATGCACTATACTCGTCAAATTATTGGAATGTCTGGGCTGAGATATTTACCATCCAATATCTAAAGAAAACAGTGCATCAATAACCTGCAAGCACAAAAGGTTCTTTATTAGATTCTATAGCCTTTTGTTCGGGTTCTCCGAGTAAGCTATGAATCCGTCCTGGACCCATGATTCACCCGCCATGCCGGCACCAATTTTCGCCCATGTTCACGGCACGAATCGTGTCTGTTTCGGGGATTCAGAGGCAAAGTGTCTGCGAGCCATGTAAAGACTTTGTACCAGATATGTCTAACAAGTCCATACATGTAGACTGAAGCGCCCGTCCCTTTCCCCTGGACAACACTGCACGTGTTTCCGGACTTGGAGCAGTGCCAGGGTGAATGCTTTCGGATAGGAGCAACGCGAACAGGATGCTATAATACTAGACTGATATTCTGGATCGGTCTATTACTGAGAGACAGCGACTGCCACGCGGACGTCGTCGATCACTGTCCGCCATGTCAACAGAGCTCGCCAGGATGGAGAATGAAAGAGCCGTGGCACAAGCTCGACTATGCTGAGTGTTTCCATTCACTGAGATCTTTTTGAGCTTATCCATTGACATCTATCCGCAGTCGCTTCCATTTTCAAGGGCTACCTATATGTGTGCTGTGTTTTCGATTTCTAGACTCCATAAAGGGGCACGAAATTATCATTGCAGCTCTCCACGTCTCTCCCTGTATAGTGCTCAAAATCATTATGTCTTACATCTGGAGCTTTGGCGCAGCGGTAGCGCGTGTGATTCCAGATCGGAAATTCCACAAGGTCATCGGTTCAAATCCGATAAGCTTCATTCCGGATATTACTTTTGCCACACCATCCATCACACGACTAATTCTTTTTGAATGCCTTTTGTCCTTTCGATTGAATCAATTCTACGAGATGATTGTCTGTTCTTGCTGTATTATTGTCCATGACCCCTTTTTATTGGTTATTTGTTCATCAGAGTTGGAGACTCGTGGAATCAGCTTACTTCCCTTTTCCCAAGGCAACTTCGAGGTCTGTGGGAACCTGGACCTTTCCCATCACTACGAAACAAATATCTATTCATCCATGCCGTAAGCCCGGCATAGGCAATCTTTCCGCCATCTGTGATAGGATGGCGCCTGATGCATCCTTGGGCTGACTAGACTCAGCTGCGTGTGGATATTGTGTTCAGCCGCAAAGCGGTAACACCTCGTCGGGCGAACACTTGGCCTGCGATTCCGCATTTCATGTATGCAGAAGCAGCCACATCTGCGAGGCCTCCTGGTAGGAGCACAGTAGATATCATGGGCCCGGGCGCGCTCTCCAGACCCCTCAGGTGTCCCTGGCTGTCATCTTCCCTCGCCCTGTCCAGGAAGACGCAACCCAGCAGCCATGCCCTTTGACTTTCAGAAATACGACGAAAAGTGCCGTGGGCTCACGCCAGAGGAGCTACAGAGAGAATGGCAGCACTACACACGTCTGATCACCGGCGCTGCGACTTCCACCACCGTCTCTGGGCTGGCTATTCCTCTAACAGCCGGAGTCTCAACCATAGGCGTAGCATTAGCCGCTCCTGCAATCCACAATGCCCGGAAGAAGCGGGAAATCATTGAGAGGCATCTCACCAGGCACTCAGCGTCCCACGTAACACGCAAGCGAGACGTCCTCAGCGGCGTGGCGGTCAGCGGGACCATTGGCGTCATGACGCTTGGTGTCGCCTCAATGGGGGCAGATACTATTGCCGCACATGGCGCAGAGCATGGTATATCTGCGATTATTGAGAATGAAACGGCAGTCAAGGTCGTCACGCACGCGGCGCTCGACGGCGCTGGACTCGGAGTCGAACATGTGCATACGAACCACGTCAGGAGAAAGGAGGCACAGAAAGCTTTCCAGGCTGCCGGTGTCTTCCAGGCTGTGCAGGGTGCTAAAGCAGCAGAGGCGGGTTATCCAATGCAGCCGTACAACCCCCAGGCATGGGCCGCAGGCTCGAGCTCTCGACTTTCGATTGCTTCTCCTCCCCCAGCGTACAACTCAGGGGTACCCAGCGGTAGCGCATCGCTTCACATGAGCCCTCCTTCATACAATCAGCCGGCTGCTCAGTTTCACGGGCGAATGGACTCCAAAGCTGGACCATGGACAGATCAATATCAGGCCGAGGCGGAATCAGCCGCCCAGTGTCAGATGCCACATCAACAGCCAGCAGCCAGTCATGCCAATTCTCCCAGTATCTTCGACATGAGTGATGTTTCGAGTTCGTTGCCAGGATGGGATGCCAATCATGATCAGAAAACTGTAACAACGCAACAAGGGGGCAGATGTACATCGTCTTCTACCGGAGCTACGCAAGTTTCCGCGCTTTCTCAGTCAAGTGTCGCTTCATACAGTGTCTTCAGCGTGGAACTCCCAGCGGAACCTATACGATCCTCAACCTCGTCACTACCGAGGCCTGAATCGACAATCCCACAGCCATATCTCTCACCTCAGATGCAAGTGCACATACCGACGCCACAAACACGAGCCCAGACGCCTGCGGCGAGTATCGCAACCGATAACACCGGCTTCCCTCCACCACCCGCTCTCCTCATAGCTCATCAGCACTACCAGCCTCACAGCCAGAGCCCGCCAACAACGCCACCAGAGCTTGTTCAGAGCCATGAATACCCTTATGCGGCTTCGTCAGCAACCACGCCAGCTCAGATTTCACCACCGACACCACACAGGCTGTCCATCGTTCAGACCATGCCCTCCTACAGCCCACCTACACAGTACGCCCCGATGCCGCAATCAGCGCCCTACTTTCATCCACCTCCACAAAGTACCGCCGGGCCATCCATGCCGTACTTTGCTCCTCCTCCAAGTGTGCCTCTGTCACCTGCGCCGACCAAGTCCCGCAATGTCACCCGGCCGTTAAGCCAGTTGTATCACAGGACACTACAAAAGGTTGCCTCACCCCCGATGAGCCCGCCTTCTGCCCCAATGCAGCACGCACCAGGGCTAAATATGCAGCCCTACCAGCCTATGCCCGTGGAACCGACGTACGACGCCGTTCCGGTCCCGCAAAGCTACTATGACAAGCGTCCGCTGTCACAGGTGCTTCCACCAACACCAATGTCTTTGCCTAACTCTCCCGTGCCAGTTCAGCAGCAGCAGCACTACTCTGGTGCAAGTTACTTTCCTCAGACATCCTCACCTTATCAACCTGGATACTCGAGTCAGCCACGACATCCTCCGCCTGGCACTGCGGCTTACCAGGCGCAGTATACAGCTCCTGTCACCGATGCGCCATGGCAAGGCTACCAGCGTTGATGGTGTCCGAGGAGACGAAGACACGACACTATCATGATTTGATAACTTTGCAAGCCTCGGCGTTTACTTTGGTCATCTTGAAAGACTGCGCAGAAGCGAGAGAAACCTGAAAGGCATTGGCAAAGATCCACAGGGTTCACAAAAAGATTCTGCCAGCATATAGTAAGCACCGCTTATTAAAGGGCCCAGGAAATAGATTATTACCCAGTCTCAGATAAACGGTCAAATGATGCGAATACATTGAAGTCCATTTGGTATGCCAACGCCATTGCTATGCTGGGGGAAAACACGTGCCGCTTACTGGCCATCTGTTCCCTGCCGAATCCCCTCAAAGATTGGTCCCCAGGACCCCGAGTTGCCTCGCATTTCCTTGATCTCATCAAATCTGTTGTCTGCAATCTTGCGCACAAGGAGTGTGTCCTTTGACTTTTTGATATTCTTGCCGTCTCCGTGCCGCAAGTATTCTTCAAACCACGCCTCTTCCTCTGCCGTGAATGGCAGAAACGCAGCATCTTCCACCCCGGCGTTCTGGTTGTCGCCGAGAGCTAGCGAGATGAGGCGCTGGAAAAGTGTCTCCCGGATGTACTCGGGTTGGGTACGCGAGAAGAAGAGTGCCTCGGTGGCGTCGTTGCGAGCCATTGCTTCGAACAGCAGCTCCAGTGCCGTCGACGTGCTCAAGATCGGCTGCACGGTGTAGTAGTACGACAATGCAAGCTGTTCTTCGCCGTTGCGAACGAGGGCGGTGATGATGTCGTCGGCGAAATCGGGGATCAGGGACGGATATGCAATGTATTCCAGCGCATCCTCAAACTCCTGCTGGTCCAGCTGCCACAGGCCTTTCATCAGGATCTGGTAGCTCTTGGGCAGACCAGAGTTGTTCGCAAAGTCTTCCGAGACGACGGCGCGCGTACTTGTTTTGTCGAAATCGAGGAGAATGTAGTAGAGAAGGGAGAGCTTGTAGTGCAGCGCCATGGAGGCTTCGCAGATCTGATGGTGAAGCTGGCGGAGCGCATTGTCTGTCTTGGGCGGGTAAGATTTGCCTAACAAAAGTCAGTCAATTGAAGATGAATTCGAAAACGGCGAGCTAACCCTTGGAGAATCCGAGCGCCTTGATCACGCGGTCGATGAAGAGTAGCCCATCGAAAGCTTTGCGCGATCCTTCAATCTCGCTCAGGAGCTCGCGATCGTAAGGCAGCGCACTGCCAGCAGGGAAGACCTGCTGAAAGTCTGTGTAGTCGAACATCTCCGACAAGGGCGGGCACACTTGGTTCTGTGGTTTAGAGAAGATCGGCTGCGTTGCGCGCGACAGCGAAATCGTCATGAGGACTGGACTGGAAGCTGTCGCGGATCCACGTGATTTCGTGGGGTGGCCGAAGTGGGGCTCTCTGTTGTTTACAGACCCCTGCCGAATTGGGACATATCCAAACACACTCATTCACCGCAAAGCAACCAGCGCGGGGCGCCGCCATTTCGCATCGACAAACCCGTTTTCCATTACAGCAACGACTAACTAGAGACGCGGTTGTTTTGTTGCACGGTTGCATTACAGGCAATCTCTGCCATTTACACATTCAGAAGCGCACAATGGCCTCCCGGACGCGACGCGCTACACGGCGCAATGCTGTGATCGACTCGGACGATGAGTCCTCACAGAACACGACCAAAATTCACGAAGACGAGGCCGAGGATTTTGAGCCAGACACATCAAACACATCCCGCAGATCGACTAGGAGCACGCGGAAAACATCAGCGGCAGCGCCTACACCTCCGCCCGCCGCAACGAAAACCACAGCGCGAGGTCGAGGGCGGCCAAAGAAGGCATCGCTAGCGGCGCCAACCCCCGAGCCTGAAACGCAAACAGAGGAATCAGCGCCAGATGAGGTGACTCAAGTGCTGGTATCGGAAACCTCTGCTTCGGACATGACCGGCGAAGTGGACGCTTCTGCGGTCAAACAGGAGGAGGAGTCTGAGGATGAGCTCTCTCAGGTCATATCGCCCCAGGCGACGCCAAAGAAGCGTCAAAGTACGAGCTCACGAGTTTCGACTGGACCGACCATTGCATTGGCGCCACCTACACCACAGAAGACTACGCCGCCTGATGCGCCTCCCAAGCTGAACGCGGTGCCGGCCACACCTCTAGCCGACATCACCAGCTCCAACAACCGATTTCGAGACGACCCACTGGCCACGATTCGAGGCAATCGATTCAACACAAGCATCATGGATCAGCCGCTAGACCTCATGATCAAGTCACGCACCCAAACAACCATACCCGTGGTGGAGGAAACTACCCCAAAGTCGCGCATTGTCTTGACGTATCTGATCTTGAACAACTTCAAGAGCTACGCTGGTCGTCAGGAAGTTGGCCCGTTCCATGCATCTTTCTCGTCTGTCGTTGGTCCCAATGGTTCCGGCAAGTCCAACGTCATTGACAGCTTGTTGTTCGTCTTTGGCTTCCGCGCCAGCAAGATGCGACAGGGCAAGATCTCGGCGCTTATTCACAATTCAGCTGAATACCCCAATCTGGACCATTGCGAAGTGGCTGTCCACTTCCAGGAAGTCATGGACCAGCCGGGCGGGGGGTCGGTGGTTATTCCCAACTCCGAGCTCATCATCTCGCGAAAGGCGTTCAAGAACAACTCAAGCAAATACTACATGAACGGCAAGGAATCCAACTTTACCGCCGTCACCACCTTGCTACGCGAGCGAGGCGTTGATCTCGATCACAAGCGTTTCCTCATCCTCCAGGGTGAGGTGGAGTCTATCGCCCAGATGAAGCCCAAGGCACCCAACGAACACGACGATGGTCTACTCGAGTATCTGGAGGATATCATCGGCACGTCCAAGTACAAGACTCCAATCGAGGAGTCGGCGACCGAGGTCGAGATGCTCAACGACATTTGCGCAGAGAAGAGCGGGCGTGTGCAGCACGTTGAGAAGGAGAAGAACAGTCTTGAGGACAAGAAGGACAAGGCACTAGGCTTCATGCGCGATGAGAATGAGTTGGCAGCAAAGCAATCGGCGCTATACCAGCTGTTCCGCCAGGAATGCCACGACAACATTGCTGTCACCCAGGAAGCCATCGGCCAAATGCAGGAGCAGCTCAGCGCCGAATTGGAGAAGCATCAGGGCGGCCAAGAACAGATCAAAGAGCTCGAAAAGCAGTACAACAAGGGCAGCAAGAGTTGCGAGACGCAGGAGAAGCAAACGCAAGCCTTGGTCAAGGAAATGTCCAAATTCGAGCAAGAGCGCGTCAAGTTTGACGAGAAGCGCAAGTTTCTCGCTGACAAGAAGAAAAAGCTCGAAAAGACGATTGCCAATGCCGAGCAATCGACCGCCGAAGCTGACGAGACCATCGAGCAATGCTCGGCCGACATTGAGACGAGGACGGCTGACGTGGAGGAGCTTGAGCAACAGATGGAGGCCGCTGAGGCCGAGCTCGCTACTATCCGCGAGAGCCTGAAAGGCAAGACGCAAGAGTTCTCGGATCAAATCGCAGCCAAGCAAAAGTCGCTCGAGCCTTGGACCGAGAAGATCAACCAGAAGCAATCAGCCATTGCCGTCGCCGAGAGCGAGCTCAACATTCTCCAAGAGAAGGCCAACGCAGGTGCTGTTGCTATTGAGGAACTCAAAGGCAAGATCTCTTCTGCCGAGGAGGCCAAGTCCAAATTGCGGGAGCAGCTGGAGCTTTGCGAGTCAGAAAAGGCTGAGCTTCTTGCGGAAGCTGAGAACTTGAAGTCGGAACTGAGCGTACTCGCGGAGCAAGAGCCCAAGATGCGCGCCAAGATTTCGAATGCCCGTCAGAAGGCGGATGAGGCCCGATCAAATCTATCAGGCATGCAAGCTCGCGGCAACGTCCTTACGGCTCTGATGCGGATGAAGGAGTCTGGCCGCATTGATGGCTTCCACGGTAGACTGGGCAATCTTGGCACCATTGACTCCAAGTACGATGTTGCGATCTCGACGGCATGCCCGGCCCTCGACAACTTTGTCACTGAGACTGTTGATGCCGGTCAACAGTGCATCGAGCACCTCCGCAAGAACAATCTTGGGCGAGGCAACTTTATATGTCTGGACAAGATGCGCAACCGCGATATGGGTGCTATGCAAACACCGGAGGATGCGCCCCGCTTGTTCGATTTGGTGACTCCCAAAGACAAGAAGTTCCAGCCCGCCTTTTACCATGCGCTGCAGGATACTCTGGTCGCAAATGACTTGGCCCAAGCAAACCGCATCGCCTATGGCGCCAAGCGATGGAGGGTTGTCACACTTGCTGGTGAGCTGATTGATAAATCAGGTACCATGTCTGGTGGCGGTTCTACTACCCGCAAGGGTCTCATGTCATCCAAGCAAACAGATGACATCTCCAAGGAGCAGGTAGTCAAGCTCGAGACTGATAGGGATGCCTGGGAAACCAAGTACCAGGAATTCCAAGAGTACCAGCGCGAGTGCGAGACCCGTCTGCGCGAAATCAACGAGAACGTGCCGCGGCTGGACACCAAGAAGCAAAAGATCGGTCTCGAGATGGAAAGCAACACTCGTAGCTTGGCCGACCTGCAAAGACGCGTCAAGGAGATTAGCAAGGAGCACCAGCCGTCGGCCTCTGACGACAGCCGCCAAGAGTCGTTGAAGAAGGACATTGTCAAACTCAACAGGGACATTGAGAAGCTCCATGGCGAGACGCAGAGCGTTGAAGACGAGATCAAGACGTTGCAAGACAAGATCATGGAGGTTGGCGGCGAGAAACTACGCGCCCAACGTGCCAAGGTGGACAGTATGAAAGAGGAGCTCGCACAGAACCAAGAAGAGATATCGAGCGCCGAGGTTCGCCGCGTCAAGGCTGAGAAGCAGAAGGTCAAGCTCGACAAGGACGCGACCAAGGCCAACAAGGAGCTTGCCACCGCCGACAACGATTTGGAACAGCTCGACCACGACGTCAACAACCAAGTAGAGAAGGCTGAGGAGCTCCGCGCGCGTGTGGAAGAGGCAGAGCAAGCCCTGGCGGCGACCAAAACGGAGCTCAAGGCCCTCAAGACCGAGCTCGATGAGAAGACAGCCGAGTTGAATGAGACTCGCGCACTCGAAATCGAGATGAAGAACAAGCTCGAGGAGAATCAGAAGGCTCTAACAGAGAACCATCGGCGCTTGAAATACTGGGACGAGAAGCTGTCCAAGCTGACCCTACATGACATCGAGGACTTGGTCGGCGGCGCAGAGGGCGCAAAGAGGAAGAAGGTCACCAAGAGCAAGAAGCCCAAGGTTGAGCAATCGGCAGCAGATGATGGAGATGTGGACATGGAAGATGGTTCGGTGAAAGAGGAAGACGAGGACGTTGATATGGCCGAAAGTGGCGACGACCGCAGCCAGACCCTAAACGACCAAACAGCCGACGAGGAGCAAGCGAAAGAAGGTGGCGAGGGCAGTGGTGAAGAAGAGGAGGGAGAAGAAGACGAGCCTATGCAAGACCTGCAGCAGTTGCCGCAGTACACGCCCGATGAGCTTGCCGACATGAGCAAGGAACAGCTCAAGGCTGAAATTGCGGTCCTCGAGGAGAAAACGCAAAATGTCAATGTCGATCTTGGTGTACTCGCCGAGTACCGCCGCCGTGTTGAAGAGTACGCCAGCCGAGCTTCTGACCTACAGGCCGCTGTTGACCAGCGCGACTCGGCGAAGAAGAGGTGCGACGACCTTCGCAGGTTGCGCCTTGAGGGCTTCATGGAGGGTCTGAGTGCTATCTCTCTGCGTCTCAAGGAGATGTACCAACTCATCACCATGGGCGGCAACGCGGAGCTCGAGCTTGTGGACAGTCTCGACCCGTTCAGCGAAGGTATCCAATTCAGTGTCATGCCTCCCAAGAAGAGCTGGAAGAACATCAGCAATCTATCAGGTGGCGAGAAAACGCTCAGCAGTCTCGCCCTTGTATTTGCGCTGCATCATTACAAGCCAACGCCGCTCTATGTCATGGACGAGATTGACGCGGCGCTCGATTTCCGAAACGTAAGTTACCCGACCCCCCTTGCCTCTTCTCAGCCAGGTACTGACATGGTCCAGGTCTCCATTGTGGCCAACTACATCAAGGAGAGGACGAAGAACGCTCAGTTCATTGTCATTTCGCTCCGCAACAACATGTTCGAGCTGGCTGCGCGCTTGATCGGCGTATACAAGGTCAACCACATGACGAAGAGTGTCGCTATTGAGAACCAGGATTACATCAACCGACCAGCGCCAGCACGGCCAGCACCCAGCACGCAACGGCCGCCGACGGCTGGAGGTGCGACGACAACGTTGGCAATGAGATGATAGATGAGGGACGGTGTCATGTATAAATCGCTTTCTGGGTATATAATTCTGATGATGAGGGAATGACCGGAATGATGGCCAACTGGATGGGTCCGTGTATAGGGTGTCGGAGTTTGTGCTGCTAGAATTGATGCTTCAGTCAATGGTTATAATTGGCGAGACGCTCTTAAAATACCTTGACTATTGATGTCTTTTGCATCAGAAACGCATAGCAGCGACAGCGGTAACGATAGTCAGGGGTTTGTGTACATGAACTTTACAATAGTGTTGCCGCATGGATGCCAAGTTCATGTGTAGCAAAAGCCAGCGCACAATTCAGCAGCGAAAGACAACAGTAACGCCAAACAGGATGGGCTATGTCTCTACGGGTCTTCGCTATGAGATCGTAGAATTGTTGGGCGTTTGCGTGTTGCAATGCAATGATCCTTGATCAAGCTTTGAGCTGGTCAATTTGATGTTCGCACCTTACCTTATGCAAGCACCAGACACGCGTGAACCACCGCGTTACATCCAGCTAATCAAATAGATGCAACCCAAGCGATCTCATCGTTGTAAGTTCCACTCAAATGAATTTTGCCGTCTACAGGGCGAGTTCCCTCCAGGCCGACGCGAACGGTCGTGAAAACTTAACTTAGATGCGACTCTAGGGTAGTTCGATACTAGTTTGACGCAACGCATTGGCGCGTGTGTGTCTGTTGAACAAATTCAAGCGGTATGATTCTCGGGCCACCAAGCACGCGCGGGACACGTTCTTGTCATGTCACAGAACAACATTCATATACGCGGACAGCCTCACAGAAGACGAATTGTGGATGTACCATGTTTCATTTTACGCGCCAAACGCACACTGTTTGATGTGCCCCTATTTCCCAAGAGACCCAGTCGTAACTCATCACATCGAACACCAGCCATGCAGGAAGACAACCATCGCTTAAGCCTTGGGGGCGTTAGGGACAATCTTCTTGCCGTCCTTGTTGTAGCGGACGCGAGGAGGAGGGGCACGGTTGCGGCGGCCAGTGGTCGAGCGAACACTATTGTCCTGTCAGCGTCCTGTCGACGATACGTACCGCGGCTGGGCGAGCCAGCGCGACAAGGAGGGTGGGAGTGTGGCAGTACGACCAAGGCTCTTCTGAAAGGCATACGCCGAGGCGCAGTTGTCACACTCCCAGGAAAGACAACGTACCGGACAATCTTGCCATGAATGGCGCAAGAGACACAGTACTGCAGCTTCAGGTACATCTTGGGTACGGTGTACTCGGCAAAGACCGAGGCGTCCGAGATGTCACCTACAAGCCTGTTAGTCGCCATGATTGCAGAAGTAGTGGCAGAGGGAAGAACGCACGAATAGCAGCAGACTCAACCATGTTGCGGATGGTGAAGCGCTTGATTGCCTTATCCTTGGGCGTGCAGCGAGAGCAGTTGCTGCAGCGGATGGGCTTGACGTGGCCGCGGCCCTTCTTGTTGCGACCGCTGTAGATCTGTTAGTCCAGTGCTCAACTCATCGCGAAGAGTGCGTGCTCGCGATCTCGAGCAAAGGCGACGCTGCGTCGAGTATCGAGGGATTGTCGGTCGAGCGAGGCGTGGCAGGGCGAACGTACTTGTTCTTTCTCTTCTTGACCATCTTGGCTGTATCTGTGGTGCTGTTAGAGGGATGTGAGGAGGAGGTTCGACGGCGGAGCAAACATACTGAACTTGACTTGCTGTGAAGGGTTGAAAGTTGCAAAGAGGGATCGGCCCAGACGCACCAAAGTTCAATGGCTGCAAAATGTGGAGCTGCACCCGCTGCCACTGCGCGCACACAAAATTTCCCTTCCACATGGAGAGGCATTTGCAGCGCAGACCGGAGAACCCTACTCACGTGATGCTGACAAAGGCGGCTCGTTCGCGCGCGAAAATGTGCGTGCCAGGCCAGCCCACTCTAGCCCTGCTGAATTTGCCCAGGGCTTGGGCCACGCCACGTCGAGTCAAGGACCACCACTGGAGAAAAGACCGCCCCCAGTCTTCCCTCTTCCCAACCGCATCGCCAAAAGAACATCTGAAGCTTGCTTAGGAAGACACATTGTCGAGGTATGTCTGCACGATGTCTCTTGGTTTGATCATCATCATCATCACTGTCTTTGTTTGATTTTCGTTTCCATCCACCGACGACGGCGCCGCCACGCCTTGATCCATGCGTTCCAGCGACGCCGTCCGTCGTGCGATCCCCTCTATGCACGCGAAGCATAACGGGGCGAATGATGGACGATGATGATGATGATGATGATCATCCAAGCAGACTTCGCCCTCATTTCACTATACGCCCGCGACAGCATGCTAATCGAGATAGCTAGGCAAGATGCAGATTTTCGTCAAGACCCTGACGGGCAAGACCATCACCCTTGAGGTCGAGTCCAGCGACACCATTGACAATGTCAAGTCCAAGATCCAGGACAAGGAGGGCATCCCCCCTGACCAGCAGCGCCTGATCTTCGCCGGAAAGCAGCTCGAGGACGGCCGCACCCTGTCCGACTACAACATCCAGAAGGAGTCCACCCTCCACCTGGTCCTCCGCCTCCGTGGTGGTATGGCCAAGAAGCGCAAGAAGAAGGTCTACACCACCCCTAAGAAGATCAAGCACAAGCGCAAGAAGAACAAGCTGGCTGTGCTCAAGTACTACAAGGTCGGCAACGACGGCAGCATTGAGCGCCTCCGCCGCGAGTGCCCCGCTGACACTGTGAGTTTTTCCCGGACAATGGTGTTCTTTCTGCTACAGTCGCTAATATCCTGACAGTGCGGCGCTGGTGTCTTCATGGCCTCCATGCCCGACCGCCAGTACTGTGGCCGCTGCCACCTCACCTACATCGTCGACAAGCAATAGACGATTTCTGCGAGGAATGGCGTGCGGATGATTTAAACATGAGGGATGGATGGGTTAGTTAGGGCGTGGGATGCTGTACGTCCCGGGCAAGTCATTTCGGCGTTGATGTAGCATAGAGCACATCGGACATGACATTCAAAAAATGATGACCTTTCACCTGTGCTTGCTAGATGTCTGATCCTCCTTTGCCATTCCAGGATGCCGTGCTCGTGTCTATGTGCCCTTTGTTCCTTCAGGAGACGAGCTGCCGATCATACGCTGCAGGATCACCTCATGCATCCAGGGACAACAGGGACAACGAATGTAGATCTTTGCGCGCAGTGTCAGTTTTAACTTTCCGCAACGAGGCAGCTGGTTCACTGTTGTTCAACCCAAAGGAGACATCATACCATTTATTCATCGCCGTGCAGACACAATAATTACCGCAGGTATTACCACCGCGCTCAGCTGAATCCAGACAATATCGTCATGCCCACATGTCATCAATGGCAAGAGTGAAGTAATAAGAAGAATTGAATTTGCCATTTCTCGAGAACGCCGTAGATATCCCTCCATCCACACCGTGGTATGTTCACAGAGTAAACTCAAAACACCCCAAACTCCAGAGCCAGATGGGAAAAGCAAGATATGAAAAGGAGACAACAAGATAAGAAGCATCATCGGTTGGCTTTGGCCTTGGCCTACTGCCCAAGCCCGGCAGTGTTCAACGAGGCAGCCTTGCGCTTGCGCGCCCTGAACACCTCAGTTGCGTCGATGAGCAAGCCTTTTGCCTTCTCGAGGACGCTGGCAGATGGTGATGGTTCCTGGGCGGGAGAGAAGGCCTTTGTCAAAGCTGGCGGCAGCGGTACAGCAGATGGCACCCCGTAAGTCGACGGGGTGGATCGCTTTGCCTTGATCTTCTTCTGACGTGGCAAAGCAACAATACTGTCGTCGTCCGCCAAAGAGGGCACCGGAAGCTGCTTGCCCCCAGCCAAAGCCAAGTCGGACGAGGCCTTCTAGGCGTCCGCAGACTTGGACTTCTTCTTCTTCTTCTTCTTTTCCTCGCCATCCACCTCCATGGGTGTGGCGGTCTCCTCGTCCTCTTGCAGCTTGCGCTTCTTGTCCTTCTTGTCCTTCTTTTCTTTCTTGTCCTTCTTGTCCTTCTTGGACTTCTTCTCGGTGATGACCTGAACATCATCGGCATCCTCCATCTCCTCATCGAGATCGGCGCCCTCTGCCAGATCACCAAGAGACTCCACGCCGGACTGCGAATCGTTAGCTGCTGGACATATGCCATCTGCCCAAAAGGGGTACTACTCACCATGACATCCACGTTCTTGGCCGGGCGCTTGCCGGTGGCGTAGAACTGTAGGCGATCCTCAATCTGCTGCTTCAGGGCCTTGCCCCACTTGGTCGAGGGCTCATCCGCAAAGAAGTCGATACGACAGGCGATGCTGCACTTGTTGGCGAGGTAGCGCGAGATGCGGCCCTTGTCGCGTGTCGAGGCGCGGCCGATGAAGGTGCTGTGGAAGATGAGACCGTACTTGGGGGTGTTGCTCTTGGCCTTGAGCGCGCGGAAGAGCGCCTTCTCGGCACCCAGGATCTGCAGCGTCGAGGCCGGCATCTTGGCCAGGTTGCTGAGACCCTGCGCGGCCTCGATGAGACGGGCGGCCACCATGGTGCCGACGAGCATCTGCAGGTTGGGGGCGACGTTGTCGAGGACACGCTCGAGGTTCAGGGCGGTCTGCTTGCGGAGGCTGAAGGCGCCGTTGAGGGGCTTGATGAGGGCGTCGACCATGTCGTGGTCGTCGACGGAGATGTCCATGCCCATGGAGACCTTGGCGGCGTCAATGATGGCCTGGGCCTTCTCACCGTCCTCGCCGACAATGGCGGCAATGTCGTGCAGGCGGTCATCGGTCAACGTGCGCTTGTCGCGGATCTCCTTGACGAGCGAGGCGTATGTGAAGTTGTCGGGCTCAATCTTGTTGAGCTCGGGGAAGTGCCAGCCGTACCACTCGCGGAGGCGCATGTAGTTGGTGTTGTTGCTCTTGTCGAGCAGCTCGACGGTCTTGATGGCCTCAATGATGCTTCGGTCATTGCGCTTGGGGTCGAACATGATCCTGCCACGCGAGTAGGCATGACCAAGACCACGGCCAGCGGCCAGGAGGTCCTCGGCCGTCAGGTCGGGGATGAGCTTGGCGGCGTGGACACGGATGCCACGGAGAAGCTCGGCGACAATGTCGGAGGTGTCAGCGGTCTGGCAGACGACACCGGGGAAGGCAGCCTTGATGGCACCAGCCAGGTTCTTCTCGGAGACACCGAGGCTGATCTGGGTCTTCTTGCCGCTCGCCTTGGGGAGGTTGAGCTCGAGAACCTCGCGGAGGTAGTCGGGCAGCTGGCCCTCGGAGATTTCGTTGACGTTCTCAAGAGCTTCCTTCTGGCCACTGGAGGGTTTCTGTTAGTAGCTGTTCCGGTCCCGTGTACCGCGCAACCTACCGGAATGGGCTGAAGTTCTGCAGAGTCACCATCTTGCCAAACTTGGCGAGGTCATTGGCCGCCTCCTGGCCTTCCTTGGACTTGAGCCCCACGACATCGGCCTGGTGGACGACCTTGAAGAGTGAATAGCCCACTGGCGCCTCAAAGAGGGCGTACTCGACTTCGGACATGATTGCGGTGTTTGATCCCTCTCTCGTGGTGGGCGATTGCGCACTGAGTGGTTCCTTGGCGGCGAGGAGAGGAATTGATCGGGGGGTGGGTGGATGGGAGATGATGGGAAACTGGGTGTCAGGCGTCGTGGTCTTCGCCCGTAAACTTTTTTTGCGAAGAGGCCGAAATTTTCGAGTCGGGCGGCGGCTCCACATTGATTGGAGGAGGTCACGTGTGTGGGGTCTCATCACCTTGAGTCGCAGCTCTCTAAGATTCACTAAGTTCATGTTTATTTTCGACTAGAAGACCTCGTTCAACTGCTCGGAAAGCCCTCGCGGAGATTATCAAACGATGACTGCGGGTAGTTGATGCAGTTGTCCTGCTTCAGCAGTGCTTGTGGTCCACCAAACGTGCGCACCACCGTCCCAATCAGACTCTCGTCGCCAGTCTTGTCCGAGCTGCTCTCCCACCACATGGCGCCGCCTAGGCCACGATCCATGAGAAACTGTGTCTTGATCTGGGCCATCTGGGGCGTGTCGTACGTGACAAGCTTGCGCTGGTCTTGGCTGAAGCAGTACGTCGCGCCAGCCGCCTGGTCGTAGATCTCCTGCGACCCAGGAAGAGGCAGCTTCTTGTAGTCGTGCACGCCTTGCTCCCACGTACCCTCGCCCACGCCTTGGAAGGGCTGACCCAGACCGCCAGTGTTTTCAAAGGCGCGGCCGTACAGTGGCATACCCAAAACGAGCTTGTCGGGCCGCACTCCACTGCGAAGGTAATGATCCAGAGCAGCCGCTGTGGAGAATGGTGTCGACGCAGGGTTGTCTGGGCTCGGGAACAGGTTCGCCTGGTGACCGCTGACCGAGTCCCAGGATCCAGCGTAATCATATGCCATGAGGTTCCAGAAGTCGAGATACTGGTCCATCCCAGGGATATCCATCTTTGTAAAGTTCTGCGCACCAGCCGGGCAGGCCACAGTGAGCTCGTAGTGGTGGCCGCCACCGACCTCTTGCGAGTAGCGGTCCAGCTCCCTCCTCGTTTCGGCGAGCAGCTCGACAAAGTTGCGCGCCTCGTCTGCGTTCTGGGGGTACTCCCAATCAATGTCCAGCCCGTCAAAACCGTACTTTTTGACCAGTTCGACACCCGACTTGGCGAACGCGGAGCGGCCCTGCGGCGTGCTGGCGGGTGCACGGAAGTTGGCGCTGTAGGTCCACCCACCGATGGACAGGAGCACCTTGAGGTTACGGTTGCGGCGCTTCAGTAAGTGAAGCTGCTTCATACACCCGTACATGTTGTTGCCAGTGTCGTTCCACGAGTCGCCCTCGTAGTGGATGCCTACGTCGGCCCATTCATCGGTCATGTGGCTGCCAGGTCAGTGCGATTTCATGAAGGCCACTGCAAAACTTACACCTCGCCGCTATCGGGTCGGACATTTGCAAAGGAGTAGAGAATGTGGGTGAGGTTCTCGACGGGAAGGTCCTGGGGTGTGTGCTTTCGTCCATAGACAGCCCAGTTGACAAAGTAGGCTACCGTGCGGTAACCTTGATGACCACCCATGCTGACTTCTGTATGTGTATTTGTATCGAACAATCGATGTACAATGGCGAAAATGAGAACCAGGAACGCGCACAGTGAACTTATACACCCAAAGGATAGCTGCCTGCCGCGCCTGCGGTCTGACGTAGGGACCTTTTCAGGATTCACGGTGTCGACAGGATGATGCTCTGGGGGCGCATGCTTCGGCTTTGCTCATAAATAACCTTGGAATGAGCCTGGATGTGGATGTGATGGATAGCAGTCGTCGTCAGCTGGAGGGGGAGCGGATGGCTGTGGTTGTTGTCATTGGCCTCATGTGTGCATGCGCCTTGCTGGCATTGACGCATGTGGCGGTGCAGCGTGGCGTTCAACAGGAGAGGTGTCATTGTCAGGATAACGCAGTCTACAGAAATAACTCGAGAGGATGGAAGAAAACCATTCTCATTTGATAGTGAAGAAGCAAAATGCTGGCATTTTCTATCGTTGAGATTGTGGCCGTCAAGAAGTTGCGTCCGCTTCGATCATTGTAGCTACCCTGCGCCATCTTTCGAGTTTCGATTTGATGCTGCAACACCATACCTCCTTATTCTTGCTCAAAGCAAAAGAGATATATGGGATGGTTCCACATATCCATGACTTGAGGCCCTTCACAGGCTGTGTGTAGTGCTCGTAACTGCCGAACAGACGTCCCTCTAGATTCGCATGGGCTTAGTCGATTTGGATCTGAAGAGATGTGAAATATTGGCCAAAAAAGGGGGAACGCAATAGCTTGAATGTGCAAGAAGGCAAATATGGCGCCATGGAAATGTGAATATTTCATTTTGTGGGAATCAGTGTGGTCCAGGTCTGTCTGGACGCTTCAACGACAACTCTGAAGCTCATCAAGGGCAAGCTTGGTGGTTTTACGCGTCGATTACTGTCACCAGTCAGGGGCCCAGGTCGTACATTTTCGGTCACACCCCTCATCGGTGACCACGCTGCATCAGACGTCACAAGTTCGATCCTGTGCTTCGCAAACGTCGCTTGCTTGTGGCAGCCATGCGGTGTCACTTGGACCTGACGCCGGGGATTGTATGTCCCACCACACCGTAGCAAAACAACCTCTGAAGTCTAAACGAGTCTATGCGTCTATAAGCTGTCTATCGAAATGCCAATATATGCGTTGCCATGCAGATGTCTTTGCATCATGCCGCCTCAATCGCCTTTGGCTTGTCAAGCGTCCCTGCTTCAGCCGCGGCCTTCTCCTCAGCCCTCCTGTTCAGCAGCGCGAGGTACGTCTGCCACCCAATCGCGATGACCGCAGAGAACACGCTGCGGTGCTCAACGGGAACAAAGGTGAAACTAAAAGCCGTGACAATGGGCCAGAACCGACACGAGCTCACCCAGCTCGTCGGGACTGTGTTGACGATCCGTTCCACGACTTCGGCGGGCGTACACCCGGACAGCAGGGCCTGCATGCCGAAGAAGTACGAGTTGAACGTCGGCGCGAAGACAAACTGGCTGACGACAATCTTCGTGCCGAGCGACAACAGCCTCGAGGAGTAGTTGAAGTTGTGCGAGAGGAAGTTGAACCAGAGGTAGCTGGGAATGGCGGCGACACCGCCAATCACCAGACTCCTCGCCGTGCGCTTCGGGTCCAGGGGATCATCGCTGCCGATGCTCTGGGCGCTGATGTCGGATATACAGTAGATCACCAGCGCGCTGAAAAACTGAGTTGTCCAAGGACGGCGTCTCTGCGCACGAGCGTACGCCGTCGCAAGGGTCGTCAGAGGGCCGAGGCGCTGCCAGAGCGGTAGCTGACCGACGGTATTGGGCACTGGAATCGGCTGCTCAGTCTCAGGGGGCGGTTTGCCATGGTTCGAGGACTGGTGTCGTCGAGGGTGGGATCTCCACGCGCGCTGGAGGGGTGCTCGGCTGTAGGCTCGGAGGGTGACGGAACGTAGTGGGAGAGTCCCTTGCGCGAGAAGGGGGCGCATGATCGTGCGCGCAGGTATACGGAGTTGTCAGGGAGGGAGACGAGACAGCATCTCGAGAGGCAATGTCCAAGTGCACGAGCCCTCTTTGTTGTTGGTTCGAGTGGACGAGAGAGGAGTTGAATGCGGGTTGAATCGGTCAGGGGAGAGATAAGATAGCGAATATCCCCGACCGGTATTCAGAGCAGGAAGAGACTTGACACGGGGTTCGGCATTCGGATAAGAAAACAGTATCGTTATATGCATATGCTTGGTAACTTGAATACGTAGTAGATGCATGTCACGGTGTGGATGATCACTACCGAAACATGAACAAACCTCACCTCCACTTGCAAGTACCTCTAAGGCTGCCTGGAAACTCGCGACTGCAAGCCTGCGGCATTGACATGTCGGAGATCCTGGCCAGGACACAGCCAAGACGCTTTTGACACTACATCCTGGACTGACACAGGATGTGGTCTAGTACATCGCTCAGGTGAGGTCACGAGGGCCAAGGCGTGTTTGTGCATGGGCGCAACGCGCTGTGGGATATGCTGCCGTGACACTGTACCGAGGGGGGCTGCCGCGCTTGACATTACATTTACTCTGTCGCAGGGCAACCAACATGAAGTGCTGACGCGGGCAGCGCACACTTCATCTTTGACCGTCTATGAAAGCTAGGACAAGCTCTAGCATCTATACAGCGTTCTACCGTATTCTCAAGAGCAATTGACCATCCATCTCAAGATGGCCAACTCAGCGTATCGCCCCCCGTTGCTTCATCCGGAACAGATCCTTCGCTACAGACGCGACCTGCTCGTGCGAGATCGCAGCCGCCTTCCAGACGCGCGACCGTTCTTTCAAAGCCCCCATGTTCAGCCGCAGCAATTCCCGAAGCGCTTCGTGGTCCCCGTTGCCAGCAGGCATGAGCGCCCAGCGGCCCAGATGCACAATCGACGACAATGTGACCACGCACGTGAAGAAGTGCACGTGGGAGACGACCGAGTGGTGGCACATGACCATTCTGCTGATGGCGCGGGCGGACGTGATGGCGTGAAATGTGTGCATGTCCGAGGGCTGCGCGCCAATCTCCGCAGTCAGGGACATGCAGTGGTTGACTGTGATCGCTGGTAGCTTGTCTAGCTTGGCGTGTACCTCGTGTACCATGATGGAGATTGCGTGCCGCATCATCAGGGCTTGGAACATGATCTCGTCTGGCTGCCCGTCGTTTCGGAGGGCATCGCGCTTGTTCGCTGGTAGACTCAGTGACCAGGACGCGAGACGTGCTTCCGTCTGCGTCCCGTCGTCTAGGTGGTCGATTGATCGCGATTTGCGCAGGAAGAAGCCGAGGGTGTGGGCGGACAGAATCAGGTACGCAAACGAGGAGAAGGCAAGCTCCTCTGTGGCGAAGCCCCGAGCTTCAAGGTCGTCAAAGGATAGCGGGTCGGGGATGTCCTATGGGAGAATGTTAGCAAGGCGCCCTATTCGCTGGCAACCAACGGAGTATTCAAGATCACGTACTCCGGAAAGATACTGATCCTCCTCGCAAGGAAGTCCAACATCGCTGGCCACATTGCACAGCGCAAAGTCGGTCCTGCGATGGGCTGCGGTCACCATAGCCTCGGTGCTGTACAAGCTCCACCACGTCCGTCTCCAGCTCTCTTCGAGGATCGGAACGCCTCGGCCATGGAGGGACGCGAACGATGCACGATGCAGGCCAATTTCTATTGCGAGTTGCTCCGCATTTTCCAGCACTTCCCGTGCCTTGCGCTGATCTGCGTTTCCGTCGAGGCCCACAAGAAGGAGAAGCATTGCCTGGACGAGAAACCCGTCGCGCGGGGCCCTGGGGTCATATATCAGGTCGTGGGCCTGTTGGTAGAGCTCACTGCGTAGACGAGGCTGGACGTCTACGTACAGCGAGCCGATCCAACGCATGGCAGCAAGCACTGTGCGCATAGAGTCGTGCAAGTCCCTGAGCCGCAGAAGGTCATGGTGTGGCAGGACAAAGGGGTGAGCGGCAAAGGCATATCGATAGAACGAGGCCAAGTAGCGATCCGTTTCGACCATGGCACTTTCGGATGGCATGATAGAGACGTCTCCTGCCGCGAAGTCGATCTGCTTGCATGATTCGGTAGTGATGCTAGCAGGGTCAGGAAGCCAATTCATGTCGAACAATGGGGCGGTCGGCGGTGAAAGGTCCACGCCCAGGCTGTTGGACATGGACATGAGCTCGTCACTGCTGTCCTGCAGGGCCCACGGAGCGAATTCCGGGCAGCTATCGAAGCAAGATGCTGGGGAGACGTTGCTTCCTTGAAGGATGGCGTTCAAATCCTGATCTGTCGGAAACTCGGGCTGCTGTTGAGCATGTCGCCGTTTCCCCCGTTGCGAGGCGACGTAGAGGCACTCGGATTTCGATGCAGCGCAGCGACTGCATGGCTGCTCGCCGTCACATCTGACATGTCTAGTTCTCTGTGTGTTGTTCAGCCAAGATGGTCTTCAGGGGTTGCGAATGGAGATGAGCTTACACACGCTACGCAGGTCTTTGTCGGCTTGGTCATGTTGGAGAATTTCTGCTGTTAGGGTATCATGAAGAAGAAGTGGCTGAATGGCGAGGTTTTTGCGCTCTGACGCAAGATTTGCTACGGCCGCTATGGAAACTCGCTGACTTTCATTTATCGAGTCTACGTGTTACTGCATGATTCATGCGTGATGTGTACATGGAGTGGACGGCGACCATTCTTTTGGTGTTTCGCCACCCCGCCGTATTAGTCGTTCGGGCTTTGACTTCGGCGACCTGAAGTCGTCGGCGATCTCCAACATGAACTTCGCCGGCTGGTCAAGATTCTGCTTGCTTTGCAATCGCAGTGAAAGTATAAAACTATGAGTAAGCGTAGTATAAGTAAAAGCATATTGAAGATCGACGACGGCATAGTATTGATCTAGTCATTGACCAACTCTGTTGTCTACTCCGGAGCCAAGCGACGCTCTGACCTACACAATCCAAGCCAAATCTGATAAAGATGGATCCCGCGCCACTAGTCCACAGCATCTTTGACAAGAGCACCGGCACCTGGCAGTATCTCGTGGCAGATCCAGCCACTCGGAATGCTGCCGTGATCGACTCTGTCCTCGACTTTGACCCGGCCACGCAGAAAGTGACGACAGACAACGCCGACGCCATCCTGCGTCTCATCGAGTCCAACAACTATCAAATCCAATGGATTCTTGAAACCCATATTCACGCGGACCATCTCACGGCAGCGGCCTACCTCCAAGGGCGCCTCGCTGGCCAACTGCAAGATGTGAAGCCGCGCATCGGCATCGGCAAGCGCATCACACAAGTCCAGAAACAATTCGCGGGCAAATATGATGTACCGTGGGACGAGTGCGAGGGTGTGTTTGACAAGATGTTTGACGATGACGAAGAGTTCCCCCTGGGGAATCTACAGGCACAAGCCATTCACCTTCCAGGCCACACGCCAGATTTGATGGGCTATGTCTTTGGAGGTAAGCGAGTCCTATGCTTGCGCGTTTGAAAGCAGTCTTGACAGCTAACTTTATCTTTGCCAGACAACGTCTTTTGCGGCGACTCTATTTTCCACGCCGACATTGGCACCGCGCGCTGCGATTTCCCAGGCGGCAGTGCGAAGCAGCTCTACCAGTCCGCGCAGAAACTACTCGCCATGGCCGATCACGTCAAGATCTGGACTGGCCACGACTACCCGAGCGGTGCGCGTCAACAAGAAGTTCCCTTCCTGACCACAAGTGAGCATCGAGATCGCAACAAGCATCTGGCCAACGACACGTCCGAGGAGCAATACGTTGCCGTGCGGGAGGGGAGAGATGCGCAAATGGCGGAACCTAGGTTGATTCATCAGGCTCTCCAGGTGAATATTCGAGGAGGCAGAATGCCAAAGGCGTCGTCGCAGAATGGTCTGCGGATGCTCCATGTCCCGCTCAAACTTGGGGCACTGGATGCTGGTAAAGGTTGTGGCTCTCTACTGTAATGACACTTGGGCTTCAATCCGCATACATGCTTAATTATCCTAGTCAAATATGCAGCCAGATTCTATGCGACATAAGAAAAGATCCAGAGTGAGTGTACACAAGACTCAGCCATCCTCAGACGTCAACCTCGTCCTCGTCGAGAAACCCCAGTCCAGAATCGTACCGTCTTCGTTTCCTCCCGCTACTCCGCCTGGCCAGCTTCCCCGACATCATCTTGCCTGGTATATCTGGCCCATCATCGCCCTTTTCAGACGTCAAGTCTTCGCTCATCCTCATGACGCGCTGCAGCTCGGCTTTCATGTTTTCCACGACACCCCGGAGGCTGTCATTCTCCGCCTCGGCAGTATCCCTCTCGACGCGGAGATCCTTGATGCGCTCATGCGCTTGCCTCAGGGAGGCATTGACACTGTCAATTTCCATGCGAAGCTCAGCGACACGTGCATCGCGCAAAGCGAGGGCTTGCCCTGAACGGCGGTTCACGGCGGAGAGGTGCTTCTGGTGACTTGCCTGGGAGACCTCTAGCTCGTCCTGCAACTCGGTCGCACGCTGTGTGGTTTCCTTGAGCTGGACCTCCAGGCTCTTGACCATCTCTTGACGTGCTAGATGCGTAGAATTGGCCTCGTTGGCATCCGATTCCATGCGCTCAATGAGCCGCTCAAGCTCAGAGATGTCGCGGATGTACTTATCGACTGCCCCCTTGAGACGATCATTGCCGATGTCCAGGTCGCGGATTTTGTTGTCTTTGGTAGTGATCTCGTTCCGCAAGTCATCCATGGCTGTCACTCGCGCGTCAAGCTGCTGTCGTAGGCTGAGCTCGATGGCATGGTACTCATCCACCGCCTCGTCGCTCTCCTTGACCTTGTGCGCCAGGGCGCGGAGCTGGTCCAGAATGAGATCGAGCACCTCGGCACCATGACAGCTGAGCGGCAGCGTAATTTCGCCGGGTGTGAGGTATTCTAGTTCGAGACGGGCAGAGCGGAACGCAGCCGAGAGAGTGGTGAGCATCTCGCTCGCATTCTGCCCTGGGAAGCCGAGTGTTGCAATGTTTGATTTGAGTTCTGTGAGCGCGGCCGTGCGGTCGGACAGCGTCTGGAGGATGTTGTTGACCTGCGCCTCAATTGTGTCAAGAGACGACACAGAGACATTCTCTCCAGAGGGATCCTCGAGGAGTCGCCGGTTGAGCCTGCCAACCACCGTCTTGTACGAGTCCAGTGTCCCCGTTAGCTTGCCGACTTCGCGCTTGAGCGAGTCAACCTCTTCTGCACGAGCTGCTAATTCTGGGTCGGGCATGGACGCTTGAACGCCGACATGGCTTGGTGCTCGCTGTACCGTCGGTGCGTGACGGAACCTTGACACAGTAGCTGGTGTGTCCGGGGCAAATGCCATGGGACTCGTGGCTGGGGGCGTCGGGAACGAAGCTCTTGCGCGGCGAGAAGGCGTGCTGCAGGCCAATTGGGCGACTGTCTCATTCCCAAACATGTCTTCATCCTCGTCGTGTTCTTCAAAGGAATCCCTGGCCGCCATCGTCCAGTCAAGCACCACTGTCTGCTCTTGATCTTGGGCCTGCTTGAGCTCACGCTCCAAGTCATCGACCTGGCGCTCCAGGTCCCAGACACGACTGGTGTCCACTATGATTGTGGCATTCTGAAGTTCGTGGATTTCCTGGTCGCGAGCGCGAAGCTGCTTCTGGAGGTTGTCGATCTTCGCTTTGGCGCTTGAGGCTGTTCGCTGATACTTGGTGTCGAGCTTGTCAATCGCGGTTCGAAGGGCAGAGCGTCGCTGACGGCGCTCGACCCTGCCATCAAGTACCTGTCGTAGCGGCTGCGGCTGCGGCGCGCTGTGCTGGTAGGGCACTGGTGCTGATGAACGGCGATGACTGCTGGGTGTGTTCATGAGGGCCGTGCGTCGCAGCATTGGCGTCAGGCCACTCGACAAGCCTGGTTCGGGGAACCGAGCTTTTCGCTTGCAGTTGCTGCGCCTGGGTGTTTTCATCTCAGGTAGTGTGTCAGGCTCGCTCTTCACGCGAACACCGCAGCTCTTGCGGCGTTCACGTCTCACTGCGATGGGCCTGTCGTCGTGCTCGTCCATGATGATGACCACAATCTGTTTTGGACGTAAAAAAGGACCCAGATTAAAGAGGAAGAAGATGTTCAAAGGCAACTAGGATTGGGACCGCTCAAGATGTAAACAAGACCCGCTCGAGTCGGCAGCGTGATGGACGACCGCGTCTTGACCGTGAATTGAAGGCAGCAATGCTCGTCTGCCTGCCTGTTGCTTATCGCGTCGTGTTGACATATTTCCTATCGCGGCTTAGCGGGACCTGCCGACCCGCTTGACCCCACGTCCGGCCGCCTGGCGGCTTGCCGCGGGGCACTTTCAGCCAATGCTTCAGGGGGTGCGGCCCTGATCGCGACCCCTGATTGACAACTCCAGTCTCCAGTCGCGTCTCCAGTCCGTGCAGGTCGCGGTCAACAAATGTCAAACATGGCCGTTGCCCAAGCGCCCTTCACCGAGATGTTGATGTCAGATGGATTCCTTATATATGACCATTCTCTACGAACGATGATCGTTGTTCAGGTCTCTTCAACTTGACCGATCCATGGCTGGGCGCGACACGTCGACTTCCTGGATGGCGCAGAACGGCCGGGTTGACTCCTGTCCCAGCAAGGATCATGTCGCCATCACAGCAGCGTCTCTACGTTGCGACACAATTTCGAGGCAGATTTCATTCAGATTCCATAGCAAAGGCAACAACGAGAATGCGACACGGGAATACCACTGATGCTCCGATACCAGACAAACGTCGTGCGCTTCTCCATCAATTGACTCAACTACAGTGAGCATAACCACCTCCCAAACTCGACGCCTACTTCTCCTGCTTGATCAATCATGCTCAAGTGTCCAGCTTCCTCAATGATCACCACCTCTCTGGCATTCAACGCATCACCAAGTCTGTGGGCATCTTTCGCGGGGATCCATTCATCGTTGGCGCCCCATATCACCTTGACCGGCATGGCCTTGCCAACTTCCCCGTAACGACCCTCAACGGCATCCGTCGAGCGTGCGTTGGCCTGGCATAATTCTCGTAGGAAGCCCGCCTTGCCCCCCGGTCGGAGCCAGGGCGCCTTCAGCATCTCCATCGTCTCCTTGGGGAGCTCGTGATATGCCGCGTTTCGAATGTACCCTTCCAAGATGCCTTGGAACGCCATATCTGGGAGACGCTCGAAGCGCTCTGGGTCTTCTGCCACGGCTTTGAAGAGCGATTGACCGAAAGGTCCAATGGCGACGACGTCGATCAGACACAGACTGGCGTATTGGCAATCGTGCAGGAGATGTGCCCTCAGGCTGAGCAGGCCAGCATTGTCATGGGCGATAACGTGAGGTTTCCGGCCGTTCCAGTCAGCTTGCCACGTTTTAAAGAGTGCCGCAAATGTGTCTGATTGCCGTGCAAGATCCGAGTCGTATTGGATCATCGGGCTGTCGGGTTTCCAGTCAGCCTGCAGCGGCTGCTCTGAGGGCGATTCACCGAAACCCGGTCTGTCGAGTAGATAGACATGGAACTGTCGCGACAATGCCACTGCAAATGGCTTCCACATTTTGGAGGACCATGGCGTGCCGTGAATGAAGATGAGGGGCTGAGACTTGGGGTTGCCCAGTGATGTCCATTTAATCTGGAGGCTGTGGGTTAAGGTCTGGTGGTTGAAGGTCGTCGTCAGCGTCGTGGGACCCATGGCTGCTAATGGCGAGGCGCAGGCTTTCTGTCTCTTGGAGATTGAATAAGTGTGTCAAATTGATGTATGAAGATGGATGGACTGACCTCCCGAGCAGAATTTCGCCAGATTGATAAATGCCTGTGACGCCCTTCTGTTGACATCCGTGATGCTGTCGCCACATCCCGGCCAGAACGTCATTACCCACAGAATGGCTCACGTTACTCCAACAGCTAAAGATTTGGTAATCAACAGGCATGGAGACATGTTGATGGCAAAATGATGGCTATTGAAACAGCCAGGAAGTACAAACAGTACTGTGAGTTGTCAACGCACAACAAACGCCCCTGAAATTGATTCTATCCTTTGGCGAAAAATCGAAATTGTGCATAATGACCATAATTGCTTAAAGCCACACTTACCACTGGATGCGAAGCCATCAAATTAGGAAAATCCAAGTTGATATCGAGAAATAGAGCTTGTCAACGGTATTTTGATGTGGTAGCCTGCTGATATCAAAGCATAGGACCCGAGAGCTCGACGTCGGACTGGCTCCAACACAAAAGGCCCAGCTGCCCAAAAGGTGCCAATGTCATGGCTGGAATTATGCATTGTACGACGTTATGATTGTCCTTTTGTTTCGGCTCTCTGCGGATGGAATGCTTTGGAGTGATATCTGAGATCATCAGCGCAGGTTGACCAGGTACAAGCCAAGAGGCCCATGTTGGAAGAGCCCAGGATGCTCCTGTGGACAACCCCCATGGGGAATTCGACACAGCCAACCAACGGATTGTGGAAAACGTGTGCTTGTAAGAGACGTTGAGCCAGCACACCATGCTCTTGTCGAGCAGTGTAGACTGCAGAGTGCTGTTGCGCTTCGAGAATCGAGCAAGCAAGTATGCGCCAAGCCGCAATTAAAAGGTCAAAAGGGTCAGCCTTTGGCTTGGAACTAATTACCGGCACAGGACTTTCCAGTCAGTATCCCAAGTCGTTAAACTGCCGGGCAGTGGCAGGGACTCCGGCGTCGATCACCGTGCAATCCGCCAGTGCCTGGCGAGGCCTGTCTGGATCAGCCTCTGATGAAAATGACAGATGACGCGTGCCCAAGGGCAACTTTCTTGGCTTTCTACGACCGAGTATGCCACGTCGATGCCCTCGGGCATCACTTCCACCGGCACCTGACATCAATGTTGGCACATTGAGCCGCACGTTCAACTCTGCAGTGGTGAAGCTATCACCGCAGGGACTCGAGCGATGAGTTGCACTCCTGGGTCCTGACAGCGTGCAACCTGATCTCATGACACTGCACCGCATCGAATGCTCCGTCATGGTGCGGCTAACTGGACGTGGAAAGAATCCGGTGCTCTTGGCGGGTCCACCCTCCGCAGGTGTCGAGCCTCGGGCGCACAATGAATCAATGAGCCTCCCTTCAGGCTGTCCTGGTTCGACTGGGATATGCAGCCACCCATCAGGCTCCAGCGCCTTGGTACTTGTAGATGCAGATGCGTCTCGTTTCTCTCAAGGTGATCGATCGTCTTCGCAAGAATGAGAGACACAGCAGTGTTCTTCGTGGAATATGTCTCTCTAATCCACGCGCCTTGTACGAATTGCTGTCGCTGCTGACAGAGCTGTTGCGTGGCCCCGTCCAATGACGCTGGAACAATTTTCATGCTTAAATTTATTCTTAATCTTGAACAAGCGCCGGCCATGCCAAGACCCACCCTGGCACATGGATGAGGAGTGTCTCTGCAGACTCCACCACCACCACAACGACCAGTCGACCACCCAGTGGGAGAACATGTCGTCAGAAGCCGCTGCCCCAGGTTCTGCGGACAGGAATGGTGCGGCTTCTCCCTTTGCTGATGGAGTTGAAGGATGGCTTGGTCTGCCCCAGATGAGGCTCAAGGGTTCAGAAGGATGGAGGGCCTGGCCTGGCCGCCTGGGGAGGGATCGTCTCCCCAGACTTGGAGAGCATGCTTGACACTTTTATTAGGGGGCGAGCATTTCTCGATTCTGGATCACCTTGGTGCCGGGACTTGGCGTGAAGCACAATCAATCATGGCTCTCATTCCCGATCAACACAGGACACGCAGACTCGGACGGGTCGCCTCGCTGATCTCCAAGATGCATTTTGAAAACGGGGCCATGACTGGATCAATCATTGAACGTTCTAGTCTCGATTCGAATTCAAAAGCAACGGGAAAGCATTGGCAGGGGTAGTAGTAATTACGTGGGCGTCGATCCCGCTGAGGCATCTGCCACGACAGCTACCGCGCAAGACAACTCTGTTTCTCTGGCATGTTCAAGCCTCGGGGTTTGAGATCCATTGCTCTTGCGTGCGAAGATCGTGTCTGATCCCAAGCCGCCTTTCACACGAAGCCAACCCCTTTGTCTATACGGAGGGATCCAAGCCAGACGCAAAGTCACACCCTCCCTCCTGCGGGACACACATCCCTACCAGTGCACACGACCAGTGACCACCGACCACCCCACGACATCATCCACCGTCTCCAGTCCCCTGCCCGTGCTGGATGTGGGACGCAAGCCGGCTCTTTGTTGCCTTCATATAATAACCCCCAAAGTCCCGCGCTTTCCCACAAGATTCCCGTCTTCATCGCGCTGCTATCCCCTGACACGTGCTCATCGTCCTGCCTTTATGCGTGCTGCAGCCTGGGGTTGATGAGGCTTGTTGTTAAACCCGTCACCCTATTTATACGTCGAGCAGCGGAACAGCAGCGACTCGTCTGTAGTTAACACTGCATTCGCACACCCCAGAATCCAAAAATCCTAGACGTCCCGCGACCCGGAACACCAAGAAAGATCTCCCTGTTTTCGACATTTTATTGCAGCTGTTGAGGCGACGGTGCATGTATTCAAAACGACACGAAAACCCTAGGAGAGCACTCCTCCGCAGCCAAAATGCCCACTCTCAACTTGAGCGACCTCAACGTCGTCACGGCGGTGCTGGGCGCCTTCACCCTGCTCTACGGTATCATCTCCGTCAAGATCAAGCAAGCATGGTACCTTGGCGAAGCCCGTAAGTGCTCGCCCCAAGATGTTTCCCACCTCCCAGACTAACAGCGCCAAGTGCCAGCCATGGTGCTCGGCATCATCCTCGGCCCCGTAGCCGCCAGATTCCTCGACGCCTCGAGATGGGGCCTGGCGGAAGAAGCCCAAGTCTCAGAGATCACTCTCGGCGTCACCCGCATCGTCATCTGTCTGCAGCTCGTCATTGCAGCGTACCAGCTGCCGCAGAAGTACTTTTGGATCCGCAAGAAGGAGATGCTTATATGTCTGATTCCAATCATGACGCTCATGTGGCTCCTCACGACAGCCTGCTGCCTCGCGACCATTCCCAAAATCACGTTTCTCGCCGGTCTGGCCATCGCGGCGGCATGCACCTGCACCGATCCCGTGCTCTCACAGGCCGTGGCCAAGGGGCCCTTTTCCGACAAATACGTGTCTCGCCCGCTGCGAGAGATCATCTCAGCCGAGGCGTGTCTGAACGACGGCTTCGGTTTCCCGTTCCTGATGCTGGCGGTTTACCTGCTCCGCCATGCTGAGCCGATCCCTGAGCCACTGGATGCTGTCGGTGGCGCGCACAGGCTGATGATTCGCTCCGGGTCCGAACATGAAGTTGGGCGGTTGGGCGGCGGGCCAGGCGAGGCCATGAAGCAATGGTTCTTGGAGACGTGGCTATACTATGTGATCCTGTCGGCTGTCTACGGCGTCGCCGTTGGGACCGTGGCGCGCCTCGCCATCAAGTTCTCGCTGAGGAAGAGGTGGATTGACTCCGAGTCGTACGTCCTCTTTCCTACCGCCATCGGACTGTTCATCGTGGGCACCGCGGGCGCTGTGGGCACCAACGACTTGCTGGCTTGCGCTTTCTCGGGCGGCGCGCTCAACTGGGACGGCGAGTTCATGGATGAGCTGGAGCGTCGACATGACGAGGTCAACAGCTGCATTGACGTCTTGCTCAACTTTGGTGGGTTCATGTACCTGGGAGCTATCATTCCTTGGAGCGAGTTCCACGACCCTGATGGCACCGGTATCACCATCTGGCGTCTTTTCCTACTGGGTATCATGGTCTTCGCTTTCCGCCGCATCCCCGCCATCTTCATCTGCTACAAGACCATGCCCAATATTGTTCAGAACTGGAGGGAAGCCTTGTTTATGGGATATTTTGGCCCCATCGGTATTGGCGCCGTGTTCTACGTCGAGCACACGCGCCACATTGTGCCCAAACCGGGCGAAGCGGATTCCGAGTTCGACAATATGATTCGCGCCTTGCCTGGCACCATCTACTTCCTTGTCGTCTTCTCCATTGTTGGCCACGGTCTGTCGATTCCGCTCCTCGACGCCATATACAAGCGCATGGGTGTCCAGCCTATCCAGGACGACGCCATTGCGATTCGCAGGAAATCCATACACGTCCCCAACCCAGCCAACGCGGCCTTGGGCGACGAGGATACCTTTATTGCGTACAACCGTTTCCGTCGTCCCAGTGTGGGCGGGATGTCCATGTCCACGTCGCAAAACCTGCCCTTCCGGAGCTCTTTTGACATGAGTCAGGATCCCGAAGCCCAGCCACGTCGTCACTCGCGTAGAGTGTCCCATTCGCGTGCGGCCGTGCGACCGCCAAACTACCCCGAGGAGGATTCCGAGGCGGAGAAGAAGAGATTGCAGAGGAGGACGATTCGCTATGGCGTGTAGAGGCTAATTAATATGTGTGCCCCCAGCCATCTTCGCCAAGAATGGGTTCATTTGTATTTCGGAAGCGAATTCTTGTCTTTATCGGAGGCGTTTGGGTATTTCCAACGCGCATAGCATAGTATAGCCGGGGTTGGGTCTTTCTCTTTGCTGTATTCGATGGGTCAAACCGGACAGACTGTCATTTGTGTCTCAATAAAGATCACTTCCACATCAAAGAATCTCAGCCATTGAACACCCAGTCACCCCAGTTCAAGGGCATCCCAATGTCCAAGTTGGCTTCCAAGGCGTCCTCGACCGCCGTCAAGTTGAAGCTTGGATCGATATGACCAAAGACGTCCTGGCCACTGATGGCATCCACGGCGGCAAAGTCAACCATGTTGTCCAGGCCAGCCGCGACGTTCATAAAAGCCATGTCATCCGTTCCGTCCTTGGTCTGTCGCCCTCGCTCGTCAGTGCTGCCGTTTCGTGTCGGCTCGCTCGGGTCCAAAGGGAGAGGTGTCGCGTCCCGATTGATGTTGGTGGCCGCGCGCTCCATCTCCTTGAGCACGCGCTCGCCGAGTTCCGCGACGACCTTGGCGGACCAGAAATATGGACTGAAATTCCTCAGCATGGTGCAGTTTCTTCGGAACGCTGTCATGGCTCGCGCACGGAACATGGGGAGCCGACTGTGCCGCATCTTGCGGTACTCGACGCTCAGTGCTAAGCTCAAGGCATATGGCACAAAGGGGACGGGGCTGAGGCAGTCCCTTGGCACAGCACACGCGATGCGCTCGGCAGCCAGAGAGCGACGGGCGTTTGCTGAGGGTGGGGGAAGGGTTGAGGCAGCAGGCAGTGTTCCTGGACGTGCAAGTCGACAGGACAGGATGATGACGGCATGGTAGAAGGTCTCAATCGTTGCGATCAGTGACGAGGGCACCTTGAGCGCGTCCGCCTCCACGATCATAGCCTCCAATACGGGCAGATCGATGTAGGCAATCTTCTCCAACCCCGAATTCTCCTCGCTAGGGCCTGGCCGGTATAGATCAAAGACTTGTTCTAGCCATTGGCACACAAGCAGGAACAGCCGGAAGCAGGGCGACCTTTTCTTGATACATTCTTCCAGATTGGCGCCAATGTCCCGCTCGTTGAACAAAGCAGGGCGACCATACATGGCTGCGTTGATCTTGTCCAGTGCCCACACCGCGCAAAAGAGGTTCTCGAGGTCCTCGGTGTTGGGCGCGTCGTAGCGCAACAGATGGAGTCCGAGCGTCTGAATATGCTGAACCGCTCGACCTCCAAGCTGAGCAGGCAGGTCTGACTCTTCAGAACACGTCGGCTGTGTGTACAGCGACAAGATGGCGTAGGCTCGGATGTGCAAGACGCGGTCGGCAATGATGCTCGTCTCTAGGATGGCGCGCATGGACGAGGAAACTGCCTGGGAAAAGTCCTGCGGCGTCATGAGATCGGGGCCGTTGTTCATCAGGCGTAGGTACGGCGCCGCGTCTTGGTCCATACTCGTAGCCAAGGCGACAGCCTGCCGCAGTACGATGGTGATGGGATCTGCAGTGTCCCCGTCCAGCGATGCGAGTGGCAGTACCGGGAAGATGGGGTGGATCTTCTGGATAAAAATACTACGGAGCTTGACAAAGTCTAGCTCCGAAGGTAGACATGTTAGGCAGTGCTCCTTCACGAAGGGCATGAGAAAGCGGTCCATGACAGGGGGCGGTCGTGACGTGATGAACTGTGATGGCTGGCCATTGTTGTTGCCGGCCGTATTCGAGGACAGCCAGATTCCAACGTCCCCCTTTTGCGAAGTTTCGTGAATTGAGGCCGAGCCCGTAGCCTCGCGAAACATGCCCTCGGGGTTCAGATCCCCCACAAACATAGAGGACGTCCTGAGCTTGCTTTCGCCAGCCGGAGAGGCCGAAGGTGGACGCACTTCAAGTCGAGGAGTTTCCGGTGGTCTTGCGGAAATGTCTGCGCCGAATGTTGCTTGCCTGAGGCCGTCGGCGTTGGGACGGTCTGATTCACCATAGCTTGCCGTTCTTCGAGAGGCGCCGCTTTCGCTAAAGGGGGCGCTGGAAGCTCCATCATTGACCGACTTGGTCGAGCCCTGTCCTGGAGATGTCTGGGACTGGGCGATAGGTTGGCCATGGGCATTGACGCTGTCTCCCGGATGGTCCTCCAACGAGTCCTGGGCATGAATGCAGCGGCGCTTCAATTGGAGGTTAGTATATGTATATGACGAGGGCCGCTCAAATATACTTTTTTACGACGACAGGTTGCACATGCTTGCTGGACCTGCTTCCTTTTAACGGGCAAGCCTCCCCGGGTGGTGTCGACCTCGACAAACTTGACCCTCCGTTCTGAGGTCATGATGGAACGCGGTCGAGTGCGACTTCACACCGAGAAGAGGGCTTCAGCGCGGCGGAGTCGGGTCGGCAAAGGCTTTGGGACAATGCATTGTCAACGATGACGACCTTTAATTGATATATTGCGCCCTTGGCTAGGCCCGAGGACGCATGCTCGGGATGACTAGATCTCGCACGATTCGGAACGCGTGAGTCACGTGGAGAATTGCGGCTCTAGTCATGTGATCACCTTCATGGTAAACAACCTCCATGATTCACGTCAATCGCAGCTCAGTTGCAGCCTCCGCCCTAGACGCCACTTCACACATTTTAACTGCCCTGCGCCGCCAGCACCGTACAATGATCCAGTCTGCATCTTTTCCCACCTCCAAGTTCGTGGTTGTACAATAGGTGCATGTGGTTGGGCTCCTACCCGTCCCTCAAACGGCCTGCAAGCACCCGCCCTCGATCTCGACATTTGGAGCTCACACGAAGTCCTTCCCGTCTGTTCTGTGTTTTACGCTGGCATCACAAAGAATGGCCCCGTCAACTTGGAACATCGGGTTACACGCGTGCCAATGGGGGCACAAGTGCATCTAGTCTAGGTCAGCGAGTCCACAAAGGCATTCGACGTCTGACAAAAGCATGGCGACAACACTGTCTTTGACCGCTTGTCCTCCTCAAACATGCATGAGAGCACAGGATACACCAAAGAGTTGAGCATGCATCTGGCCACGACTTGATTCCAGAATCACCATGAGTTGGCTCTCACCTCGCACAGGATCCACCCTTATCTCGCCTCCCATTCTACTTTCTCTCACAAGTCTGCATCTGCCTGCTCGCTTTCCCTCCCACCATTTCTCTTTCGAACCTCCCGCATGCCTTTGGTGGTGGCACTGCAGGATCGCCAGGTGACAGGTCAGATCCGTTGTTCCTGAGAGAACAAGAGGGACTCCTCGATGTCTTCTACTCCGACTCCTCAAGAACGCCCTAGTCAACGCGAGCGGCCTTACTCTGTTACTTCCGCCACGACCCTACTTGATAACGAGCACGACAAGATGAACTGGACTTCCCATGGGCCGCCAACACTGCCCATGCCGAGTCACCAACGAGACGACACTCAGTCGAACCCGCAATGGCAACAGAATGGCAACACGGATCACTCCCCCGTCTCCTCGAACACCGATAGCAAGGATGGCGATGAACCTGCACAAGGCCCCCCTCACATTTCTCTCCAGATGGGCGGCAATGACGACCTGGAAGCCCAATCGGTAGCCACTCGCCGCCATAGGAAGCGCGTGGTTCTGCCCATAGCTTTCATTATCATCTTGATCGCTGTAGGGGCCGTCTTGGGCGGTGTACTGGGCACAGCCACGTCGAAGCGCTCGTCTTCGACAACGGACAACTCACCTCACGTCAATGTGACCAGTCGCGCGACCATGGATCCACGGTAGCAGGGCGCCAAATTGGAGCTTCCCGGTCGGGACGTGAAGTGTCCTTCAGCGGTCATCGATGGCAAGCTGCATCTTTGCCATGTCGAGGAAGACGGACGTCTGGCGCATATCGTTCGTCGTGCTCATAAAGGAAACAGTGGAAGGGAGGTTGAGCTCCCGGGGAAGGGCGAAGGAAGGCAGCTTGTCTCCGAAAGTCCTGCCGATACGGTGCGACTAGCTGCGGCTGCGCTGCCGAGAGAATGCATGGGGCGCGAATGCATGGTTCTCATACACGAGGCAGCTGGAAGTGACAAGACCCTGGTCGTCCTCTCCAGCGCGCGAGAGAGCAATGCGAAGCATCTGTCTAGGCTGCGGATCTTGTTGGACGCAGACGGCGACCTAGCAATGGATGGTCTGGAATGCACGCTCACGTCGCAGCAGCTGCTCGAGGACTGCTCTGAGGTTGCTAGCAAGGGGAAAGGCAAGTCTTGAAAGTTCACGTAAAGTGGTATTGCTAACTGATTTGTGGCAGACAAGAAAACCGACGAGTACATCTTCTGACCGGAACCTCCTCTAAACGCTTGGGACAACACAACGATAGCCAGCTCACTAGCTTTGAGCCACGACAGAATTCAAAGGGAGAACATTCACAGCTTGTTCGAGGATGCAGATCAAGAAGCCCGCAAGTATGATCTCTGCTTGATTCCGCCGGATGTGGGTGCTCAGGGGCGAGGCTTCTGCTGTGTGTCACCGATAGCAGTTGCTCGAGGTCGAGTGAAACGAAGATGTTGATGGTTGGACGTTCCACAATGTGGTCGTCTCAGAATGAGAGTGAGTGGTATGAGCTCACCGGGCGCCTATGGAAGGTCACCGGCGCGGATACCTGTGATCGAGATAGATGTCGACAGTGATGAGGTATAGGTATACCTCGGTCATGGGGTTGGTCATGTTGATGTCGCACACAATACAGACGTACAAACGCTCGCCAAATGACCAACAGGCCATTCTTGATTCACACCCATGCATTGACGGTGGCATGAAACAACTGCAAATTTGTTTGCTAGTCGGCTCTCTTAGCATCCTCGCCACTACCCTTTGGTGCTACCTCACTTCCTTGTAAAGAAGCGACGTGTCTCAACGCACGAGACCCAGGAGTCGTGATTAAGATTGGAAGCTGACGATTATCTCCAAATGAACGTTCATCAGAAAGTGCGAGTTATATGTGGTTGCGAAATGGTTGCTCATTTACTCTCCCGGCTATTACATCTCGATGTTCCATGGCCAGACTATCACAAATAGTGACAAGAACCATTCTGCAGAGCATATACACAGCCTCGGCGATCATGAACACCACAGACATTCCTCTCGAGGGCATAGCTCGCCCATCATTCACTGGGAGCAAGTCCGCACCTCCGCGTTACGCTCCCTCGCACGGCGGTCCATCGACGGGAGCACACGCAGAACAACCTCTGCACTACTACCAGGTCCCTTTGGCCATCCCTCCAGCAAGACCCTGGCATAAGCGTAAGCGCTTCAGGGTCTCCTTGGCCCTCTTCCTGGCGCTTCTCACTCTGGGTTCCATAGCAGCCGTCATTGCCGTGTCGTTGAGCAAAGACCAAGGGCGAGGCCCTAACGATGCGGCAGATCCAGGTTCTCCCTCCGTGGCCACATCCACTGTCATGGTGACTGTGACAAAAAGCAAGCAGACAAGCGCAAAGCCAACCGTCGTAACCATTACCAGGACCGCTGGGGAATCCGAAGAGGGACCGACCATGATACCCACAACCACGGAGCCCAGCAGCACCGACGATCTCATTTCCTTCGTCACCAGAGAAGCCCAGGTCGACACGAAACTGATCACAATCTCTCAAGAGCCAGAAGTAACCACGAAGCTCGTGACCGTGACGGTCACAAACGGGGACAGGGAAAGAGAGGCTACGACGACATCCGAACCGCCATCCCCTACGTTTATTCTTTCCGACCGCTCCTCTATCCTCGTCGCGGACGTCTCCACTGGATCCTCCCGTAATTATCGGCGCACCATGGTCTGGCAGTCTGACAACAATGCCACCCTCATCGCGCGCGACTCGGTCAATGGATGGTCCTCGACGTATCCTATTCTAGGCATTCCCGAGCGCGCCAAGCTCGGCACCCCGATCACGGGCGCCGTGGACGATGCCGGTGTAGCGCACGTCTTCTACCTCAACGACGAGAACAGGATTGTCCATCTCATGGAGAAGAGACCCAGCCAATGGGTCAGTGTGCAAAAGACAAAGGTCCAGGTCAGCGGCGGTATCTCCGCGAGCTTCCACCGCAGCTTGGGCGATGTCGGCCTACTTGTGCTGGCGTACATTGACGATGAAAACTCGTTGGTGATGATCACTACCACAGACCCTTCTGGGGCCGAGGCCTGGAAGGTGTACAAGCCCGAATACTTTCAGCATATGAGCGGCCGACGATCCGTCAATATCGACATTGCGAGCGGCATCGCCAAGGTTGCCCAGGACAGTGATCCACCAGTTGAGGGCGACTATGCCGGTATCCTCGTCGCCGTTGAAGGAGAAGAGGCAGTCGAGATTATCGAATGTTCCTCAGAATCCGGCAGCATCAGGGAGTGTTTCGAGATTGGGGACGCCTTCCACCATGCCTCGACAACAGCCAAAAATCAAGAATTACCAGTCAAGCTCACAGCTCACCCGGCCGAGATCGTCTGGACAAGCCTCGCCGGAGACGATCGTGCGCCGAATGAGGTCTATGGGTTCTTCACCCTGGCGAAAGGGAAGCTACAGCATCATCTGTACATTCCAGAGATGCCCTGGACCGACCCCAAGACCGAAGGCGTCGTTGTGCTAAGGAACGACATGGTCACCAGCAAACTGAGTGACAATGTTGATGCGATCGCCCTGGCGGAAGACGGCAGCTTGTTCTTTCGAGAAAGGGATGAGCTAGGGGAGATGGGGATGGACGGTGAAGCGGAGAGCTGGAAAGTTGAGGACATGCTAGACACTGAGGTCGTTGAGTGATTAATCTTGTCGTGTATCGAGCGGCCATCCATTCTTTTGACGTATTTTAGCAAGCCGGTTCATTTCTTCTTCATCTTGGAAGGCGCATCGTTGGGCAGGTCAGTCGGCTTGCCGCGCATCTGGTTCAGCAGCTCGTCCTTGAAGTGTGTCAAGAAGCCGCGGCTCTCTGGGTGGGATGTGGCCTCGCCCTGCGCGAGGGGCTCGTTTGGGTTCCGGCCGTATCGCTTCTCGTCGACATACTTGTGTATCCTGCCGACACCGCGGTGCCAGCCGGGGCGGCGGAGGATCTGGGTGACGATTTCGTTTTCGAAGGCGAGCACGATGCGGAAGAGCAATGATCCCCAGGCCATGGTCGCGGTGGAGGAGGGCAGCTGGAAAGGATGTCGCGTAGGTGAACGTGAGGTCTTTAGGCTGTCGTGTCGTGTGTTGGTGGCTTTCGACGATGAAGGGACGTGGGCAAGGTTGTTTCTTAGGCAGATTGGTTGGGGGTTAGGTGGCGAGGTGAATGAAGCCTCGAAGTTCGGGGCCGAAATCCGACTGCACTAAGAATTTCAATGGCGTGCTCAGGCTGCCATCATGGCATCATCGAATACGTGGTATGCATTCATATATATTTTTACATATGCCAGGTATTTCTATCATCTGCTCACTACATTACTCCCTCCAGCCTCGCACTCTCGTGCTTTGACTTTTTGATCCAATCGCCCTTCCACGCACAACATGACGGTCACGGGGCATTCACATCAGTGCCACCATTGGTGAGCATGGTCATAAGAAACACGCGCTTCATTACTACTTTTTGCTACCCCTAGTTGAGGAACTTGTTCAAGAACGCGGACTGGTAGTCAAGCTTGCCCACATCGACACCCTCCTTCCTCGCAATGTCGTACGCGGTGACGAGATGGAAGTAGACGTTGGGGATGGCGAAGCCATGCACGTACTGCCACGCCTTGATGTCGACCTCTGGCTTGTTGGGCCCCAAGCCGAGCTTCACCATCTCGTTCTCGCGGCTGTTGATGGACTCCTTGGTGATCAGGTCGAACTGCGACTGGACCTTGGCGATGCGCGCCTTCATGGCGTCAATGCTGGTGAGCTCCTCCATGGCAAAGGTCTCGGCGGGGAACTTGTCCGAGATGCGGGCCAGGCACTTGTGGCCGAACTGGGTGAGGACGTGGACCTGGAAAGAAAAGGGAAGCATGTCGGGGTGGAGGCGTGCGTCGGCAATGGTGTCAGCGACGGGTGAGGCAGCGACCTTGTCGAGGATGTTGGTCAGGGACTCGAGGGCATCCCTGATGACGCCAAAGGAGGCATCGTAGAGTGTGTAAGTGGCCATGTTGATGGTTGAGCTGTGGATGAGCCTTGTGATGGGTTGGGTGTAGGGGAGGGTTGTTCTGTTGAAGCTCGAGGTATGTGAAGGTTCCCTGGCAACGACGAGAACTACGCCAGTCCTTATATACTTAGCCAGGGACTATCTTGACCACGAGCAACCCCCTCCGCCATGGCCATGAGCTAAGGCACGGGTCTGGAGGCGAGCATACGGTAGGCAGTGGGCAAGGCACACGAGATCAACATGCTGCTCCACCTAGGGGAAGACTGGACCCCGCCGTCGGCACCGAATGTCATCGAAAGCTGTAGCTTCCGGCCTGCACGACGTTGCAGCGGCTCAAACAGTCACTGTTGTTGTAATTACTTTTCCCGCGGCGGGTCCAAGTGAGCGCGAGCTTACAAATCCAGGCTGTATGTAAGCTGATCCGTGATTGTGCGGGGCGGCCTATCCATCAATGTGGATCAGTCTTGCAGCAACCCACGGCGAATCTCACCGCCGGCATAGACCAGAGAAGACGGTCATAGACTAGTGTGCCATAGGAATATTCATTGACTCGTATGTACCGTGCGAGGCTAATTATAATGTTGAATTCCTGGCATTACTAGACTGGTTCCAGCTGGGCGTATCAAACGCCATTTTGTCACTACTACTACAGGGTACGCAAGCCGACTCGGTCAAGTACTAAACCCCTCAAACGCTCCGAGAGTCCAACTCCTCCAAAGCCCAGCGACAAAAGTATTGACTCGACCGGGGGAAAGGGTTCGGCCATTCTGGACATATTCCTGTTCATGCCTTCGCTGCCTCTACATCACGTCCCGCAAAAATACCTTCGAGCTTCTTCAAGTACTGCTCGTGATCTTGCACCTTTTTCTGAATAACGCCAGGACCACCCCATAGATTCGCCAAGAGCGTGAGATCGGTCGTGTGATCTATCGTGAGATGGAGTCGATAGGGCAGAATCCTATACCAAAAGATAGAGGAAAAGGCGATTAAATCTCTCGGATTGCGAGGGTGAGCTAGAATGTCCCGCTCGCCCATGTATATCGCATTACAGCCGAAAGCATTCTCGGAGTCTGCGCACCGAGAAGCTCCTCCTGCTCCTCTAGGATCTGGATGAACCGCTTATGATGAGGGCCGAATGAGGCGCGATCAATTTCATCGGCGTACTGTCCTCCCAGCCAGTAGGGGGGCTGCTGGAATTCGAGAGGCCACGAACAGGCGAACTTAAGATCGATAATACGCATAACGTTCTAGTCGTCGTCGACTATAATGTTGCTTCTATAGAGATCTGTCAGACTGCAGACAAAGGGCCCCGAAAGAAGGTCTTTCTGTAGTATCTGAGGAAAGATGGCGCGCGCTGCGGCGGGACCCGCTATCTCGAACCGTCCGTCGATCTCATCTGCCACGGTGTTGGGCTGGTGCAGTAGTCGGTTGTGAAAGGCGTCTAGGTATGTAAGGACGTAGTCGTCCGCTCGGGTGTAGGTCTCTTCACGCGGTATATCAAGGGGAAGATCCTCGTTCTCTTATATAATGATTTCTGTCGTGAGCGGACGGTTGTCAAGGTAGGTGTAGCCGGCATCATCGAGTCGAAACGCACCGATACGGGGAAGCGGAATAGCTACGAGCGAGAGAAGTATTCGCGCGAGGCCTCGCTAGAGGTTATCTTACAGGCGATCATCTTCGCGCTTTTCTTCCCAGGATTCGGAAAGCATTCTTCCTTCAGCATTAGGGATAGTCTCAATCACCAAATAGCCTAAACCGAGGGAGGTCAAGGCGCCTGAGTTATGTGGGACATAGTGAGTTAGACACGGATAGCCAAACAAGCTCCGAATATATTGCCGAAGTCTATGAAGCCAGCGTGACCACCACGGTAGGTGACTTATGTGAGTCAGCTAGACAAAGGAGCAAGGGTCAGCGAGCCCTCAAGGGTCGAATCGCATACTGCAGGACGTACCTGCTGGCCCGTGAAGAGCCCTACGCCGTATAAATGTGGTATAGGGACCGAAGGGCAGTGCCTCTGAAGCTATGCGTAGGTGGCAGCTTCGCACCTCAGCTGCTCGTCTGCGTTGCCCGGGCGGGTGATCTCCCCGACACGGTAAGGCAGAGGAAACTGGACCATAACGAAACCGGGTTGCTCTGGGTCGGGCGCGTCGACAGGAGCCGGCACGTAGACGTTAAAGGAGCCATGGCGCCAATACTCTGGCGGCGACACATTGCAACTCGCCGGGTCGACGCCCAGGTGGTGGGCAACAATAGCGCGAATGAGTGGACGCTGGCTTTCGAGGCGCTGGAAGAAGGTATGTTTGAGCTGCGGGTATTCGAGCCGGTGAGGCACGTTGCAGCCCCTCTCTTTTGCGTCAGAGAGGGTGATGGGACCGGAGAGTAATTCGCGGGTCGCCATGAGGGAGAGGGACTGGAGGCGTACGCAGGCGACGACTGCGGAGGAGAGGAGCAAGCTCAACAGCCCAATGGATTGACTCCAACTTCTCAAGTACAACCCCTGTCAGGGGGGACCAATACATTCATAAACATCTTGAGCATTAAGCTAGGACTTTTCTTCTTCTTTAGGTATTCTTAAGTCTACGAATACTTTATCTCTAAACAAACTAGAAGACATGCCTTATTATTATCTACTTTAATACGTACTACAAGGGAAGTGAGGCCCCTACAGCATTCACCGACGAGCCGCATATGCATATGCGACGAGCCGTACACCAAATGACGAGTGTTCATCACAATCCCTGACCACGAGGGATTGCCGCTTCTTTCGAACTATGCACAAGCAGCTCCCTGCATCCTCCGAGGCCGTGGCACTGACATGCTTATAAATGTTACTGACACGGCCTAATGTCCGTCCGTCTTGCTTGCAAATCATATAGATTGAGGTTGCACCGCGGGGATTCATGCGAGTGTTATTATCGTCTCTTGGCTGTCGCCGCCGTGAGCGCTGTTACGTGGTGGTTCGTGCCCCAGAAGTCGAGGTTCAAGCCTGGGGGAGAGCACAGAGCTCAATCTCAAAGACTTGGTTTGCCAGGTTCCTCCTCGACAAATCTGCAGTTCCCATTACCCTTCTCTTGACACTTGAACGCCAAGACTACAATCATTCAGTGCGTTCTACGAGACTATCATGGCTCACATTGACGGTGCACGACTTTGTTCAGTTCTCGTTGCATGGCGCGTTTAGGGAGGACAGACCACCATCATCAATTCCAGAACACCAGTCTCCCTCCAGATGATCGCACGGAAACAAGTCAAGATGCGCCAAGCTGCAGCCGTCCATCGGAAGGAAAGAGCTCGCCATATGCTGGTGTTGCAAAATCACGCCTCAATCTTGAGGTTCGCCAGAGCTAACGACCAGAGGTCTGTCCACGGACGGCCAGCTCTGGCTGCCAACCACTCCTTGGCCGGCTTCGACCCTTCACGATGCCTGGTGACGCCTTCTCTATGCAAGACCGCTGGGGTGCCAATGTCATCGCCATATCTTGCTATGACCGCCCGCTCGGCGTCGAGCCCTGCTTCGTAGCATGGGAGTCTCCGTTCGATGAGTTCGTACCAGTCCTCTGCAAAATATTTGTAGTGCATCTTGGTATACTCCCAGTATTCCGGATACCATCCCGCGTTGCCCCAGTCGATAATCGCGGTGAGCCGTCCGTTCCTCATCATGATGTTGCGAGGAGCCAGATCGGCATGTGTGAATACCGTCTTGTACTGCTTCGTATGCACCGTCTCCGTGTTTTCGTCGAGCACAGACCGGATCCAGTCCTCGGGAAGATGGGTGCGCAACAGGGGGTGGAATTCGCGCTGCGTGCAGGGGCCGAAGAATCGATTGCTTACGCGGCTGTCATGTGCCGGATTCTGGTACGCAGAGGCCACCAGGTCCTGCGCAGGAGGCGGTACTTGGCGAAGTGTCGTCAAGTGCTCTGTGATCTCAGAGGCGATCGCCTCCCGTGCTTCCTGAGACAGTCCGTGCCAGACGGGGTCCAGCGGATCGCCGCGTACAAAGGGCATCTCAATATAGATATCATTGCCTTGTGTGTGAACAGCGTACAGCTTTGCGATCGGAATGTTCGTATGTTTGGCGACGTACTGCCTCAACCTCGGGCGGTTGACATGGCCCCTTGATGACGCAGTTCCAGCTCACTCTGTACGTGCGATAGTCGAGCGGCTTGAATAGCTTCATGCCCAGCCATAAGCGCCAGCGCAAGGGAGCAAGGTACCGATACTCAGGCCCATGGTCGGACTGGCCTGCGCTTGGCAGTGGCAGTCCAGGTGTGCCAATCAGGCTGATTGATCCGGCTGGCAACGCACATGTGCAGAGTTCATGATGTTCCTTGTGCGACCTGAAAGTAGCCTCCAGTCCACTCACGTGACCAAATTGCATGGCCACTGAGTCTCTGACACCGGCTGAGCCGTCATCCAGTCACTGCATGTGTCTGAGGCACGTAGAAGCGGCGCGTGCAACAACCAACAACCATGAAAATGACACTCGTGAGTCGTGACTCGAGTACCAACCCCTTCTCTCATCATACCAGCACCTGACATGCATCTTCCCCAGATTTTGTTCAAAGCATGCCAGCATGGGTAAAGCCATGCACTCCCTGCCTCATGCTCGACCAAGCTTCACGTGCTCTGAATCGACGACCAGGCGTTCACTCATCCCCGAAAGTAGACCACAGCATCCGATTCCTTCTGTCCATCCCAGTTCAACATTGTCCATGGCCGTAAACTACCAATGGATCGTCGTGTTGGACAGTCTCTGTGTGACCGGGCTGTGGATGCTCGTGTCTGTATAGATGAGCTGCTTGAGGCATCAGTGAATCAAATTTCCTATGCGAGCAACGTACTGCTCCTGTCATTTATTGCCATTTCAAGTCCAGAAGCAACATCGCTGTACGCGAAACATGCACCTTTTGATATCTTCACCAGCCCGCTCGCCTCGGTCGGACACAAGGGAACTCATCTGGACTAGGCGCAATTTCGATACTTTTGACTATAGGTGGGAACTGTGGTGGACTTGGTGCCCGGAATGACGCTGCGAGCTTTGTGACTCACCACGTCCAGGTTTCAAACACCTCCCTTTCCTACCTACTTCCTGTCGAAGCCAGTTGAGGCGGTCGCTATCCTCATCATCAAAACTAAATGAACCATCCCAAAATCCGCAGCTAATGTTCGGTGTCTCACCACGGTCTCTAATTTGGTCTTTGGCTGCAAGGTCTACCGGCGGTAGGTCTTTGTTGCCTTGTTGGGAGTCAATCAAGCTGGGTCCGGGGACATGGTGAAAGAGTTCAGGGTTGACGGTCCAGCAGCGAAATCCGTAGTTGCGGCAGCCATGCAGGACTAACACATCATAAGCCCTATGGCCGTCTTCCGAGGGCTCTTTACGACCCAGTTCTAGCAGACGGCGAGCACCGCCGCGTGACAGGGCATAGCCGAAGGTGCAGAGCGGAAAGACGGAACGGTGAATTAGGCGAGTATGTTCGTCGACGCCGAGGTTCTTTAGCAACGATGTGGTAAAGGGATGTAGCTGGTCGGAATGTAACATGGACGGGTCAGTAAAAGTACTGTGTGGTGTCGCTTCAAGGTCCTCGGGCTTGACGTGGCCATCAACAAATTCTATGTCCATGCCGTGCCAGTAGTCGCCGCAGTGACCAAGATAGAGCAGGTCCCAGGCGCTTGGATCGCCATACGGGTATCGTTCCGCGTCAATGGCAGACGATGACCTGCCGAGGACATTGCGCACTGCAGCGGACACGAGTGGTGCTTGGATTGTACGGAGGTGGATATCCCAATCAACGTCATCCTCTAGAAACAATGCTGTTTCAGCTCCGGAGTCGAGAAATCTAGATGAAGATTTCAGTACAAGAAGCAAACGCGCATATTCTATGTATGCAGTGAAGGTGTCGACTCCTTACTGTTGCAAAGCGTGTAGGTGGCCAAGCCAAGCGAGCAGCGACCCCTGACGTATGGTTGAACCTTGAGCCAGTCTGAAGTTGTTCTGTTCGGCTTCCGTCCAGATTGGCTGCACAGGGATGCTGAGAAGTAACTCTGTGACATTGGCAGCCTGAATAATGCTCCTGCGACGCGGCGACCCTTGTTGTGTCACGACATATATGTGGCCAAAGCCAAGTGTAGAATTGCTGCTAGACACTGCGATTCCATCACCGGAAGTACCACCTCTGCGGAAGACCGAGAGTAAAAGACCTGGTGTGAAGATCAAGAGGCAGCATAAAAGGAAAAATAATAATGTCGCCTTGGCGGTGCGAGTTCGAGGTTGCGTTTTAAGAAACAGCATATCGTCCTTGAACTTCAGAGCGTCAAAGGAAAGCGGGAAATCAAGACCCAGGTCGGTCAATCTTGGCGACTTGCGAGCCAAGTGACGCAGCTCATCACGTGGGTCAGAATCGGGCGACAGCAAGGACTGATTGTTGGAACAGAGCCGCCAGTGAATCGTGGAATGCATACAGTGGTCCACACTGTGCAGTGAGACTCTGAAAATACTCTCCCTGCTGACTAATACAGAATGTACCGCGGCCGGATATGAAGTCCGGATGAGAAAGCAGGGATCTAATGCAGTTGGTCGATCACTAACAGGTATCGAGACCGATTAGCGCTAACCCCTGAGTTGAGAGTTGACCGAATGACTACCTTCTTTGGTAAGTGTGGTCTGCGCTGTGACAGGGTCCAGTGACTGGTGGCGTTGCAAGCACGAGTATGTGCCCAACGACAGCCAGGTGGGTGCAAACTTGCCCTTGACAAGCTTCTTCAATCCGCCATCGCGATTGAGTTGACTTGTCATGAGCACACAGCTGAAACCGGCTCGGGTCGTGTGGAAATGACAGGCTGTCCGAACGGTAATTACAGCTAGAAATATTAAGTTCGGAGTTTCACCTCAGTGGGGAGGTCTCTCAGGATTCGGGCCAGCAAGGCTCGACTATGGGGGCTGGGTATGTACGTACTTGGTACGAGGCATGAGTATCCGCAGGACACAAAGCTCCGCTTTTAACCCCTATGTCATAGTGCTATCTTGTTTCAGAGCGCACGCCCCCTAGCCAGAGTCACCGCTGTCACCACCCTAGCTCACTGCAGCAAGGGAGTACCTTATAATAGTGGCACGGTGTTAATCTTATCGATTGTGTGAGATAACCTGACAAAAAGGCGGGGCATTGTGCCGCTACCTATGCCTCGTAGGTACCGCCGGCCGACCTCATTTCAGAACCGTTGCACCATCCGCCCCCCTTTTCCAAACCACTCTGTTATTCGTCTTTGTTTTGGAAGGAGCTCAGCTCTTTGCGAAATCGGAATTGGCTTGACTTGAAGGTACCATGCTTCGCGTTCATCTCTACCATCTTGTTACTTTGTCCCCGTAACTTCCGGTCAAATTGGGCTTGGGATTACGGCTGTTGTGACTGGAACGCCAAGTCATTTGCGAGTTGCAGCAGCCGTCATCATGCCTCGTCTAACGAGACTGACGCTGGTCTTCATATCGGCTCTCCTTACGTTAGCTGTGTTTAGAGGCATGATGCAGAACCCGACGACATGGACCCCGATTCCAGGCGTGCCCTACGCGGCCTCCCGAAATAGACTCTCGCCGTCCGAAAAAAACTGCGCGATCGATGCCTCTCGTCTCGCTGCGATCACCCGACAATACGACATCGGAGACCAGTTCGACTACTTCACTCGAACCGTCAGCTTTCAGCGCAACCACAGCCTCGAACGAAAAAGCATGACCATAGTTTCACAACAATTTCTAAGCCCCAACACGATTACATTCGATGCCACCAAGCAAAATGATGGAGCCATTGTCGGCGGTGACTGCTTCGAGCCCCTGCAAGTCGAAGTCACTGCTTCTGGCCTCCCTTCGACAGTCGACGCTTCGGATTTGATATTTGGCATATCAACTACATTTGAACGACTAAACGAATCACGCTCTGAAATAATCGGCGACTGGGAATACTGGCTCACCAATGGCCACGGTGTAAGCAACGGCGCCAAGCTGTTCGTTACACTCTTCGAGGCTACCGACATTGAGCTCCGTCTCGCTCGTAAGCTGCTTCATGGTACTGGTATAGACGCCACCGTCGACCGCTCTGATGATAGAGATATGCCAGTTCGCTACATCAACCTCGTTCCGTACCTATACCGACAGGAGGCTTCTCGACACAGAAAGTGGATAGTGTTATGTGATGACGACACTTTCTTTCCAAGTATGCACGGCCTTGTTCAAAGGCTCAGATCCTTTGATCATTCCAAGCAGCTTTACATTGGCGCACTTTCCGAAGATGTTGGAGCTATCGAGCGCCACGGTTCACAAGCATTCGGTGGAGCTGGCGTTTTCTTGTCATCGACAATGGCGAAAACCATTGCAGAGTCCATTAGCGGTTGTACATCGGCGGAGAAGGTTGATGAAGCAGGATGGCAAGGCGACAAACTTCTGCGCAACTGTATCTACGAAAACAGTGAAACACGGCTTGTTGCATTGCCCGATCTCTGGCAGCTTGATTTCAGGGGCGATCCAGCAGGATTTTACGAATGGGGACACAAACCGCTCTCGCTACACCATTATCGAGGTGACGGCTGGCATACGGCTCGTCCTGCACAATTTAGCAAAATTGCGCATGTCTGTGGCGAGGACTGTATCTTGCAACGGTTCCAGACCGCCGATAATTTCATCATTTCCGGCCACTCCATTGCTTACTACCCTAGAGGTATTACGTTCGAAACGAGTCAGGTTGAGCAGACTTTTGAGGCATTGTGGGACAAGGACGGCTGGAATTTCGATTTCGTGTTTGGCCCTCAGAGGCCGCCACTAAAGAGTAGTGGACGAAAGATTTCATGGGAGATCCAAGGTTCCGAGGTTCGATCTGACGGCTCAGTTTGGCAAACCTACCTACGAAGAAAGGACCATCTCCGCTGGAACAGTGTAGGAGACCGGAGGCTGGGGGACCTTGATAGTGTAATTGAGTTAATCTGGGTGCCTTGGGATACGACCACTTAACCAAGCTCCAGTAAGTCACATAGGAGGGATGTGTATTGGAGAATCGCGACGCTCTGACCCATTGCTGGCGGACCTGGCGAGATTGGTTTCATTGAACTCGTGTAGTGTTCAAGAAATGTCGATGAACATGACGGATGATATGGTAGATGCTGATCGTGATGAGGAGCACCGTGAGCATATCGAGCTACACTAGTTGGGTGTTCATACCGCCACCGACAGTCATATTGACGTTGTGCTGGATTCAAAAGGGGTTGAGTATATCTCATTTCCTGTTCTCGACGGTTTGGAACGAACAAAAAAAGAATAAGATGAAAGTTCTAACCTCTGGTTTCGGACCTGGCGTAATGGATGTGACGGTTCCTCCCATGAAGTATCTGAAGGTTCAAGGCCTCTGGCAGAGGGCATGACTGCGACAATGGGAATCTAATTGACAACAGGCCCTTGCAAGCCACAAAACACCGTCGAACGACAGCAAAACCAAGCACAATATTGCTGCTATGATGGCTAAGGCAGGACGTATGTTAAAGCCACTGGGTTTGCCAAGAGCTACACGGAATGGCCCGGTTGCCTTTCCATTTCTTGAAGACAAGACCCAAAATTTTCTAGGAGCTTCAAAAAGATCATACCGAGAGGCCGCCTCAGGTGGCTTATAACACCAATTTTAGTGTTGTTCGCTGCGCGAGATACCGGTTGCTGGCACGCCACCGGGCTGTTGACCGAAGAGATATTGGCACTACCACGATTCAGCTTTCGGAACCACAACTTGCCTTCTATGTTCGTACCAGGGACTGTCTCAGCTCTTGGCTGGCCGCTTTCGCATCCTCTGCTCATTCATCAAGACAAGACACGCCTTTGCCCTCCTGATACGGGGGGATTGGCTGGCGAGAGGACTTTGTCGATTCACGTAAACGTCGAAGGTACGAACGAAAAGCGGGCGAGGCTGCAGCACTCGCCAGTCGGCGCAACCCGTCCGGGGGCTGGGTTTTGACATTCATCAACGGGCTGCGAGAAAGTAGTCTCGACTCGGACGGCCAACTTGAATCGGCCATTTGAGAAATGGGCCATTTGAAAGCTCCATTCAATTCGAGCGCTTCTCAAACTTTACCAATCGGAGAAACCCAAGGCTATTTACTGTGCACAACTCTCGAGCAGATTGCTCGCGGATCATGTCACAAACAGTCACTGGTCTCTCACACTCCAAAATTGACTCCGGGTCTGCTGGGGTCGGAATTATTGTCATGATTTGAGCTGGAGCACAAGTGCACCGCTAGTATAATGCGAGACGGGGTTTTGATCATTCCATCTCACCTCTTCCTCTGTCGAACAAACAGACACAATGCAGCTGGGAAAAAAGGAAGACAACAAGTGTGCGGTTGATGGTTGGCTCTTGCAGCTCTGCCTATTTAATTGGACGGTTCTCGCAGCGCGTCGAAGTCTTATCCACTTCAGGAGTTCCATGTCTTAAACCAGTCTCGGTCCCCCATGACGGGGAGCTGTTGGCTATTAACGCGAAGCTGAAAGCGTTTGTCCAAGTCCAACTCTATCGCTCCTCTAAGGAATGCATGATCGCTGGGGTTTCCTTTAAGTTAGGAGTAATCTTCATGTCGAGGACATACTTGAACTTGCCAAGCTCCTGAAGCCGACGGCGTTGCGAGCAGAGCGGCTATTGATTGGCTGGAGGCCACCCAGAAGACGCCTGTCTTCACCAACTCAAATCCGACCGTGCGGCGACTTCTAACTTAGTTTCATCTTGCCTCGAGGATTGAACTCTTTCAGCGAGCTTTTAGCCACTTTCTGTCTAAATGTTGTAAGCCAATACGGCGGACACAAGGTCCGCAACGCCAGGATCGGGAGAGATGTACCGCAAACTACAACAGATTGCATACACAACGTTGTGTTATGTCGGGGTAAGGCTGCCTAAGAGCAAGGATGGTGCATCTTGAACCGCACCTCCATGTCTGAGACAGCCTAAGCGCCGGCCCGCAGCCTGCGTGTTGATACTTAAAAAAGACCCCCCTGTAGTGAGGTACGTACAAGAGAAGAGCGTTGACCAACAGCGCCAGCCACTACATATATGAAATGCACATGGCGTTTCCTGCGACACCCCTCTTCGGCCACATCGTTCATCAGCTGTACGACACACAGCACCGCAACTCCATCGCGAAGTGTTGAAAATCGTCGAGCCATGTTGGAAACAATCCTCTGGGTCTTGGTCAGCCTTCCCTCGGCTTTGACCATGGCTGAATTCTTCGTTCCTGGTCCCCCACCGTACCCTCGATGGACGGCCGGCGACATACAGGACATTCGATACAGGACCACCTTCACGGAATACACGATCGCTCTTTGGCAACAATTCGACGGCAGCGCTAAACTAGGGCCCGTTCTTTTTCGTATGTGTAACACCGCCCTTTTTTCCCACTTGAGTGCCACTTGAGTGGGAGTTCGCGCAGAATGAGGCCGACTGACTGGATGTAGAAACCACCAACGGACCCGACCGAGACTTCTCCTGGGTCGTACAAAGCTACGACCTGGATTTGGCCAGTTCTGACAAGTTTTTCCTTTGGCTATTCGAGGGAGATCCGTCTGTCCAAGGAAACGCGTCCATGAAGAATCAGCAGTCGTCGGGCTTTTTTTTCATTTCCCCCGAGCCAACAACAACTTCGACAATCTTACCGTCATCGTCGGCTATCTCTTCGTCCCCAATTCCATCGAGCAGTGACGAGGCCTCGACATCAAGCAGTGACGAGGCCTCGAAAGAGACTGGCGAAGTTTCTCCGAACTCTGGCACAACTGGCGGTGAGCTTTCGACGGGTGCTAAAGTAGGTATCGGCGTTGGCGCGGGAGTCGCGGGTCTGGCTATCCTTGCTGCCATTTTGCTATTTTTCAAGTACAGGGCCAAAAATAGGAAGAAGCTCGAAGAGCTGCGTGTTGCTAACGAGCATTTTCGTTCCGGGGTTCCTTCCTCGAGCGACATGTCCAAAACGGCTATCACGTCCACCAACGTGGCTCTACAGTCGTCCTACGAGCTCCCTGGAGATTACAACAGGCCCATGGCGGAGCTCGGGTAGTCTCGAGCATGGGTTTAGTGCTGTATTGGTGGTTTGTCGGTTTCGACCTTTTCGGACATGTCGAAACCAAGGCAGCGATATTAGCAGGTTATAATGTCTAAGTTAATTTCTCATGTCAAGCATCTCGTGTCCCTATTCAATGACATCCCACACAAAACCTGTCGAACACTTTATTGCTAGTCAGAAGTCATCTATTAAAACGGCTGCTATCAACGTAGTGGTAATAAAGGAGGCAACTATATTTTTCAGGCTGTTCATGGGCCTTGTACATGCATAGTCATGCTAGACGTTGGCACTTTTTTATGTGTTTGTTGCCCTACTCCTCAGACCCTCGTGGCTAATTCGTTATAGTCGACAGGAATTCTAGCATATATAGTAGAACGCGGCATCTTCCAGTCTATACTTAGCGAACCATTATTGACTACGGCTCCTATGTGAGCGATCAAGATAATTGAATGCCGTTGATTTCCGTGGTCGGGACGCTGTTGTAGTGTAATTAGTGTACAAATGGCTGTGTATCAGGGTCCTCGTAATCGAGTATGTTCATCTCGCGAGTAACGATTTTTCTATCACGTCTCAATTCATTCCGTGCCTTCTCCCAAAGAAGCCGTAGCAGTATTCGCGACTGAGATCAGAGAGTTTGACTAAGGAGTGGGAAATGAAGCTTAGAGCACGTGGAGGGAGAAAGGGGCTGCAGACGTTGATGGGCCTTCGCTGGACTTTTACATAGAAGTAAGCGCAGTGATAACGTCTATCGATGAAACTTGGTCAGCCACGATCTCATACACGCGGGATGTGCTGCTGTGGTCTCAGAATCCGAACCAGAACAGACTCATAGAACCGTGCAATCCACGTTCATCAAAGCGAACAAGCAAAAGTGCCAACAAAGGTTGCCTTGCGCTGCTTACCAACGAGCGTAGTTCTTCAGGTCAGCCCACTCTGCATTGGACTAGCATTGCGACCTCCGTAGTCGCCTCGCAACGTGAAGACATCGCGCTGACCGCGAATACCTACGCATGTGATAGGCCTTACAAGTCCCGCGCGCTGCAACGAGGGCTAGTAGAATGTCCAACAGGACACCCTGCTCTTGAATTTTGTCAGAAACACAACTCTCTAGTTAGTGAAAGACGACCGGAGTCCACTGGTCCGTCCAAACGCCTTTAGCACCCCCAGGTCCTAGCAATACCCCCCAACACCCGACGATTATAGATACAAGTCTTCTCCGTGGCTTCACTCTATGTCTGCCGTACCTTGCACGACGACCCCGAGACATGGACGGGGGGTCGACCAGCCTGCTACTCCTCGCCCCGCCGCACCCGTTCTCTCAGGTCGCGATTCTCATTCTCCAGCCCGCCGAGACGGGCGCGTGCCGCCTGGCGGTCCTGGTTCCGTGCCTCGCGCTCCTGCTTCAGCTTGTGCTCCATCTCTCGTAGCCTAAATAGCCATCGGTTGTCGTTCTGCGGCTCGTCGGACACAGAGGGGTCCCGGCGCGCAATCTCGTTGCCGGCACTGGGGGCAGTGTGCGTCCGGGACAGGGCCCTGCTGCTCCCGTGACTAGTCCTGGAGGCGCGGTCCTTTTCCATCGGTCCACGAGGCACACTCGGCGACGGTGAGCCAGGATCGCCGGGGATCAGGGCCTCCGGGTTGAGTCCAGAATAGGCCGACCTCGCTCGGGCGTCGTTGGCCGCCTTCAAGGTTGCATTCTCCACCTTGAGCTGGCGGTACTTATCCTCCAGCCTCAACAGTCGCGAGTGAAGCTCCGAGGATGATGTGCTGCTGCTCGCCACCGTGTTCCGCACCATGGTCTCCAGGCGGTCCAGTTTCTTGGTGCGCACATCGAGGTTGCTCTCGAGATTCTGGTACTCCCTCGTCAAGTCGCGCTCGACCGTCTTGATCTTGAGCTGGAATGATCCGACAATGGTCTCAATCATCTTGACAGCCGCAAGCAGGTTCTTGGAGAAGCCAGGCAAGCGGGTAGCAATGACCTCGAGAGACGGTAGAACCTGGCGGTCGATGAGCGTGTTGCTGTTGGCCCACTCCCTGCCGCACAGGGCGCTCAGCTTCTGCCACAGAGTGAGCAGCAACTGGTTCCTCTCCGCCAGCTGCTCGCGGCTTTGCTGCTCGAGTTTCAGGAGACGTGCGCGATCCTGGCCGCGTGTCGATTCAAGTTCGCTGATGCGCGTGTCTTGCGTAGAGTTCGTGCGTGCCAGGAGCTGGTGGTTGCGCTGGAATGTCTCGTGCTGCGCCTTGGTGTTGCGATGGCTGACGCGCTCCTTGTCTAGCAGCTCCGAGAGCTTGCGACTCTCCAGTGCGTGCGACTCGAGCAACGCGTCTCGCTGCTTGATGATGCGGTCCTTCTCCACCACCGAGGCCCTGGTGCTGTCGAGCTCGCGGATCGTATCCTCCAGCTCGCGCTGTATCTTGGTGATGGACTTCAAGAAGGAGGAGCGCGTGCCGTTGAGATCGCCCAACGCCTCGCCAAGGTTGTTCTCGAGCTCAATCAACCTCTCCTTCCACTCGGTCGCCTCAATCTCACGCGACGACAGGCTCTTGCGCAGTCGGCGCACCTCGTCCTTAGCAGTCGACGCCTCCTTGTTGAGCTGGTTGACAATCTGCTGCACATCCTCCTTCTCCTTGTTCGCCACAATCTCGCGCTGCTCGCGCTCCTGGCTGAGCCGGTTGTCCAGTTCGCGGGCGCGGTCCTTTTCCTCGCGGAGGGAGTGCTCCAGACCGGCGAGAGAGGCCTCCAGGTCCCCGATTCTGATCTTGTCCGTCTCTTGCTCTTCCCGCAAGAACCCAATCTCATCCTGCGACGACTCCTGCTGCACAGACAGCCGTTGGTTCTTCTCGTTGGCCTCCATGAGCTTGCGTTCAAACTCCTCCAGCTCCTTGTTGGACGAGTCCAGCTCGAGCTCAAGCTGGTCGATCCTCCGCAGCTTATTCTCCTGTTCGTCCTCGAGTCCGATCAGCGCATCGCTCATCTTTCGCATCTCCTCCTGCAAGGCGTCGAAATTCTCGGAACGGTCAGTCAATTCGTTCTGCATGCGCTGCAGTTCCTCGGAGCGCTGGTCGGCTTCGAGCTCGAGGGCATCGATCTCGTCCTGCGCCTCTACCCGCAGGGCCTCAAACTCCTCCTCCATTGCCGCCTGCTCGCGCAACGCTTCATCCCGCTCTGATTGCAGGGCAATGAGGTCGTTCATGGCGTTTTCGAGGTCTTCCTGCAATTGAACAGCGGCCTCTTCGGACTCGCGCTTGCCATTGACGGCTGCCTCAAAGTCCTCCATGCATGTCTCCAACTCACGTTGAAGTTCTTGGTTCTGCAGTTTGACCTCGCTGAGATTGTCCCGGCTCTCAGCAAGCTTGGCTTCGAGTGCGTCGCGTTCCTGCTCCATGTCTTCTTCGACAGAGGTTCGCCGCGTCATGCCGCTGCCTCTGGATTGTGGTCTTTCGTGGCCGCCCACGCGCGACGCCGATCTGTCGAGTAGGCTGTCAATGGTCGATGGGGCTTGACGTCCGTGGCGCGCTGCCATCTTCAGGTCTTCGATCTCTTGGTACAGGCGCTCCTTTTCGCGATTTCTCGAAGTCAGCATGGAGGTCTGCGCGCCAACTTCTCGGCGCAGCTCGGCATTTTCATGGCGCAAATGTTCAGTCTCTTTCCGAAGTTCATCGACCAGTGTGCTTCCCGCACTGAAATTGGCGTTGGAGCCTTCAAAGTCGCCTGAGAGACCAGACACTGGTCGACTGCCTGATCCGCCCTGCTCGCGGTTTCGCTGCTTCTTGGTGATGTTGTAGATATTGTTGGTGTGATGCAGGCCTCCGGAACCTGACATCTCCTGCTTAAGTCGGAAGACCTCGTCCCTGAGCTTGCGATTGTCATCGTCAGCCTGTTCACGACGAGCAGTCTCTTGCTCAAGAAGGTCCTTCCACACGTCCGCCTCTTCTTGCCGTCCGACGTTGTCGCCCGCGACCCGATCACCCATGGTCTTGAAAACATCAGTCATTCTGCGCTTCTCGTCCATGGCATTCGTGGTCTCGGTGCGCAGTCGCTCAATCTCGGTCGCGTACTCTTCCACCCGCTCCCGGAGGAAGTATAGCTCTTCTTCCCTCTCTTGCGCATCTTCGTCATACAACTTGGCTGTCTGATCAGTTGACGAAGCACCGCTTTTGGCCGTACTAGGGCGCTCTTCATTGTCCTTCTCCTGTTTTTCCAGTTCCTTGAGTCGCCGGCGAAGGATTCTGTTGTCCCTCTGCAGTACCGCAAGGCTTGTTTTGAGTTCCACGTTCTCCGAGATCATCTCCTTGATCCCTTCCTCTGATAGTTTGTCGAGACGATCGCTCAAAAACATGACTTTGAGTTTTAGGTCAAAGTTTTCTTTGGACAGCCTCTCAATCGTGCTGCTTTGCTCCTTGAGAGTCAGGCTCCGCCCGCCGGTCCTACCAGCGGTCGTGACCGAGCTCGCCATATTGAGGTTTGCTGGTCGCCTTGGCGTCTCGAGACCGCTCTTGTACTTGTACTCTTTCGCTAATGACTCGGGGACATGCACATTTCTGACATGGCGAGCGATGACCGTGTCAGTCGGGGCGGTTTCAAAATTCTCTTGGGAGGGCTTCGGGGTCTGGGCCATGTCTTCTTTCTGGCTTCGGTCGGGACTATTGACTTCGGGGAGAGTTTCGAGGTGACCAAGCGAAGGATCCGTGTAGTCCTCAAAACCAGAGGCGACGCTTCCCATGCTGATTGTGCGCGAGAGAGCAGCGCTCGCATTCCGCGAAGGCGTTGCCAGCGCAGGGATCGCGCCCCCGGATTGTAGAGCGTAGTCGGCGCTGTAGCCCATAGCCGTCACGTCGCTGCCTTCATGCGTCTCGCTCGCTGCGAAAGAGGATGTCGAGGAGCGCTGGCTCCCGTATCGGCTTCGGAGGTACTTTGGTCGTTTCTGTGCGCGCAGGGCATTGCCCGGTGTACTCCCGGCATCGACTCGTTCGGACAATGACTGCGTTCGCGACAGTGAGCCCTCTTGATCTCCCACGCTCGAAATCTGTGAGCTTTCTTGGGCTTCTTTGCTGTCGTCCTCGGCAGGTTCGCCAGTCTGGCTGTTTTCTGTTGTGGAGGTTGCCGGCTCGTCGTCATGCTCCGCAGTACTGACCGCGCGTGACATGGTCCTAGCCACAGCTGCAGCCGTCGGGGACGAGTCGAATGCCTCTAAGCTCGCTGTCGTGTTCTCTGGTGCAGTGGCCGTCGAATCACCCTCATGCGGCGGCGGCTGCCGCTGATGCATCTGCATGGCGGCCTTATTGGGCGAGTCGAAGATGTATGTGTCGTCCACCCCGCCATCAAAGGCATTCGCGCCTGTGGGTATCGGTGACAATCGCGGTAGAAAGCTCGACTCGATATCATTCAGGTGCTCGCGGACGGCTTCTTCTGTCAGCGACTCGTCTGGGCCCCTGCTGGGATCCATGGGCGCGGCCTCGAAGGAGCTGCTATCCATGCCGATTCCAGCGACTGAAGATTCTGGCTCTTCTTCCGAGGCAGCATCGCGAAGTGTCTCAGGGTTCGCACTGTCATTGGGTGTTGTGTCTTGGTCCGAGGGACGCGTCGTGGTTTGCTCGCTCATTGTCGATGTCTCGGCGTGGCCAATGGTTTGTTGATCGGTAGCGTCGCGCCGCGGTGTCTGCGGTTGGTCGACCGCGGAGAGCTCAGGGTCTGTTGCCATGATGCATCTTGCGCGGTAGTCTCGCGATCAGGGAGCAGGCCTTGTGCGAAGAGAGAGCCAGCAGAGAGTATCGGCGATGTGTTGCTTTTTCTTGATTACTACCTGAGGCTGCCTTGCTAGTCGCTACCATCCAGGTTTCAAGGGATGGAGCTCTGGCGGGCGGGTCCAGCGCTGTCACTCATGCATGAATTGGTTGTGACAGCAACGGTAGTCCACCTACCCTGCACACATACTATCGCGGTCCACCTCCTTGCCCAGCGACGTGACGTATAAGGCCATGACTCTTTAAGAACCAGTCGAGGTTGCCGCAGCGATTAATGCAAAAGATACAATCGTCACTTGCAGGTTCAATTCAGAGATGGCGTGGTGGCGGAAGTAAGATAGGGCTCTTAAAATGAATGGAGTGATAGTGTCACAAGGCGAGCAAGCCCATAATCAGTCCCAGACGTCAATCACATGTAAGCTACCTTCGGATAGCTACAATCTGGGCTATTGTTCAGCTCAATAGACGAGTCTAGGGAAGCCTATCCTTAAACAGAGTTTGAGGATCATACGGGGGAATACTGGTTAAGCCTAATGATTGGATACACCACGCATCATAAGAACTTGGGATCAATTGGTTGCTTAAAGCTTTGACAGTTAAGGTACTCATTAACTCATGCTTCTAGATTCCTAGTTGGAGTACTTGTCGGGAACCTGGGAACCAGAGTACTTCTCGTACCCCTCACGGGCACCGTCAGTGATCTTCTCCTGGTTCTCCTTGCTGATGCCCCAGCCGGCCTTGTCGTTGACGGCAGAGAAGGCTAATACATGTAAGCGACAAGCTCAAGCGATAGTCAATGGGGGAGTCTGCTGGTATACACACCCTTGTCACCATAGTCGTCCTTCTGCTGGCCCTTGTTCTCGGACTTGTTGTCCTTGTTCTCGCTGCTGCCACCCATGCTGCTGGCTGCCTTCTTGACGAAATCCATTGTGACTGATGTTGTTGGTGTGTGCTGTATTAGGTGTATGATGAACTGTACGGAATGACGAGAAGATACCTGGGCAGGGAGAGCCTTTATATACCCAAGCAGCTCCAGTCCTTACGCCATCACGGATGGTCCGTCTTATCACCAAGGGGTACGTACAGCTGCGCTGCTGCGCACAGCAGGACCCCTCCTTTCCGTCCCAGATGACCCCACCCGGCATCTCGGCGGGACTCTAGCTGCCCGCGCAAGGCGTCATAACGCGACTTTAGCGTCTTGAGCTCCAGTTCCAGAGCTTGCCTGCCTGGATACAGCCCAGATCTTACATCACTGATCGACAGCCGCTCCATTCCGATCTGCCGTGGTGAGTGATCTCACTGGGGACCCCAACCGAAGTCTATGGCCTTGCTACATTCCGACCCAGACCTGGTTGCAGGTTGCAAAATCGAGGACATGGAACGGCGGCTCGAAACGAGCTCGAGCTGGACGACGGAGCGGGAGGGGCTAGGAGAAGGTGAGGGGACCGATTTGGCGTGGCGCGGCGGGGTGAGCTGGATGGCTGGACTTGGGCCTGGTCGCTCACTCGAGCTGAAAGTTGACGCTAATCACCAGGAACTGCATGCTGCGCATGGTCTAGCTCATCGGCGACCACGAGATGGATGTCGCGTCTCCGTCGCTGCTGGCAGATGGTAAACAATGCACGAGTAATAAGTGGTGTGGTAAATTGTGGCCTGTGTGCCCAAAAGTGTACTCCATGCAAAAGCAAAATGCACCTCCCAATGCTGCCGCTGCTGTCAAATCCATCCGTATAATGATCCGTAACTCGTCAATAATTCTTTCCGTCGTCTATTATCATGCACGTCGCGCTCGAGGCACCACCCGTCGTGGCCAGGATACAGAGCAGACAGACAAGGTCTGTCGCCACGAATGAAGCAACCACGGTGCTCCTACGAGTTGACGAAGACTTGGTACGCCATGATCATGATCCAAAGAAGAAAGATTGTCCCAATGAGGGCCATGGCAAACACCATGCGCCATGACTCGCCTATGCTTGTCAGTCGAGTCCTCCACGAATTGGCAGAACTTGCTACTTACAGATGTTCTTCTGCTGCAAATACGCCAGGACCTTGAGCGTCTGCCCTTTGGGATTCTGGCTGAATACTTGAATATCGCAGTTACTCGACACTGACCCTGAGGGCCCGAACAGCTGAATCGACACAATGACCAGACCCGTGATCCATAGAACAAACAGTATAAAGGCGCCTATCATCACTATGGCGGGCAGCAGTCGTCGATTGAATATGAGCCAGAAGAGGCCGAGGATGAACAGGATCGTGAGGCCGCAAACGGTGATGAAGTAGGGAAAGTACCTGCCAACTGTCAGCATTTTGTCCTCTTCTGCGCTCCACGCGGCCGTCTTACCATGGTACCGGTAATTGCAGTTGGTTCTGTGTCTGGATGAAGATTGCAAAGACCCCGAGAATGCTCGTTGAGGCGAGGAGCATCACAAAGATCCAGAAGTTGAGTTGTATCGGCGGCCAATTGTAGGTTCGGACTCGACTTGTCACCGCGCGGCTGCGCGTGTACATTGAGCCACTCACAACCGAAGAGGCGGCCACCATGCTGGCGTTTGGTCTGCAACGCTTGCGTCTGAGTGTTCGGAATGGGGCGGTTCGTCAGGAAGTCGCTCGGACAGGTCGCGGTAGGGTACGCGTGGTGTACTCGGGGACTCGATGGTGTTGTTGGTTGTCCGTCGTTGGACTGGAGTTGGCGTATTGTGGTTGTGCACCCACCACACCAATCTTTACAGAGGCAGGCTCTTATTGTTTCTCAAGACGCGGACGTCGAAGGGGCGAGGCAGGAAAAACGCTGTCGTCTCGCGATGCCCAACGCGATGGGCAAGGGGCTCTCAGTGGCTGCCACGTCGGACCTGCAGCTGTCCGTCCCACAATCCGTGCGATGCGCCGCAGTTGTATGGTCGAGTGCGCCAAGTTGAGTGGATGTCGCATGCGACAGGAAATGGTTCGTAGGATGACTCAAGCTGGTTCGTGACGTTGGTTTTGTACTGTGGACGCAAGGCGACGTGTTGGCGCGTAGCGATTTCGGTTGCACGATGCGGTGATGCCCAGAGGGATTGCTGTATGAGTCCGTCGGCTCGATTAGTCACGGATAGCAAGTTGAGGATGGCGGTGAGATGGTGTTGCGTCAGGCGCAGGGAGTCCTCCTGGGTATACACGGCAGTGAATATGGACAACAGAGAATTGCATCAAAGCAAGACGAGAAGGTGAAGCATTCGAGGATGGTTGGGATGCCTCCCACATCCGCCGCTCCACCAAATTGGCTGCCAATGCCATGCCATCCGTCAGGCTGGTAATGGGTCGCCCGCATTTAGGGTGGCTGGTGAAATATGGAGTACAAGGGGGGCTTGACGCGGGCAAGAAGGTGGCTGGAGCTCCACCGCGTGGAGCTGCATGGTTCTTCGAGAACCACATCCCGAGCAGCCTCACCTCGCCAGCGCATCGACAGTGCTGTTGACCGACTTTTCGAGACGGGCTACTTGTCATTTCTGTCTCGCAAATGGGGTTTAAATAACATCAGCATGCCTCGAACGAATCCTGTCCCCGTCGACAACAGAAGTCAATGCGCCCTCTGTACTGCATGCCTCTCGTTGCTGCCACCTCCGCGCAACTATGGCTGCCACGTACCTGGTTCATGCTGTCGCAAATGGCGAACATATTCGATCATCCGTAATTGTCAGCAAGATACTGGCGGTCGTGAGTGGTCACGTCGCTCGTTGGCACAGCTAAATCAGCCCATGGAGAACACTGGTATTACCGAGGATGAGCGCCTACCACCACGGGACACGCTGGGTGTCTGCACATCTACTTTTTTGAGACGTAAACCCTCTGACCCCGCCAGCAGCATGGAGAAGCACTGGAACTTCTCTTTCACTCGACCGCAATCCTGAATCGCAGCAAGTCATCCTGCTGTATGCGCTCATATTGCTGCTCCAGCTCCAGCACATCCCACTTGCACGAGATCCATCTACCATTCAACGCTTTCTTTTGCGCCGCCGAATTCGGCGGCTTTGTGAGCCACACGCAGAATGATCCAACCAGGTCAGGGCTATCAGTCAGATCTGATACGGGTGAGATACGATCGCATGTACGGAGTCGCTGGTGGAACATCACTTACGTTGTTGCAACTCCATTGATGCGGCTCTGGAGAAATCGCTTTGCAGGCCGCCGGGATGTACGCTGGCGCAGAAGAGGCCCTGAGACGAGTACTGCGCATGCAGCATCTCCATCATCCTGACCTGAGCAACCTTGCTAGCGGAGTAGTGCGAACTCGCGCCGAACCCGGTGATCATCGGCGCCGCCATGGTGCTGATGGCAATGAAGCTCCCCTTGCTTTCCAGGAGCAAGGGCACCAGGTGATGGGCAGCATACCAAGTGCCCAGACAATGGATGCCGAAGGCTTTCTCAACGTCCTTGGGATCTTCCTCGAGGAATGTCGCCTTGGACAAAGGACCGCTGTAGCCAGCATTGACAACAACGGTGTCCAGACGACCTCCAAATTTCTCTCTGATCGTGGCTGCAAGTGTAGCAACGTCGTCGTTGGAGGTTATGTCGCAAGACACAGTCACGACGTTTGTCGAGGCATTCAGTGCCCTGGCTTCTTTCGCCGTTGCTTCGAGCGCAGACTGCGTTCGACCGGCGAGTATGATACCAGATGCGCCTGCTTGGGCAAAAGACCGTGCCAGACCGGACCCTGCGGCACCACTGCCACCTATGATGCAAACGACGTAGCCGTCCGGCAGTCTGACCTCCTGGGGATCGATAGCTGGGTATGGCTTGGTATGATTAGTTGCCACGAAGCGACGGAGCTCGGCTGCGTTGGTCAGAGTTGAAGTGGGCATGGTTGTGAGGCTGTGTGGGTAGATAATACAGTGTTTCTCTCAACTACAGTATGTAATTCGAGATGTCTTACATATATAAGCGCTTTCAACACCATTCGAACGTACTGCCTTTGTTCGTACTCATACATGCACGGACTTACAAACTTATATCCGCGTCAATGTCCGGCTGAGGTAGCCATGCACCTGCAGACTGCGAGAAATGCGGTCATAACCACAACACCAAGAAACACGCGCGTGAAAGGTCCGGCATTCGATCCAATCAGTCCAAAGATGCATAAGGAATGAAAACACCGAAAAGATCAAGACACGTACCGCAATGTTGCCTTCATGTTTGATCACTATCAGACAGAGAATCGCGGATGATCTCCCGGGCGGTTGAGAACTGGAGTCTGACAGAAGTCGCCGTCATCAAGGCTGACCTGATTTGTATTTGTTTCCTAATGTACCTCAACCCCGAGCTACTAGCCAGTCTACAACAACGACTCGCCTAGCGCGCACCGCACCAAGGAGCAGCCTGCCCTGATGGTCTCTTGCACACCAACCAGCTGGTCCTGGGCCAGCTGGGGGTTCACCTCGACCAGATCCATCGCCACCAGGTTGCCGGTCTGATGCACGCTCTCGCAAATAAAGTCACCCTCGCGAAGCGTCAAGCCGCCGCGCACGGGCGTGCCCGTGCTGGGCGCCCACTGGGGATCGAGTGCGTCGACATCAAAGGACAGGTGGATGGGTGTGTCGGAGCCAATGTGGGCCAGCGCCATCTCAACGACGCGCCCAATGCCATGCCTGTCAATGTCGAACATGCTGAACGCCTTGATGCCGTGCTCCCTGAGGATCACCTTCTCAGCCTGGTCGACGTCCCTCAGGCCAATGTACACCAGCTTCCTCTTGTTCAGGCGCATCTCGTCCTTGATCCAGCCAAAGTACTCCTCCTTGTCCTCGGTCGCAAGGCCCGTGAGGAAAGCAACAGGCATGCCGTGAATGTTGCCACTGTCACTGTCCTCCGGTCTGTTGATGTCTGCGTGCGCATCGACCCAGATCACTGCTGTCTCTCGCCCCAGCCTCTCGCGCGTTGCCTTTGCGACGCCCGCCACAGTGCCGATTGCGATACTGTGGTCACCTCCTAGCGTGAGGGTCATGCGCCCCTCGCGCGACTGTTCGTAGGTCTGTTCTGCGATGCGGCGCGTGACGGCGGATACGGCGAGGGGATTCTTCATCCCACGGTAGGGCTCGTCGGATTGTGGGAGGAGCTCGGCGTACGAGTGGACCTTGTCATCGCCATGGAGCTTGTAACCGAGCGAGTCGGAGAGCTGGGTGAGGAGGCCAGAATCGATCAGGACTTGAGGGCCTTCATCGACGCCAGATTTCCCTTGCCCCCCCGAGAAGCCAACGGCTACGACGCCGAGGTCTTCTTGGGATTTGAGGAAGCGGTTGTGGATGGGCGAGGTTGTCATCGTGTCGCGGTTTGTGTGTGGGAAGCGGGATCGCAGGTCGTAGCAGAGGTGATTTGTACGGGAGGAAAAGAAGGCGACGTCCGTAGAGTTAAATAGCCGTCCCGTCTGGGCCAGGTCTGCAACGACGAGGACGGGTCAGCGGCCGTCGTGAAGCCCTTTGGAGAGCCAGACGCGGGCCAGCTGTCACCTGGCGGGGCATGAACGACATGACAAGCAATCTATGACTGTCCATGTCGCATACACCTTCACTTAGGGGCAAGATGGTCCGTGATTTAGATGGGCGCCTGGACTCTCGAACTGGATCCATCGGTGCACCTTCACTTAGGGGTATAGCGGGTGCGGGTTACCTTCACTTAGGGGTCTAGTACGTTTGGTAGCAAATGCCTCACCAGCGAGATGTAGAGGTAGATGAGATGCAATGTAGGTGGCATGCATAGTGCAGCCAGCCTCGTGCGATTCAGGATCGCCATGTTCTTTGCATTCTTCGAGTTCAATTCGCTGTCGCCTGATCCTGATGACGTTTTATCACAGCCGGTGCCAGCCGCCATTCGCGACCCCACCTTGCTGGGCGCAGTGCCAGTGTAGTGGATGGGCGCTGCCACGTCCAAGACGCGCCGTAGGGTGCGTATGACAAGCGGCTTGAGGATGCCGCGACAGGACACTCAACCTGTAGATTGTAGAGTGTGCTTTCATTTGATGTGTCAAATCAAGCTTCTTGGTAATTTCGCATTGGTAGGTTACTAATACTAACAACTGTAGCACGCGGTCAAGGCCCAATCTAACACTCACCACACACGACAAAATTCACATGCTTGAAGGCTGGACCCCGTCGCGGGGCAGAGTCTGATAGAGCTTATCTTATCTACGGATAAGCTATCTCCTTATCGTCCATGTCTTGGCTTTACTTCTCAACTACTAAGTATCCATGAAATTAACGAACGTACCGACCATGCTATCCGTGTCGGAAGATAGCGGCGCTTGCTAGCAAGTGAGATACTTTGGCTTGCCCATGTTTCGTCAGCATCTTCTGTGCGAATGCACATTGATTACTCTGCGCGTTGCAGCAGGCTGCTGTCTAGGGGCTTGCAATCGTCCTTCACGCATGCCTCCGGCAGAAACGGCAGACAACCTAAACATGGCGCCAGCCGTGCTCGTGTTTGGTGCCAAGGAGGTAATAGCGTCAACACATCTTTGCTGGAATCGCTGGACGCGAAGCATTTGCAGTTATTCAATGAATTGCCAGCGCCAACTCGTGGACTTGCCCATTAAATACGTGAAACATTCGGCCGAAACCGTCCACAACAGGGACAGAGAGTCCGAGTCTGACACTTGTCACAGCAGAAGGCTCAGTACTGATTCCCGTCTTCGGTTCACATGTAAGACCGTATTCTGACAGCGTCTGAGACCCAATACGAATGCAGCTGTGAGCATCGTATCATTATCGATCAGCCATTCTGCAAGTTTGGATACCCCCCCTGACAATCCCTCAAATACGGATTGACGGCGTGCATTATCGTGAGGCCGTGTGGATCTCTGATGCTCCGCACGTGTCGGCGTAGCCAGTCAGATGAGTGTAAGAACCCTGCATGTCCAGCCCGCCATGCTGCTTGGGGAGTTGGGCCCCCAAGGGCCCTCTCGCAGCATAAGCTCGCATATTGATCGCATTCCTCTCTGACTTCTCAAAAGGTGGCATAATTTAGGAGCCAAGAAGTCAAGGGAGCTACGTAGCTGCCTACACTGTCTGCTTGAACGGAAAGAGCGACTGCGTCCAGCGTTCCTTCACGACCTCGTCGTCTTCGGTCTACATTCCCTTCTCTCGACCTTCGCTTGCGGGACCATGTCGCCTGCGCTGTATTGATATCTCCATCTTTCGCTTCGCTGCCTCACTCAATCCGACCGACCCTGCGATTCATCAACGACTGTAGCACAGCATCCGTCGTCACAAATTCATCACACATTGTACAAACGCGAGGTGACACGGCGCTCTCGACGCTGGTCAGGTTTCTTGAGCGACACTCGAGTGACAACAGGACAGTCTGCTCGATCTCCGACAAGCGCAGGCAAAGCCCCTTGCGGTTGGCCGGCGACCGCTGTCAACCATGCCCAAGATTCTTTCCCCATCGTTTCCTCCGCGCCGACCGTCGGGTATCATTCGTTATACCCTCGTCGGGGCGGTGCTGATAATGCTGTACTACTTCTACGTCAACTCTCCCGAACCCCAGCCGGAGATCCTACCGCCCGCGAACGCTGTCCAACGACCTGCGCCCAAGCCCGAGCCGAGACCTCTCGCACCAGAGGTCCCCATCACGGAGCCCAAGCTCCAGCCGAAGCCAAAGACCAAGCCAAAGATCGAAGCGAACCCCGAGGAGCCGAAGCCTGTGCCGACGCAAAAGGCCACGGACGACAAGAGGCCCGATGCCCATGCTGGAGCCAGCGACAGCAACGAGGAAACCAAGACGACCCCCAAAGGCGGCGCGCCAATGTCTAGTGGGCCTGAAGACGTACACCCTCTAGATCGCCTCATCTACGATGCGGAACACACGTTTGCAGAGCTCCTGTCCAAGGAGACGAGGACATTGTCGGAAGCAGCACAAGCGTATCGTGAACGACGTGGGCGCCACCCCCCTCCTGGCTTCGACCGCTGGTTCGAGTTCGCGCAAGCCAACGACGCCCTCATCATCGAGGACTTCTTCGACCAGGTTCACCAAGATATCGAACCCCTGTGGGGTCTCGATCCGGCTGTCATTCGCAAGGAGTCTTGGGACTGGGAAATGACAATCAACATTCGAGATGGTGTCGCAACGGCAGGTAGCGATTGGTTCTTGACGCAAATCTGGCTGAACATGATCTCCACCATTGCCCATCTTCTACCCGACATGGACCTCCCTTTGAACGCCATGGATGAGCCTCGTCTGGTGGTGCCCTGGGAGGACATGGAACAGTACATGAAAAAGGCATCCAAGACCGTCCGCTTGCCCAAGGCCAAGCACATGCGCAGTGATTCGCAGAAGCTCCCGCCTCCAGGCTACGGCGATCTCACGACCAAAACTCGCCCGAGGGCTTGGGAAGGCACCAGACCGTACTGGAAGATCGCGCGACGTGGATGCCCGCCGGACAGCTCTGCGCGACAGATGCCACTCCAGGATTCATTCGATGAGCCCCCCGACATCAGCATGTCTTTGGCCGATCCCCACATGTTCGACGGCTATGTGTACAATTTCACCTTGTCTAAGGATATTTGCCATCAGGGCGATCTCCAGGGCCTGGAGGGAATCTTCATTGATCCGCTCTCAGTGGCCTCAACCAAGGTCCTGACTCCATTCTTCGGCGGATCGAAGCTAGGTGTAAACAACGAGATCCTCTTGCCTGCGCCCATGTACTGGGCAGCAGAGGAACAATTCACCGGCGGCGAAGATCATGGCCCTCCATGGGACGAGAAGAGCACCAAGGCCATCTGGCGCGATGTCGCGACTGGAGGCAGGAACCGCGAGAACAACTGGCGCGGGTTCCAAGTTCATCGCTTCATCGCCATGACGAATGCAACGACCGTCACAGACGCCGAGCACCAATACCGCCGAGCTGAAAACTGGGCGCTTCCAGAGGATCAATATGACCTCCCTGCAAAGAAGGCTGGTGTTCTGGGTGACTGGGTGGGTGAGTGGTCCGACACCGCGTTCACAGATCTCAACTGCGAGCCCAAGGAAAATGACGGTGCATGCTCATACACCAGCCCATTCTTCAACCGGCTCCCCGGCATGAGTATGGCCGAAGAGTTTGCTAGCAAGTACTTGCCAGACATTGATGGCAATAGCTTCTCTGGACGTTATCTCGGATTGCTACGCTCCACCTCGCTCCCCGTCAAGGCGACTGTCTGGCGCGAGTGGCACGACAGCCGTCTGGTGGCTTGGAAGCATTTTGTTCCCATGGACAATCGCTTTGGTGACTTTTACGGCATCATGAACTACTTTATCGGGTTCCAAGGCCGCGGTGGCCACGATGCCGCGGCCGAGAAAATTGCCAGCGCGGGCAAGGAGTGGGCGGAACGCGTGCTGCGCAAGGAGGACATGCAGGTCTACACGCTGCGCGTGTTGCTGGAGTATGCCCGACTACTGGACGATCGCCGGCAATATATGGGCTGGGTGGACGATGTCCTTGCTGATCCCACGCTGGAGAAGACATGGTCTTGGTGGTGGTAGATGTCAGTGAAATTTGTAAAGAAGTATTGGAAAGAAATGGCGGCGGCGTTCCGGTGTTGTGGTACAGGGTTTCCATTGTCAGGACCCATTCATCTCCTGTTGTAGTACATATTTACAATATATTTTACACTTCTGTTGCTACATCCATCCTTTTTGGGGTACGCCGAGTTATCCCCTCCATGTCTATATACCAATTGCGCCATCTACACACTTTCAAAATTCTTGTTACAGTATTTCCACGCCGTCGTCTTCGCCCGCCTTCATTGCCATGTCGTCGTCGTCCACTGTGTTATCGACCTCCTCGTTGATCGTCGTGGATCGAGCGAGCATGTGCAGATAGTCGGGTCGGAAAGGCCATCGCATCCATGCCTCCATCATCTCCTCAAAGTGTTTCACGCTCATGCCACGCACTGTTAGACCCGATTCACCCTCCAATGGGTTGCCGCCCATTTTGGGATTCCACAGGCTTGGAGCTCGCGAGCCCTCGACCATCTCGGCGAAGCCCGGAGCGATGTTGTCAAGAAGACTTCCTGCGATAGGCTGGGCGGTGCGATGGAACAGTTCCTTCAGAATGATGTTGCCATAGTCGCCTGATCGGTCCGTGTTGGGCCCGTGGTTGCGAAGTACCGGAGCAAGCAGTTTAGGCTGGATGTCGAGAAGCGCAAGAGGCTTGTTGGGGTAAAAGTCGAGCGGGCTGACGGCCAGAGGTTCATAGGGTCTTTGATCCCACAACAGACCACGGTCTTGGTATTTGAACATGTGATAGTTGTCTCGGACGACGACGTACTCCTTCAGCTGGTTCTTCTTCATACCAGTGACGGACTCCTCGTAGGACGCGGCGAGCGCGGCAAAATCGGGGTCGGACGGGTCCATTGCCATGAGCCTGTCATGCATGTGAAGATGCTCGAGATATTCCTGGGCATGGCGGTCTTCAGCCTTGTTCCGTGATCGCAGGGACATGACCCGTTTCTGGAGTGCTGCGTCATTGCTGTCCGCTGCCGCCTCGACCTCAGCGAGCTCCGCTCGGAAAGGTCGCTCATAGAGGGGAGGGCGTACGCCAGCCAGCGGTTCAGTGAGCAGGCTGGGATTCTCTCGAAGGAAGGACTGGAGGCGGGTTTCTCGGTGACGCGGCGTGCTCAGTCCCAGCGCTCCCATGGATCTACGAGCACCAGCGGCAGACTCGTAATCTATCCACTTGTCTCGTAGGTACAGCCTGTCGCTATCGCTGGGTTCGTCGCTCCCTGCTACTTCGCGGATCCACTCGCACGACATTTGCGCCTCGAACGCGGATCGTTTGCGTGCGCGGAGGGTGCGTGGAAGCACCATCTTCTTGGTCTCGTCGTTGCACCATACCAGCATCCGCACTTTGGCGTAGCGCTGCAGCTGCGTGTGGGTGCGTATGCTGTGCATGATCTGGTAGAGGAGGAGCTGCGTGACGTTGTCGAAGCCCCAGGTCGACTTCTTGGGCCAGATGGAGATGTTGAGTGTGATGAGCAGGTCGTCATGCGGCGTGACCTCGTCCACGGGGCGCTTGTGGGTTGGGTCGAGCTCCTTGTCGAAGATCGGGTTGAGGTCGGACCAGAGGATACCTGACTTTGGTATGACCTCGTACTTTCGCTCGCCCATGACTTCCTTGCGCACTGGCTCGTAGAGATCGGCGGCAGCGTCGAGCATCATGTGTCGTCGTGGTTGGACTGCATCGTGGAGTGCACGGCTCCAGAGACAGGCCCCGGAGCCTATGTCTAGGATATCGCATCCCTTGTGTTTATCGAGCGTTTTTCCGAGCCTTCGAATAGCTTCATCTAGTCTCTGCCGTCAGCACCGCTGTTATCTTCGCAGCAGCAACTTGGATGGACCTACCGCAAAGTTCCTCATTGACGATATTGACCCTGCGCGCTTCGCTCGTGCCCAGCGCATTCTTTGCACGCTTGCGTCCACCGACGCGCGTTCTCTCGCCTGATTTTGACCACGCCCCGAGCTTCTTCAGCTGCTTGGCTATCGGCGTTGCGGCCTTGTCGTCGGCAGTGGATGCCTTTTTGGCTGTCGCGTAGGCTCGTTGACAGGGCTTGCCGCATGCATGGAGGCGCAGGAGGAGGCGCGGCGGCGCATGACGACAGAGTACTATCATGAATTGCCGTGGACGAGTACGGGGAGGTGATGCGACAATGTGCGAGTACGAGGCGCGGAGGTTCAAGGTTTGGGGTTTTCCTGCACATGAAGAAATGCCGGCGGAGCACCGGGTGGTGGGGAATGGGGATCGATCCCGGACGGAGCCGTTGCAGCTTGCGACGTCAAGGCACACCCGTTGGAGGTGACCTTTAGGATTTGTACATGGATATATGCGGGCTACTAACGTAAAAGTCCATTGCGGCATCTGCCATGCCAGGCATGTATCAACCAAGTTCCACACGCGCTCTCTTCGTTACGCTGGAAAAGAAACTCAAAACCATCATGATCTAGAGCCGCAGCCTCTCAGGCTCCCTCGCTACCAAACTCGTTCGTCCACTCAATCTGCCGCTCAATGTCGTCCTTTGACACCGTCGGATGCGAGTCGTCCAAGGCCACTTCAAAGTCTTTGAGTGTTACGTCGGGCGCGAGGAGTTCCTCCGAGTCGACGTCGTCGTAGGTCATTTCGATCTTGTCAGGCTCGCCCGGTGAACAAGGAGTCAGCATGCGCTTGCCATCTTTCATGACCTGGGACGAATGTTAGTTGCGCACCAAAAGCAGCCAGGCGAGGGAGCGACTCACGGCCTTGAAATGTGTCGCTTGCAGAATCTTGCGCACCGGTCGCATCAGCGCAGATTGCACCACGTTTGCAATATCACTGCCAGAGAAGCCTTCTGACTTTTGCGCTAGGATGTTGTAGTCGCTCGCCACCAATGCCGTATCTGTGTCGCCAATCGCAAGCCTGAACATCCTGGCACGGCCATTCAGGTCAGGTAGACCAATGTGTACACGTCGTTGAAATCGTCGTCGGATGGCGGCATCTAGTTGCCACGGAATGTTCGTTGCGCCGAGCACCAAGATACCTTTGCTGTCGTTTCCTACACCATCCATTTGCACCAGAATCTCCGTCTTGATACGTCTTGATGCCTCGGACTCGCCTTCACCACGGGGCCCACAGAGCGCGTCAATCTCATCAATGAAGATGACTGATGGCTTGTTCTCGCGCGCCATGGAGAAGAGCGCCTTGACCAAGCGTTCACTCTCACCCATCCACTTGCTGACCAGGTCTGAACTGCTGATACTGAAGAACGTGCTGTTGGCTTCCGTGGCCACGGCCTTGGCAAGGTAACTTTTACCGGTACCTGGGGGACCATACAGCAAGATACCCTTCCATGCTTGGCGTTTGCCCTGGAATAGCGAGGGGAACTTGATCGGCAGGACGACGGCCTCCTTCAACGTCTCCTTGGCACCCTCCAGACCAGCAATGTCCTCCCACCGCACGTTTGGCCGTTCTTGCAAGATGGCGCCCGAGAGGGCGTTCCGTAGCTTCTTGTTGTCGTCGTCCTCGGGCGCGCTCTTGGCCTTACCAGTGCTCGACCCGTTGACGCCCATGAGGGACTTTCCACTGCCGTTGTTGCCGCCCTCCGCCTCGTTCTGCAAGAACACCTTGAGTTTCTCGGCGCGATCCAGGTAGGTTGCCATTTTCTCTTGCAAAGTCGCCTTGAGCGCCTTGTTCTTCTCCCACTTGAGCGCCTTGACCCAGAGCTCCATGGAGGACATGTAGAGGTCAAAGGCCTTTTGGTACTCCTGGTTGTGGTCGGCCGTGATGGCCTTTTGCACCTCGGCAATGGCGCGGTCGCGAAAGTTGACCGACATGGTGGCGCGGTGGTGCTTTGTCGAGCGGCAGAGCCTCAGTAGAATGTGCAGTATGGGGTGTTCTGGCGGGCGATGCGCAGGAGGATCGTCGATTCGGCGCGGGGGAGGGGAAGCTCGTGACGATGATGGTGGTAGGCAGTCGTGTCGACGCGGTATCGATGGGCTCTCTGGTATCGTGTATGGCAGAACAACAGAAGAGAAGACGTCTATACTCCTCGTGGCGATGTTGAGCAGAGTGACAGTGGAAAGACCGTTATCCAGGCACCACGAGTAATCAGTTGCTCCAGCCTGCCAGCCTGCCGTGGACTGCGTCTCGATGGATTGGCGGGGAAGCAAGAAAGCAGGTTATGCGCATAGCGGGTGCCTGGAGCACCCCCACTATCGAGGCTCGACTCGAGCACGACTTTTGGAGGGGCACACCGAACAAACGCTCAGGAGGCGCACTTGCAACCGGACAGGAGACGCACGAACCTTGAACTGACCGTCAGCATCTTATTCACTTTCATCTGGATATCAAAAAGACCCAGGGTGCTCCGTCAAGATGGCGGCCGCCGATGCTCAGGCGAGATTGCAATCTCTTTCAGAAGACTACCAGAGGATCCAACAAGGTGAGTTTAGAGACCCGAGGCCAACATGAAAAAGCTGACCAGGAGCGCAGAGATTCAAGGTATTGTCGCTTCGCGGCAAAGGTTGGAAGGCCAAAAGCAAGAGAACACTGGTGTGCAAAAGGTATAGCATAGCCACCTGAGCAGTACATCACGGAAGTGGCTCACGAAACCCAGGAATTCGACAATTTGGGAGAAGATGAGACTATTTTCAAGCTTGTCGGCCCAGTACTTCTGAAGCAGGACAAGTTTGAGGCAGAAAACACGGTCAAGGGCCGTCTGGATTTCATCAATGGGGAAATGTGAGTCGTCGCACATCCGGCAGAATGGAAGCTTCCAGGAAACTGACTCAGGACTAGATCGAGACTGGAGGACCAAATCAAGGAGAATCAGGACAAAATGGAGAAGAAGAAGACGGAGATCATCCAAATCCAGTCGGCAGCTCAAGCCGCTGCTCAACAAGGTCAAGGTCAGGGCCAAGCTGCACCTCAATGAGACACTTTTGATTACGAGTGTCCCTCTGAACTTGCTTTCACCAGCTTGTGAAATCTTCTTCCTCATGTGCATCCATCACCTTACATGTATTCCGGCCGGATGTTGCTGGTGTGACTGATCATGCTCGACGCTCTCCCCTTGGCGTAAGAATACGTATCGCGAGTGTTCAGGGCCCCGATAACCGCATAAGTGCACCATTTCGTCATTGCGCAAGTCAACTCCAGCCAGCTTTGCTCCAACCCCGAATGGCACTGCAGCTCCACGCAATGTTAGAGGGGCATGCACCAGAATCCCATGCTCGACAAGTTCTTTGCGATTCCCGTCGCCTACCCCCCTGCGCACATTCGCACATCCTTTCATTCTTGTCGCTCTGGTTTCTCCTCTGGTTGTGGCTACAATCTTCGGGGACGACTTGCGTCTTACGCGTCGACTGTCAGTCGTCGGTGCTGTTGTGGATGCCTACGCCAGACACCCCATCATGATGACTTGGTAGCGTGCTACAGCTCATCGCTCGACACAAAAGCTCCTTGGAGCGCTGTTCGAATTCGCTGAAGTACTTTACGATCACCAGCATGGATGGACGAGTTGCCATGCGGCCCTCGAGGCCGCAGTCGGTCAGCGAGCTGGTCGCCCAAGCGGAGAGCTTCTCCTTCAACAACAATATCCCGCTGAGGCACTGGACAAGGGCAGCTGAGACGCTATACCAAGAGGCAAGCCATTCAAACTGACTGTGTTGACCCAAGGCTAACGAGCGTCGCAGGCCAGTTTCGCTCTTTCGGAAGGCGACTACGCTCGAGCATACGTGATGCTCTATCGGCACTCGGTTCTCGTGTTACACTGGATTCCTCAGCATCCACAATACAAAGACCCCGAACAACGAAAAGCCTGCCGCACCCTATCGAGACGAATCGGTCAGGTCATGGACGACCTTGAGCAGCTGAAACCGGAACTGGACAAGGCGCGCCGAGAGTGGGAGCGAATGAGACCAGCACCGGAGCCCAGCCACAAGTCACCAGAGGTGACGTCCAGATATGCCGATTTTGCAGCCCGCGACCCTACATTGACCGGCAATGCTAAGATATTGGACGCTGGAGAGCACCAGGAGCTTGCCGTCGATCTGGCGCAAAGGGAACTGCTTCGCCGAGACACAGCTAGAAGAGCGTCGAAACGGGCAGGCATCCCAGAGGAGGAGAGCTTGATGCGGAGAAGAGCTGGGCGCTGGGAGGAGTGGCGACAGCCAACGTCTTCCACGACAGACAACGACCTCCAGTGGCAGATGGCCGCTGCGAGACGCCAGCTCGACACGCCGAGCTCAGAGGGCCAGCACGGCGCCATACTTCACGGAGACACGGACACAGCCTTTGTGTCCCAGAAATACAACTATCCATCCATATCAAAGTCACGCCCAGTAAACTACGAGAAGGCCCCATCGCAACAGTCTTTGCCATCGCCACTCCAGCCGTCGCTCCCTCCGAAGGAGCCCGCGGTGAATGATCTCGACAGCATGGGCTCGCTGTCAAAGCCCCCTCCGCCGCCGAGAAAGGTAGCACTCGAGGAGTACAAAGCATTGGTTCCATCACTGCCGCCTCGACCATCGGATGGCCTGGGGCCTACACTCCCGCCAAAGACTACCCTCGAACCACCCCGCCCTGCGAAGAAGGAGCGTCTGGCCTTCAAACCGGGCGCATATCTGGAAAATGGCGATCCCATTCGATCCATCTTTTTGCCCGGCGGCTTGCGCGAGAGGTTTCTCGGCCTCGCGGCGGAGAACACCAGAGCTGGGCTGGAGATGTGTGGTATCCTCTGCGGCACCCCGGTGAACAATGCCCTGTTCATTCGCTGCCTCGTCATTCCCGATCAAAAATGCACATCCGACACGTGCGAGACACAAAACGAAGGTGCCTTGTTTGACTTCTGTGATAAAGAGGATCTTCTCATGGTCGGATGGATACATACACACCCGACCCAGACCTGCTTCATGAGCTCGCGAGATCTTCACACCCATGCAGGGTACCAGATCATGATGCCAGAGAGTATAGCCATTGTCTGCGCCCCAAAGTTTGAGCCATCGTAAGTTCATACGTGTTGGCAAGAAGGAGTCTTTGCAGGGATGAGTTGTCTAACGTGGACAGATACGGCATTTTTCGACTTACGAACCCTCCTGGCTTGGAACATATCCTAAACTGCACGCATAGCGACACCTTCCATCAACATGCTATCGACAACCTATATCGCGGCGCTATGCAACCCGAAGGCCACGTCTATGAGAGCAACAAGTTGACCTTTGATGTTCAAGATCTACGCGGGATGTAGATGACCGAATGACGCTGTAAAGTGCATAGCTCTGGAGTTTGATTTATACACTGGCTTGAACATGATACCAACTGGCTGCTACCACAATGCTGAATTTCGCATAGTGTCTGCGGAGTAATATCCAGTGTGAGCTTGACGACGGGATGGAAAGTCACGGCCACACCACAGTGTCCCATGTACTAATCACAACTAGCCACACGGTCAAGAGCTGATGCCAATAGCAGAAGCAGCGGAGGCGTTCGATCTTTACGTTTTCTTATTAGGGCGGAGGAGAGGCTGGCCCAAGCAGGTCTAGCCGGCCCAGCTGAACCTGCAGGTTTCAGTCACCGGCAGATTGAGGTGGAGACATATACTGCCGCTCCCGCACGAGATGCTGCTCGCCTTAATCCAACGCTCACAAATGAGGTATTGGGGGAGAAAGACATCATTTGGGGATATGAGCAAGAGCTCCGTCTCCTGAGTCTCCGAGTCAGTCGCGGATCGAAGAGCTGGGCACCAGCTTCATATTGGACCAGATCGGCGACGATCAGCAGATTTAGTCTATACCACTCACCACTACGATCTGCACAAGGGTATGACAAGATTCGCTGACCGCGAAGCGTGCATGAGACCGGGGTGAGCACAAGCACATATTCAGCTGCGAACATGGCGACTAGACATGTTGCGACTTTCCCTGGTTGAGCCACCGGCGTCTATCGCTTACTCTGCATCAAATTGCGATCGCCCACGGCTGTGTTTGGCCGCCACCGTCGCAACAAGGCCAGTTCACGAGTTCTCGCCGTCTCGTCGCATGAAAAGGTCAGCCAATATGCTGTTGACGAGGGCTCGAGCGATGCAAAGGACGACACCACGGGGTGTCTCCAAGCGGGCCGCTCCCGACTATCGGCACTAGCTCGCTGGTGCCCGGTAGTGATGCCGGCCTGGGAGTTGAGCTACGTATTACACTAGGGCGGCAGCTTTCTTCATTCGACTTTGGATGCAACATGCCGGTCATGCCATTGTTCCTAGATTGGCTCAAGGTTGGTCCTCTCCTGGAGACTACTGACTCGAATCTCGATGCGCACCAGAGATGTCCCCTTCTGAGCGAGATGATGGCGTTTGCGATCTGCAGATCTGTCGATGCAAATCTAGGGAATCTGTCGATCCGAGCTCCCATAGACCAAGTCAGTCTATCCGTAGCCGCTCACGACTCGCGGCATGGACCGCTGGCCTTTGGGTGGGAAGGCCCTAGCTCGGATGTGAGGCCTGGTTGTTTGTCTCGGGCAGTCTTCCAATCACAACCCGTCGATTTCGAACTGGTCTTGAACCTTTTTGTAGCTTTGTGAGAAGCAATTTGGCTGTCGCTGAGTCTGTCGCACAAGGGCAGGCTGCATCACGCCAGTCCAGAACCGAGTGCAGACTCGCAGAGTCTGAAGAGGCCACGATGACTGGACGTGCGAGAAGTGCCCGCATGCAACGCATTGTCAGACTTTGTGCCAATCAGCCAGGCCCTGGGAGATGCAGGGCGCCGTCGAACGAGCGCCCAGAAACTTACCGTGTCTATTATCGCGACCCTACTGTACTCGCTTTCACACGCTACCAATCGGACTGCTTGATGTTAGCGATGCTAGTGAGCAGGTGCGGGCGGTGTTTGTGCGACGGCAAAAGCAACAGCCACATGCGGATCACCATCTCTGGTGGCATGACTTTAGTGAAGATGGCAGATGCTACCTGGAAAGGCGCCATCTGTGGTCCGCCGACTGTGCGGTCGCTCGAGACGCGATGCACGTCCACCAAGTGGACCGGCATGCAGTAGTGGTATTACCACCCCAAGCCCTACTCTAAGACATGACGACAATCATTGGGTCCTCCCTTGTCTTCACAGTGGCTGAAAGAGGGATGAAGCTGCGAGGAAAGGAAGCTGGCGTGTGGAGCGAGGCGTGCAGTCAACGAGACACGGGCCGCCCTCTACAGTATGCGTGGTGCCTTAAGAAGGGAAGTCACCCAGCTCTGGGTAGCAGACCTTGGTTGACCAATGTTCCCACCTGTCGAGAGCTTGCGCACCGCTCATCAACATGGCTGACTCGAAGGAAACTGGCAGCTATTCAGGCCAGAATGGCTACAAGGCGAATGGCTCCCACACCAAGACCAATGGGGCCCCGGCACACTCGAACGGCAAGAAGTCAGAGCCTGCTCCCCTAGGCGAACCGTCCAAGCCCAAGAAGACTTCAAAGTTGGGGAGCCTGATGGCGCTGCGAAAGGCGTCCAAGCGTCCTTTGCCCACGAAAATGGGGGATGGAAACTACCCAAAGACAACACAGAGGCCTGGAATCGGCCAGGACCTCAGTCGCATTGGCCTCTATGGTAAGGACTGGCTTTCAGGATATCTGTCGCCGCAAGCTGATGTAGCCCAGAACTCCAGACACTCAAGGGCATTATCTCGGCCAAGCTCAAGGGCGAGACTCAGCAAGATGACAGGACCATGATCATGGAACGAACGATTCAACTGGTCGCTGGACTCCCAGATCACTCGCGAACCCAAGAAGTCTTGACCAACAGCTTCATCGACAAGCTGTGGAACTCTTTGGACCACCCACCCCTGCTCTATGTTGGTCCTGATTCCAAGTACCGACGCCCAGATGGCTGGGGCAATGTGAGTTCATGGTGGGGAATCTTTCGAGACTCAACTGGGCTGACTGATGAATAGAACCCCGTTATGCCAGAGCTGGGAGCACGCGGACACACCTATGCGCGATCTGTCAAGCCCAAGCATGTACAGCTTGGAGCTCAGCCCGACCCCGAGGCCATTTTTGAGGCGATCATGGCGCGTGATGGATTTCGCAAGAACCCAAACAATGTCTCGTCAATTCTTTGGTACTGGGCGACCATTATTATCCACGGTATGTACTCTGTGGTCATTGAAAAGGAGCATGACTGACGCTGGTAGATCTGTTCTGGACCAACATGCAGGATCAGAACAAGAACGACACTTCCTCATACCTTGACCTCGCCCCGTTGTATGGCAACACGCAGGAGCAGCAGGACTCGATCCGCACGTTCAAGGACGGCATGCTGAAGCCCGATACGTTCGCCGACAAGCGCCTAATTGGCAACCCGCCCGGTGTCATCATCATTCTGCTCATGTTCAATCGCTTCCACAACCATGTCGCCACAAATCTTGCCGACATCAACGAGGGCAATCGCTTCCCTGCCCCTACGCCTGACATGAATGAAGAGCAGGCAGCTGCTGCCATGAAGAAGCGCGACGAGGAGCTCTTCCAGACCGCGCGCCTTGTGACCAGTGGTCTCTACATCAACATCACCCTCATCGACTACGTACGCAACATTGTCAACCTGAACAGGGCTGATACCACGTGGACGCTGGATCCCCGACAAGAGATGGGCGTCTCTGCTGGTACCAAGGAAGGCTCCGAGGCAGGCGTCGGTAACGTTGTTTCTGCCGAGTTCAACCTGTGCTACCGCTGGCACTCGTGCATCTCTGAGATGGACGAGCAGTGGATCAAAGACTTCTACGTGGAGCTTCTCGGCGAGGACTATGGAACCATGGATATGCGAGCCCTGATGATGGCCCTCAAGAAGTTCGAGGCCACCATCCCCGAGGAACCCTCCGAGCGCACATTCAACGGCTTCAAGCGTGGTCCCGATGGCCGCTTCAACGACGACGAGTTGATGGAAGCGCTTGCCACGGCGATTGAGCAGCCCGGTGGTGCCTTTGGCGGACGTAACGTGCCTCGGATCATGAAGCCTGTTGAGATGCTGGGCATCATCCGTGGCCGCCGCTGGAATCTCGCTGGACTCAACGAGTTCCGCAAGCACTTTGGTATGAAGGGCTACGATACGTTTGAGGAAATCAACTCGGACCCCGAGATTGCCGAGCAACTACGCAACCTGTACCAACACCCTGACAACGTTGAGCTCTACCCCGGCATCGTCGCTGAGGAGGCCAAGTCGCCCATGGTTCCTGGCGTTGGTATTGCACCCACCTACACCGTCTCGCGTGTGGTCCTGTCGGATGCAGTGTCGCTCGTCCGTGGTGATCGTTACTACACGACCGACTATCATCCCGGTAACCTGACCAACTGGGGATACAAGGAGGTTGACTACGATCTGAACGTCAACCACGGCTGCGTCTTCTACAAGCTGTTCATCCGAGCTTTCCCCAACCACTTCAAGGGCAACTCTGTCTATGCGCATTACCCCATGGTCACGCCCGACGAGAACCGCAGGATTCTGACCAACCTGGGTACCGTCGATCGCTTCAGCTTCGACCGCCCCACCTTCCAGACACCCCGAGTGAACATTACCAGCTACGGCGGTGCCAAGTACATCCTGAACAACCAGGACAAGTACAAGGTGTGCTGGGAGGAAGGGTTTGGCTTCCTGATGGGCGATGGCGGCCGACGCTTCATGCTCTCGGGCGACTCGCCACAGCACGCGGAGCAGCGTAAGATCATGAGCAGCCTGCTGTACAAGGATGGCTGGAAAGGGTCCATCAAGTCCTTCTACGCCATGATTGGTGACAAGCTCCTCGCAGAGAAGTCGTACAAGCTTGCTGGTTCACGGCAGGTGGACCTGATCCGTGATGTTGGCAATCTCGCGCACACACACTTTGTCTCGCGCATGTTCAACTTGCCGCTGAAGACGCGCGAGAACCCCAAGGGTGTCTTCTCGGAGCAGGAGCTGTACAAGGCGCTGTCTGCAATCTTTGTGTGCATCTTTTTTGACATTGACCCTGCCAAGTCCTTCCCCCTGCGCCAGGCCGCCAAGGAGGTGACGGAGAAGCTGGGCGGCGCCGTCGAGCTGAACGTCAAGCTGGCCACCACCCTCGGCATCAGCGGTCTCTTTACTGGGAAGACCAACAAGGACGACCCTCTGTCCTCGTACGGTGTCAACATGGCCAAGGGTCTCAAGAAGGCTGGTCTGAGCGCGTACGACATAACCTGGAGCCAAATCCTGCCCACGGCGGGCGCTATGGTGCCCAACCAGGCCCAAGTGGTGAGTGACTGTCTTGTCTTTGTCATCGGAATAACACTAATATCGATTTAGTTCGCCCAAGCTGTCGACTGGTACTTGTCTGAGGCGGGCAAGCACTATTTGGAGGAGATCCGCCGCATCGCGCTGCAGCCATCTTCCGACGAGAGCGATGCGCTCCTCCTCGGCTACGCCATGGAGGGCATCCGGATGGCTGGTACGTTTGGGTTGTACCGCAAGGCCTCTGTCGACGATACCATTCTCGAGGACGACGGTCGCAAAGTCCCCGTCAAGAAGGGCGATCGCGTCTTCGTGTCGTTTGTGGGTGCCGCCAAGGACACCAAGCACTTCCCCAACCCTGACATTATCGACCCGCGCCGTCCCCTGGATGCCTACATCCACTACGGTGACGGACCCCACGCCTGTCTGGGCCGTGGTATCAGCCAGGTTGCTCTCGCTGAGCTGTTCCGTGCCGTATTCCGCAAGAAGAACTTGCGCAGGGTCGCTGGACCTCAGGGTCTGCTGAAGAAGGTTCCTCGCCCAGGAGGCTTCTACGTGTACCTGACCGAGGACTGGGGCAGCATCTGGCCTTTCCCTACGACGATGAAGGTCACCTGGGACGAGGAGTAGGAGATGGGAGGAAGTGGACTGATTTGTGACAAATACCCTGCTTTGTTGATCGTTGTCGTTCTCATTAATTGCAATAACTATGGATTAATAAAGTCGCTCCGTTGCGTTGCGCTGCATGTCGTATGGTCCCGTGGTATCATGATCCTACTTCTGCTCCTTCTTCTCGCCCTCCTCCTTGTTGCCGTCACCGAGACCCAGGTAGCCGCCGGCGCCCTTGAGACCCGAGGCAGCGGTGCCAGCGACGTTCTTGCCGCCCTCGGCAACGCCCGACGCGGCGTTTGTCAGGTTCTCCTGGCCGGGGACGTAGCTCCCGTCGTTGCCCTTGCCCTGACGCTCGGCACGGTTGGCGCCCTCCTTGGAGGCGAGGTCGCCGACGGGCTGGAGCAGGCCACCTTGTCCGAGCTGGCCGGCGGCGACACCGTTGACGCCGTCTTGGAGCTTGTCGACTTGGTCGACGCCCGTGACCTTTGACTTGTCGAGGTTTTCTGCGCAGGTCAGGTGGCTGAATGGCAAGGGACAGGTATGTGGAACGTACGTTTGGCAGAGTAGCTGGCCTTGTTGTCCTTGGTGAAGTAGTAGAGGTACATGTCCTCCATCCAAGGCACCCACTTCTCGTACTGGCTGTTATACGTCTGCTTTGACCACTCCATGGTGAATACGCTGTGTTTGATGCTGGTGGAAATTGATGGTCGAGGTTGCTTTACAAGTCAACTGGGGAGTCCCATCTGGCTGTCCCGACACAGGCAGTTTATATCATGACCTGGAGGCCACCCTGCCTGGCTACATCCTGGAAAGGACCCTGAAAAAAAAACAGGGACCAAGGCAATCCGAGCAGACGATCAGTACGTCATGTCATTGCACGTTTCAGACGGGACGGGTGGGGAGGAGGAGGAAGCTACTGCGTCGTCGCCAGGGCGCGGGAGGGCCTGGGGGGGCAAGCCACTGACTAATTGGGAGACCTGTGTGGCGCGGAACCACGTTTCTACACTGTGCATGGAAAAACTAGAAACTGCACACGTATAATCGATGGATGGATGGTCCAGGATGGATGGATGAGCGGGAGGAAAACCGGTTTCGCGGGAGAGTCGAGGAGGGTGGTGGGGAGGAACGTCATGGCTTCTTCGACTGGCTGGTTTGATGGCGAAGCGTGATCGTCAGTATCGCCAGGCAGACAGTCAATGTTGTTTGGGAGATACTGTCGAGTCTGGGGATGCCGATGGATATTCGACGCCATGAAGCGGTCGGATCTAGCGATGCACAAGGAAAGCTTGAATCGTGACGGCGGAGACTGAAGATTGTGCCAAGATTCGATGGTCTTGTCATGTGACCTGTCATGCAGCAGCTGCGTGCCTACCCTAGAGCAGCCTGGCCATGTCTGGTACACGCAATAGATCTTTGTACTTTGGCACTAAAGGATCAAACAATCGACAAAATTTCATGTGAGTTACAGCAACAGAACAGAGGCCATATATTTATTGGTTGTTTATACAAAAGAATGTTGCTGTTCATCGACAAAATGTCTGTAAATCAAATTCTTGCTGTCTTCTTAATAGACACAACACTGAGCACGCTTTTTGCGTTAACAGACTCGCAAGGAAATCATTTTAAAGCTATCATACTTTGATTCTATAGTATCAAAAACTGATAGCATTCATATAGCCGTCTCCACCATCAGAAGACATTGAAACCATGTGCAACATCGTTTGGGTGTACATCACCTGCAACGTCCTAGTTGCGGCGATACCATCTCCAGCGACAGCAAGCCGCAGCCGTGCAGCCAAGCCGTCTCAGGCGGTGCCTCGTTTAGAGGTTGCCCTTCTAGTAAGGGCTTGTCGACAGAGTACACGACCAACGGCGCACCCTGCACCGAATGCATGTCCAAGGCCATCAGTGGTCTTCGCCTGTAGTGAGAGGAGCGATGATTGCGAGAGAGACCTGTCATTACGGATAGATTTAATACGATTCTACGTTACTTTTATAAACCCCCTCGCCAAGCTAGCCTTGTGATGATCTGTAAGCCACCAAGCTAGAGACAATGAAGCTACAAGTGGTCCAAGCTTAGTACGTGTAATTGTTTGTCTGCAAAAAGAAAAAGGCAACGCGCGTTGCCGTCTCGGCAGTATGAAACAATTGTCTTGCTGACAGCTGGTTCGTGCAATACCTACACGGGTCTCGAGCTGGATAATTTAATTAATAAAGCCTAAAGGCTGCTTACTTACTTTTTTGCTCGCACTTCGGCACTTCGGCAGTCGGCACATCTCGTCCCTCGACTTCCTCGCCCAGCGAGCCACGCAGGGAAGAGTTCCTCACCAGGTACTATTAACGTTAGAAGACGACTTGATCCATCAGGTGCAGGCAAACAAGGCGTAGACGCGACGATTGTTATTCATTCACCAAACATTCACTAACCAATCACCAACCGCTCACCACTCACACCCGCAACGCTTCATTACGGACAGCAGCCTGGCTGGCGTCTGTGCTTCTCGCGGAGCTCGCGCTTGACCTTGCATCTTAATCCCGAGGCCGAGCCCAGGACGCAAGGAGAACATTCTCCCCAATGCAGCTCGCGCGCCAAGGGGCTATATAGCGAGACGGTGATTATTAGGCATCTTCCTCTCTCTTGAGCAGCTCATTTTCGCGCTACGCAACACCTCATTGCCAGCTCCAGCCATTTGATCAAATCCATTCACTCGTTTCGCCATGTCGGTAAAGGATAGCGCAGACCCGTCGCAGACGACGCGGCGGTCGCAGTCGCCCACACTTCAGCCTGACGACCCCAACCTGGAGCAAGCCACTGGGGAAAAGACGACGACTGATTCGGAGCCTCCCGACGGCGGACTCGCCGCTTGGACGGTCGTCCTGGGGGTCTGGTGTACTTCCTTCTGCTCATTCGGATGGCTCAACAGTGAGTTGCCCCAAGCAAGCCCAATATACTCGTATTGAGAGTCGATGAACTGACCTCTTTCTGCGCGTAGGCATCGGCACCTTCCAGGAGTACTACCAGAATGACCTTCTATCGGACTACTCGCCCAGCACAATTGCCTGGATCCCCTCGCTGCAGCTCTTCTTCATGATGAGCATGGGTCCCATTGTTGGGCAACTGTACGACCGCTTCGGCCCGCGCTGGCTGGTCTTTGGCGGGAGTCTCCTGCATGTCTTTGGCATCATGATGACCAGCCTCGCCACGGAGTACTACCAGATCCTGCTGGCCCAGGGTGTCTGCTCGGCCATTGGTGTCGCGGCCATCTTCCAGCCCTCGCTCAACTGCGTCCACGGCTGGTTCACCACCAAGCGCGGCGCGGCATTCGGCATCCTGGCCACGGGCTCCAGCATGGGCGGTGTCGTCTTCCCCATCATGGTTCCTCACCTCATCCGCGAAGTCGGCTACGGCTGGGCCATGCGCATCAGCGGCTTCCTGCTCCTAGCCCTGCTCATCATCGCCAACCTGACAGTCCGCGCCCGCTGCCCACCCAGCCCCCAGCCACTGTCCATGGCGCAGATCACCCAGCCCTTCAAGGAGGTACCATATGTCTTGCTCTTGCTGGGCTTCTTCTGCTTCACCTATGGCATCTTTGTCCCCATCAACTACCTGCCCTCTCAGGCGGTCAGTGTGGGCATGTCCCCAGATCTCGCGCAGTACTTGCTCGCCATCTTGAACGCCGCTTCGCTGTTTGGCCGCGTTGGTTCTGGGATCCTTGGCGATAAAATCGGTCGATACAACATCTTCATCGTGGTCTGCTACCTCTCCGGCATATGGATCCTGGCCCTCTGGATTCCCGACTCGGGCAACGCTGGCATCATCGTCTTCGCAGCCCTCTTTGGCTTCACCTCGGGCGCCTACGTCTCTCTCATCGCGCCACTCGTCGCGCAGGTGTCTCCCATGGCGGAGATTGGTTGGCGCACGGGACTCCTCTTCGCCACCAACTCCATCGGCGCCCTCACGACGTCGCCCATCAGCGGAGCGATTCTCGAGACGCCCAGTGGCTGGTGGGGCGTCAAGGTGTTTTCGGGCGTCTTCTGTCTCGCGGGAACCACGTTTGTGTTGATTGCCAGGGTCCAGAAGGTGGGCTGGAGTCCGACCAAGGTGTTTTAGAGGGGTCTAGTTGGTTTTCTGTTGTTACTTCTTTGTTCATACTCACTTTCATGCACATAGAAGGCATGCCTGTGATTATCTTCACACCATCGCAAAGCTCGCCCTGGTAGTGATTCTTCTGTATGATGTTTACCTAAACCTGGAACTCCTGCTTTACCAATCTGTAGTCTGGATGTCATAGTCATCACTCAACGTGCTCAAGAGACATTTTCGGATACAACCGTTTTATATTATTGATTACCCAAGGCTGATCTGTTGCTTGTCTATTATAGCCTTCCATGTATTACGTTCCTCCACATTTATATTCCGAAAAAATACCGTTCCCTAGCATTTGAATATTCCCTTACAGGAACATGGCAACTCCAACGGCGCAGAGCAGTTACCGTCCCCTAGCATTTGAGTATTCCCTTACAGGAACATGGCAACACCAACGGCGCAGAGCAGGGCGAGAGCGGGAGCCGACTTGGCACCAGCGGCGACAGGAGGCTGCGAGGGTGTGGTGGGCTGGCCGGTAGCAGCGGGAGCCTCAGTTTCGCCAGCAGCAGGAGGAGCCTGAGACTGGCCAGGGGCAGCAGGAGCAGCGGGCTGCTCAGGGGCAGCAGGAGCCGCGGGCTGCTCAGGGGCAGCAGGAGCCGCGGGCTGCTCAGGGGCAGCAGGAGCCGCGGGCTGCTCAGGGGCAGCAGGAGCCGCGGGCTGCTCTGGGACA